AGAATTTAAATTCTCAAACTTCTGTTAAGATTAGAGAATTGAGAAATGACTCTGATAATAAACTAGATATAATGTAAACAGTTGAGATTCCTACTTTTCAAAATAGTTATAATCTACTATCTGATGATAGTGACTAGATTCTACTCTATCTCTACTCTCTTTTAGTATGAATATACAACAAAAACAACAAAAAAAGTTTAAAAACTCTTCAAAAATCACATTTATTCAAAATAATATGAATAGAAACTCAAATTGTATTTACTCTTGTCTTCAAATTGTATTTGAATAAAAAGTTGATTTTATACTACTTCAGAAACCGAATTTTGATGCTGAGTAAAATTATATCATTTCTTATTCAAGCTACTACTACTTTCTATCTCAAAAGTCTGAGATAAAGTCAAGAGTAGTGATCTATGAAAGAAAGAGATTAAGATATCAATTTAATCTAAGATTTGATATCATGTCTAACCCTGATATTCTGATGAGTGATATTATAGATAAAGAAAATGAGTTTAATACTATACAGCTCATAAATATCTATAATGAAAAGTCATTGAAGAAAAATAATAATATCTGAACAATTGATAGAGGATTTCTGAACATAACTTCATCAAGAAACTCTATAATTGCAGGAGATTTCAATGCACATCATCTCTGATGAAATTCAGAATGCAAGAGAGCAGTGAGAGCTGATAATCTAGTTGAATGAATCTTTAAGCATTCAATAGATTTGATTAATAAGTCTAATTAACAAACATTCTTTAGAAAAGACATGAAACAGAAGTCTATTATAGATCTAATCTTCATATCATAAAATCTAATGAAAAGAAGACTTGTAAACTGATTTATTGATTCAAATGAGACATCAGAATCAGGTTATGAGGTTATTCAATTTGATATTGAACTGAGTGAAAAACAAATGAGTGAAAATCCTCTTCTCTCTAATCAGTATAACTTTGAAAAAGCTGATTGAAAAGTAGTTGAAGAAAGCATAAAACTGTTAAAATCTGAAAGACAGAATGAGCTATATTGAAATTCTGGTCAAGATATCTCAAATGAAATGCTTGAGAATAGAGTGAAGCTTATTACATCTATTATTCTAATAAGTATTAGAGATAATATTTTAAAAAGAAAATCTTCTGAGTATTCAAAACCTTGATGAAATGAGAATATCTCATCTAAAAGAAAAGAATTAGCTACTGCTAGAAGAGATTGAAAGAATGATATAATATCTGATAAAGAGTTCAAAGCTGTCAGAAATGAATATTTCTCAGATATTAAAAGAGCTAAAACAGACTGCTGAAATAAATTTCTTAAAGAAGTATAAGAGAAGAAAGTTTTTAAAGCTTTTAACTATACTAAAACAAGAAGTGTAGCAAAACTTTCAGTCTTAGAATATAAGTTTCAGAATGAATCATATACAGCAAACTCTTTTGAGAAAAAATGTCAAGCTTTCATGAGAATTCTCTTTCAGAACTTACCAGATTCAGATTCAGATTCAGAGGAAGAGAATATATCACTTCTCAACTACATTGATGAAAATGACTGAGAATAGCCTGATCTTACACAAGATGAATTAGAGTCAGCTATCTTCTCAAGTTCTGTTAAAACTGCTGCAGGTCCTGATTCAATTAATCACTTGATTATTCAAAATATATATTTCTACTTAAAGAATGAATATTTTGAGCTCTTTTTCAATCTCTTGAAAAATGAATATTATTCTGAATACTGGAGAGAAGCCACTGAAGTGATTCTTATAAAACCTAATAGAAAAACTTCAATTTCTAAGTTATATAGAGTAATATCTCTATTGAACTGTCTAGAAAAGGTTTTAGAAAAGATAATAGCTACTTAACTATCTTTTATAAGCTCTATAGATGATTCTCTTTTATTCAGTGAATAAATGAGAGATAGAAAACAGTGTTCTGCAATTGACACTGTTCTCTCAGTTGTTCATGATATTCAAATAGCAAAGCATGAGAGTCTGGTCTCAACTGCAGTTTTTATTGATATAAAAGAAGCATTTGATCATGTTTCAAAGTCAAAGTTAATTCAGATATTAAAGATATTAAAACTGTCACTTTCTCTAATAAAATAAGTTAACTGTTTTATATCTAAAAGAATTATATAACTCTTCTTTGATGAAATGAAACAAGATAAGACTGAGATAAAAATAGAAGTATCACAGAGATCTTCAATCTCACTCATTTTATTTATAATATACACTGCATATCTATTCAAAAATAGAAATATAAGAATAGTGTAATCTCTGAGTTATATGAATGATATTGATCTAGTCTACAGCTCAAAAACTATCAAAGAGAATTTAAAAGTAATTGAAGAAGCTGCAAAGAAAATCTTTGTTAGAGCAGATATCAATCAAATTCAATTTAATATGAATAAAACTGAGTTAATTCATTTCTTTTCTAGATTCAATAAGAAAGAAGTATCTCTAACTCTTTTAAATAGAGAGATTAAACCCAGTGTAAATGTCAAATGATTAGAAGTATAATTAAACTCTAAGTTGAATTTTAAATATCATATTCAACAAAGAACTGTCAAGACAGAAAGACTATTGAACAACATAATCAGACTATCAAATACAGAGAGAGGTCTATTCTTTCAGACTATGAGACAGTTATATATAATCTGTATTACATCAGTAGCTGATTATGAAGTTCAAGTTTGATGAAATAATCAAGAGAATTTCACTGAACTCTTTCAAAGTCTGTAAAACAGAGTCTTGAGAAGAATTCTGAAAGCATTCAAATCATCTTCTATTAAAGCAATAAAAATTGAAGCTTCAATTCCTTCTTCTGCTATTAGATTTGAAAAGATCTGTATGAACTATACTCTGAGAGTTGTAAAGATGAGTTCAAATTATATAATCAGAGAAAGAGTCTCTTCTTCATTTTCATCAATTAACTCTGGAAATGAACTGAATTGAAATAGATTTCTTGATTGAAATGAAAATAATTCTTCAAAGAAAATGTCTTCTCAACTGTACAGACTATGCTCTCTGATTAAAAATCAATTTTCTTCTTTAAATATTGAAAAAGTTGATCATGAGAAGTTATCACTCTGAAGAGAAAAGCTTGAATCTCTTATAGACTTATAAATAAGTGAACTATCAAAAGAGAAAGAATATGAACAGTATTTGAAGAGAATTTCTACAATCAATATAAAAGACTCTATTCTGATTTATTCAGATGACTCAAAAAATGAGAACTTGAATAGATTAGACACAGACATTGCTTATACTGAAGATAATATCAATTTTATCTCAGATTTCTGAAATCTAGACTGTGAATGTGAAGTCTTTGATGCTGAACTATTTGTAATAGTGAAAGCTTTCAAACTCATTGAAATAAAATCTTATAAAAGAGGAAATTGTTTGAAAGAGATATGAATATTCTCTGATAGTTAAGCTGCTTTAAAAAGACTTAGAAATAGTCAGATTTATAATAATCAAATGAATCTTGAACTGATCTTAAACTCTGTTTTAAAAATTCAAAAGAGAAGAATATCAAAGCTGATAATTCATCTACACTGAGTTTCTACTCATATGAATATTCATGACAATGAATTGACTGATTCAGCTGCAAAAAAGAGTGCAGAATTAAGCAGATCTATTCAAAAAATTATGTCCTGATCTTTTATAAAGAGAAAAATAAAAGAATCTTGTTTAGACAAGTGAAATAAAAGCTGACAGAAACAAAAGAAGAGTATATATTATTCAAGATTTGAAATAAAACTCAAGTAGAAATCTTGTTCAATTAAATGTAAAAAGAAAATATTCTCATCTATAATACAGCTGAAACTAGAACATGGCTATTTCAAATCTTATATACAAAGATTTGATGATAGATTTGACTCAATAGAATGCTCATTCTACAATACAAATGAGAATTCTGAGTATATTATACTACACTATGCATTATACAATAGTCTCAGAGTCAGATTGAAAGAGAAGTATGATCTAAATCAATTAAATATGAGATTCTTATTCTCAACTGAGACAGAAATTAAATACTTAATAGACTTTCTATCAGAAACTCAAGCAGCTACAAGAAAATGACTAAATTCAGAATTATCTGAATATGAAGAGGAGAAAATCAATCAGATATAGTCTGTTAAAACAGCTATACACTCTCTTTTAATAATTTATTTTATTATAGTCTCTCTTTACTTTATCTTTTTCTTTATCTTTTTCTTTCAATTTCTTTCTATACTATCTATTTAATGTGTCTATCTTTGAGACTGTGTTCTTTTTCTCTTTTCCTTTGTCATGATATTGTCAAATGATTTCAAAGTATCAAAAGATGTTAAAACACTGCAATTTGTAAACAGTTTTTGTATTCTAGGCTGGAATTTTCTGATTTTGCATATCTGAAATTGATGAATGTATAATAGTTAACTTTACAGACATAGGAAAAACCCTGAGAACTAAAAGTTCTCAGATAGATGTCATAGTCTCTGACTGCATACATCTATAATTGAAGAATAATAATAATAATAATAGTCTGCTATTTAATCATCTCAAAGAAATTTAAGAATTTGACAGTTAAGTTTCTTATCATCAACATGTCTTATAAGCTTATTCAATTCTTAGTCTTTAGAAAAAAAACCTAATATTGCAGGTAAATGATGTGAAACTTAGAGAGAGTGCATTTTACAATTCATGTTTCTATAAATTCTAATCACAAGAAATGCAATGTATCACAGCTACAAAGAAGAAGATGTCAGAAGACTGACTAAGCTTATCTTTAAAGTGAATACTAGTTATTATTGCTGGCTAACATTTCTTTGATGTATCTCTCTTTAGAGAGATAATCTGAACCTGCTCAACAATTATCTCTTTACTGAAGAGTGCTTACTTCATCTAAATAAACAATATCATGACTGTGCAGCTCAGCAATCTCTTGCAAACTGGCTTTTAAAATTCACTTTCTGTTGCTTTCAAACAAGTTCTTTTGAGTTTGAACGATTTGAACCTATGGGTTGCCTTAACAATAAAGATAATTTCCGTATCACATGATCATATGTAAAGTATGTACCTAGGTAACTACTCACTGTAATAATAAATATCATAGTCTTAACTATAAATTAAATAACAATAATAATAATAATAATAATAGCATACTTAAGCAAGCTTGCCTGTCACAATAGAATCATCCCACAAATACCGCCAGGCAGAACCCGAACCAGGACGTAGTACCTACCCTCCATACTATCCATTATAAATGACTATGGGAGTGACAACCCCACGTGACCCCTCTCTGTCACTCGCCGGCCGCTGGCTGCCTTGCGCTCTGCGTTTCGTATCACATCCACCTTTTCCGCGACATCTACAACCCTCATCACCACAACTTTACTTCTTCTATCTCTCCCTTATAAGCTTGCTCTGAATACTCCGCAACCTCTCTTCTCCAAAGCCCACTCGACTGTCGACCTGTACAAGGTAGTCCAACTCCCTTTGTCTGTCCCTCTTATCGCAGCTTCCCCGCAGCCTGTGCTTTCTCTAGACAAGAACCAGCAAAATCTAACGTCCTCCTGTGCAAGAATACAGAAACTCCGAGTCCCCTCGTCCTAGAGGATACTCATTTCTTCATTTTAACCCATTCTCCCCAAAAAACGACAGAGCTGGTCCGAAACCCTTATACCCCGATACGATACCAACATGGCTCCTCCTGCGAAAGATGACACCCATTCCTCCAGTACTGGCAAGGATGAAGTGCGGTTGATTCCCTCCGATGAGCCTCAAGGCGGCCCTGGAATTACAGTTGGTATGCTACAATTTCCCTTCGTGTCTGTTTGAACCCAGAACGTAGCGTGCGCAAATACCCAGGTGAAAAGCCGCCGGAGCAGTTCTAGTTTTATCTTGGGTTGGACTAATATGTATATCTTACGCCAATTTTAGAACGTTCCATCATTGAGCGCTCCATCCTAATCAAGAACATGCTTGAGGATGTCGGTGGCGGAAGCGTAGAAGAAGAGATCCCAATTCCAAACGTACTGATATACTTCTCCTATTCTAAACTTCGCTAGGTCACGCCTCAACAGCAACTAACAGTACCCCATAGGTCAACAGAGCCGTCCTCGAAAAGGTCATCGCTTGGTGCACAAAGCATCAGGATGACCCCCCAAGCACCGGCGATGAGGACAACGACTCCCGTAGAAGAACCACAGACATCGACGAATGGGATCAAAAGTTCATGCAAGTCGACCAGGAGATGCTGTTCGAGATCATTCTAGTATGTCCTATCCTGCTTCCTAGCTACGTTTCGTAGTATATATATGCTGATGGAAAATCGTGAAACTTCTCTAGGCCGCCAACTACCTTGATATTAAGGCCCTTCTCGACATTGGTTGCAAGACCGTTGCGAATATGATCAAGGGCAAGTCCCCAGAAGATATCCGCAAGACCTTCAATATCCAAAACGACTTCACGCCAGAGGAAGAAGCTCAAATCCGCGCGGAGAACGAATGGGCTGAGGAGTATGTTTCTTTCCTTCTTTCTTTCTTTCTCCCCTATATCTACACATTTCTTTTCCCAGTTACATCATACTGACCACTATCTACAGCCGTTAATCCCCCCCGTCTCCTTACGACATCTTTATAGGAAACTAACTCTCGTCCCTTCTCGAGTATTTTCCTCATATAAATCCGCCATATATACAAGCTCAGTTGCAACTGGTCTTAAGTCACATTCTCCAGCACGATTGGGTTGACATGCGGAATTTTGGAAGGGGAACGCAACGCTTCGGGAACGGGGTGGAAAAGGCGGGATGAAATAAATGAGCTAATATTCAAAAATTCAACCAGAAAGAATCCCACATACACGTCCCTCGCTGTGCCTTCTATTTCCTGCATCGTCGTTACTTTTTTTCCTTTTTTTCCCCTTTCAGATACGACACGGTTCGATTCGATATGATACTGATCGGTCAGGCGTTTGTTCTCAGCTTAGTGTATTTCTTTCAAAGCTCAAATTTATCGTCTCCATTTTAATTATCACTCATATTTCCGTTTTCTTTCTTTCTCTTTGTTCCCTCTTCCCTCATCCCCACGTCCTTAACTAAGTTCTTGAATCTTTCCCCTTGCTTCACAGTCAAAAACAAAAGGGGTGGTACTCTCGTTAATTTATCAAACAGAACATTCTTAATATATGAATGCATACATGAAAACAATAGAATTCAAATTCGTCGTCAGTAAGTATTTTGAAGCAAGCAGCTCAGCCAGCCAGGTATGTATAGGAAGTGAGTTTGTGTGCACATCAATCAGGCTCTATGTATCCTTTCTTCTGTTTGTCTTTTTGTTTTTCATTTCTATTTTTGAATCTCTCTATCTCCCCTCTTTGATCCATGTGTAGATTTTATCCATCCATTCACATACTTCTAATAACAAATCTTCTTGGTTCCCCCTCTTCCCCTTCCCCCTTTTCATTTTCCGGGCTACTCGCTTTCCTTCTTCCCCTGTCCTCCTCTCTCCTTCTGTAGCCGTTTGTGCTGCCAGCTTTCGATGCGTCTCCTCTTTTTCCTCTTCTTTCCTCTTCTTATCTTTTCTTAAGATGTTTTAGGCAACGCTCAGTTGTCTTTCTCGTATCCTTTTCTGTTGCTCGACGTACGTGTGTTGTAGTACATAGTACATGAATAGCTGTGAAGACGATTCCGTTCTAAGATTTAGTCGACCGTTCCAAAAGTTACGGTACGTTAGAAGAAAGCACATGCACAATGTCCGAAAACCGCTTTCTTTGCAGGAGCGAGAAAGATGATGGAACGACCATTGCTCACATTTTTCCATACGCGCGGACCAAGGACGATAAGAAAAAGAGAAAGGAAACGAGAAAGAAATGGAAAAAATTTGGAATTTGGGCTCGTCGTATACATCAGATTTAAAAAACAAGGGCAAAAACCATGCAGAAGAAGCACTCCCCCCCCCCCCCCTCTTTTGCATCCCCACACCACTGATCATTCCCCTTGGTTAATCTCATGAAAAAAAAAAAAAAAAAACCCCACAAAATCCTTGATGCTTTTGAATTCTTTCTGTCCATTTTCCCCGTTTCGCATTCCGGTTTCCCCAACAATGCCATTACAGAAAGTAGAAAGAAAACGAAGAACGAGATCGAACACCCTCCCGGCCAACCAAAAATTTCCCCAGGTACGTTCCTCCTAACTCAGTTTGAGACGTTTCTTATTCCTCCGGGAAATCGACAGGTTTCCGTCGTCGAAATACCCGGACTTTTCAAGTCACAAGACGACCAAAAAGTTGAGATTGTAGGGTCCGTGCCGGAGAATGTACCGAGATGGGAAAAAATATTTTTTAAAAAGACTGAAGCGCGTCATTTAAGCTGGCGGGGAGAAGAGATTTTGCGGGCTTTCTAGGCGGGGAAGGATCGTGTATTCTGCGATTAATCTATATGTTGAGACGAGTCTTGCGCCAGTGCCTCCGCTTGGCGTTATATCTGTGTTGAAAGAAAAGAAATGCTACCAGTCAGCCAATAGTTCTCGATCGCCACCTTTTCTATACAGCATTCATTGCACTCGAGCCCGTGTGTATTGTTTTCCTTCCATATCTTGTCATAAAACCGGAAATTTATCATGTCTCTGCTCCTGAAAATATCCCCCTTTTGCCATGGATACCTGGGATTCACATCCCTTCGATTCTTTTGAGTTTCCCGTCGTATTTCCTCCTCTTCGCTCATGAATTACCCCCTGCCACCGTTTCATTTTTTTTCTTCTTTTGCTCCACCGTCCACCCCCCCCAAATAATCCCATCCCTTGTATGCGCTCCGCAGAAGAAAGCTAGAATTGGAAAATGATTTACCTGATGGTGTTTCCGGTCCGCAGACGAATCCATTGGGGAATGGGACGGTTCTGCTTCTGGGCTTTGGCAAGCTTCTGCTTGGTGCGGAACGATTTCTGGCTCTGTATTTCAGATCCCAAGTTAGCCGTTATTTCTATTCTAACAAGTAGCAGTAGTAGTAGTAGTGGTGGTGGTAGTGGTGCAGCGCCTGCGAGCGGCCGATCGACGTAAGGGGAGGGGACGGGAAGAAAATCAGTAGCAGTCAGTATCTCGCACATACCGGCATCCTGGCGGTCTAGGGCACTGTAAATGCTCGAGACTTGATGGGCGCTGGATGGTTGTTGATGTCGGATGGGGATAGCTGACCGTTACGTGCGGCTGGCTCGCGGGAGTTTTTTGTGTGGGTTTCCTTTTGGTGGCCGGAGGGAACTCGCTTACTGATCGGGTTTAGCGTGGCGGGCCGAATCACGTGATATTGTTGGCGCTCGGCTTGGCGACATTCTAATAAGGTTATTTAAAGTAGGCTTTGGCATGAGAAGCTGGAGCTGTATCTAACCTGCTCAACAAGTCGCAATACAATACTGCAGCTGTGTTAAGTCTGTTCCATGATGTTGATGGGGAGTTGGCGAAAATTTCACCCATTGTTTTATACAACCAAGGCGCATCTGATTAGGGACATGGATGGCAAAGATATTCAGAATACTCATGCTGTTATTTGGGTCGTAGAAGAGCCATAATATTCCCTGGCCCTTCTATCTCTCTCTCTACACCTATGTGCATGTGGAGGTCCCCAACATGGACCCGTTTTACCCCCAGGTCTGGGGAATTTGCGTTTCGACAGAACTCAATATTATTGACAAGGCAGCGGAGCTGTTAGGTTACAGCCTGGCATCGCCCGGTGAAGCCATAGGCCCCTCTATCTTGATCCCTAATCACTCTTTCTCACCCACACCTACCTACCACTGATTCGAAGGGTAGAGCGTGTTCGTCACTATTCCTTCTTTCTTGTCCCTTCAACAGATATGCACATTATCTGTGCCCCTTCAAATTGCAACGGCCAGTCCTAGAAGCCCGCCTTATCCCAAGTTGAACGTCTTCAGTCAAAAGCTACGGAGAGTAGAGAGCTATATATAGCATAGCATGCCCACAGCCTATTTCGGAGGAATTGGGGAACGAGAACCTCGATCTCGTCCTTATCACACGGTAAATCGTGTTATACCCGCGCCGGACTCTAGGACAGCGCTGTCTGATGTATCTTAAAGGTAATTGACAGGACATTTATTTCATTCTATAAACGGCACCCGCATGGAGTTTCTGGTGGCATTATAACCATAATTCGTGGAATGGTCCTATCAACTTTGCTGAGTGTTAAATGATCATCTCAAAATCTATCGCCTTACCACGGGTAAAAAACTATGATAAAAAGGAAACGTGTGAGGGGAACGGGCGGGCTGGATATATGACCCAACTCCCCGGAAGAATGATAGGAAGAGAGTAACCGGTGCAGATTAAGCAGACACAAAGAAATTGTCTGGAAGGTTTATAAAGTTTAAGCAAAGAATGGGAACAATAGTTGAGTTAAGATTTCACCCTAAAAATTGAAAGAAAGGGAGAGCTATTATTATTTTGATAATAATAGCAAGCAGTGCGTGGATGGAGAGGAACAAAGATCTCCCCCCATCTCCACAACCACAGGAACCTTGGGGAAGTTTCGCATAGATCCCGAGTATCCGCAAACGGTCACATTCAGCAAACCTGAAACTCGCTGATCCGTATCAAGTCAAGTACTTCGTACAGACATACAGTAGTACGGTACATTCTTCCTCCATCTCCCTCATTCCTGTCATTATTACCTCTTTGTATGAGGGACATCTGGATGGAGATAGGCCAGCACTGGAGTTAATTTGTCGAACGGTCGGGGTTAAGAGGTGGGTGGGCTTGAGGCTTCGAGAGGAATATTATATATAAGAGTTTAATGTTTTCTTTTTGCATCTCAATCAAGCAAGCAATCAAGAAACATGACATGGATAGCGAACGAGGCCAACTATATTCATACATAACGTCATGTCAGGCAATAACTTTTCCCCTCGAATCATTCCTCTAGCAGTGGCGATTTTGGATCTATTTTTGGCTTGTACGTTATAGGCAGACATAAAAGGTCCGCTCGGAAGTCGAATGGCTAGGCAAATAAAGGCGAGACTTAACTTACCGATCGGATCTTTATTTTTGTGTTTTAATGAACTAGGCTCGTGCACTGTTCGGGTTGGGCGGGTTAGCTGTGGCATAATAAGTCTGTCTACGGGTAACTATATGTCACGCCTCGTTGGGATGATACGGGGAAATGGTTCATTAAGGCTCATCCTGACTCATTATTCATAAGTCACTCTGTGTTGCGAAGGAGGGAGTTTTTTGGCTGTCATTGGGGGCTGCTTTCTTTTCTTCTCCTTTCGTTTCATATTTTCGTTGCCTACCATTGGAGGGTTAGAAGGAATGAACCTTGGAAGAAGCTGCCTTATTTACGTGGATGTTGATGTTGATGCCTGGGTTAGAGCAAAAAAAAAAAAAAAAAAAACAAATAAGCTTTTCGATCTCCATGACCGAAAGACCGAATGCGCTAGGCATGAATTTCAAAGATCTGTTCCGTTGGGCATTTTGGCATCTTTTGATCATCAGGACAAGAGATATATGTATGATGTATGACGAGGGCACACCTGAAGTTCAACCTTCGTTTCTTGTGCTTCTTTCTCGCAGACATCCCTTTCGCCCCTGTCAACCCGTGTGTACCGGCACTGTCCAACGCCCGGAATACATACATAATTGCAAGTGACAAAGGATTTGCTATGTATTGCGATGAGTGAAAAAGGAAAAACAAAATTATGGTCCCGAAAGCTTGCTTGGTTCTTGACGCAGTTATGACGAAAAAATTTAAATTTATTGTTTTATGCCGAGGCTTGCTCATACCGACAGAAGGGGGATAGCACCTTTGCAGCCCGTATATCGTGTGACTCACCAGAATGCAGTCTAGAGATGACTGTAGCCCGGAACGGTTCCCTGTCCCAAGCAGATGGCCCGAAATGTTTCGCATTTGGGGTGCACCGATGCGACCCGACGACCGACCCGGCTTGATTTTTGACTTTTTGAATCCGGGAGCTTTCAAATAGTGAATGGAAAGGTTGGGTGGAAGTAGCTGGTCTCGCAACGTTAGTACCAGACAAATGAAACATGGATTTTCGGGAGGCTTGGACAGCCCTTTTTATTCCCTTTTTTTTCAAATTTTTTTTCAACATTTTTGTTGTGAACAACGAAAATACCAAGCCTCCGATCGGAACCCTGCGTGTGACGTGGGGTTCTTGTCGGGGAGGCGGGTTGACATTGGCTCCGAGTTGCCCATTCAATGTTGACTTGACTGGGATAAGCCCTTTTTTATTAGTGATATCAAAATCGACGGGTAGCGCGTTGAATAAACCACAGCCAGTGGCAGCTCAACAGATAAGCATCAAAAGTTAGTTAGGTTAGCTAGCGAGGTTTTAACCTTAGGAGCTAGCAAGGGAGTCCAAGTCCAGTAATTCCATCGTATTCATGCCGCAGAGACGGAGGCCGATATTTTTCACAGAACAACAGGGTCTGGACTTGAGAAGGAAGGCCCATACAACAAGGATTCGACCATCTCATTGCAACAGAGTACTCTCCCCAGAACCTTGCAAGAAGTTGCAGCAGGATCCTTCCATCGACTTCTCACTTGTTTTGATCTCAGTTATATTAGTTGCGGGAGTTACATTAGTTCCAGACTCAGGCTGAGCAATTCTGCGTCAATCTCGGATCCATCAGACGGCCATAACCCAACACAGTAGTATCCTAACGGGGACTAGTACCGAAAAGGGCAAATAGGCGGTAACCGCAACCGGGCTAGTGCGCAGTCATTTTATGCAGACGGGCACGAAACCTTCCAAAGTTGGTTTGGCGCCACCGGATGCAAGACTTGAAAATAATAATATTAATGCACAATTACAGGCCCTGTTACACAGCAGATACGTCATCGCTGCCACCTGCCACGCATTTGCCATGTCGCCGGGGGTAATTTACGGCCTCGGAACGGAATTTCACGCGTGTTCGCTAACGGGAGTTTATGCAAGATATGCACAGGCCCCAAACCAGCCCAACCCCCCCGGTACCAGATACCTCGCTCCTAGGTTATGGACAGAGTGAGAAACAGGTCACTAGTACAAATTTGGCGCCAGTTCGTTTGCCGAAGCGGCCAATCACAGCCGGTGCAGAGGGACAAACGTACGCTGCGTATGGCAAGCACGGGCGTCGGAAGTCTTCAAGCCCCGTCGTCCCCTTTTTGCTGTTTCTTATTAGTATTACGCAGTATTATTTAGTATTAGGTCTAACTAACTATTCTTGAATGCGGAATTGTGATTGTCTCTCGGAACCCGCCCAGGCTTTGACGCCGCCCAATCGCTGCAAACAGTCCGTCCAGACGACGACCATGGAGAGGGTCAGCAAGCCAGCAATCCCGCCAGGCAGCCAGAGTTGGGTTGGGTTCATCATTGTTTTTGTGAAGCGCCCCCGGAACTTGGAGCCCCCAGAAGCCCCTAGAAAAGCTGGAGGAGGGTTGCAAAAAGCTTGGTTCTGATGGGATATTGGTATTGATATTGATATTGCTGGCGTGCATTTTTTTTTTCTTTTTTTTTCGCCTCCTGACTGGCACTCGCAGGTGGGGGAAATTATATCGATGGATATTCTGGAAAAAGGATAATAATAGCTCCATTCGCATCTTTGAGAATTCCTTTTTTTTTTCCTTTTTCTTTTATTTGCATGAAACATTCTTTTCTTGCTTTACAAGCTGGTGATATTATTATTAATATTACTATTATCATCATTAAAGTCCCCCCACCAAGGCTAAAAAGAAGCCATCAGAAGAAGCTTGTCTGTCTCGCTCTGTTTCCCTGTCTGTCTCGTATAGCTTTGGGAATATTATTAGGCCCGCTGGCGTGTGTTGGGGGTTCATTTGAATTTGAATTTAATCCTCTCTCGTGCCGTTTCATTTATCTCATTTTTTTCTTTCTTTCCCCCTGTTGCCCCTCCCCCTCTGCTCCGTCCCTCTTTTCTATCCTTCTTCCCCCCCTCGAGTCCTGATGGTTTCTTTGTCAGGGTTTTGTCTCCAGATATTGTAGACATAACAGCAAGAGAAACCGCTGGGCGGCCCTGAACCTTCCTGTCGGCGTTTTCCTCTGCTGGGTCAGACTGGCTGGAAACGAGGTCTGGACCATCTTAGAAATCTGGGATTGCAATTATCAATCCCTTTTTCTTCACCTCGTCGAGCTTTTAGTGCGTGAAGGCAAAGCTTAGGTACAGCAATAATGCACGGCGATCCAGAGAAACAGAGTGCTGCGGTGGAGAAATCTGGTGTCCCCGATGCGGGCCCGGAGAGTCCACCCACAGTGACATCAGGCGAGAAACCCCAAGATGCCAACAACAACAACGAGATATCAGGTTCTGGATCTGGATCAACCGTGAGCAATAACGAGGACCATACAAATTTCAAGAAGTTGGACTCGAAGGTGGTTGCCCCGCTGCAGGAGGGAGATCTCGATGCTGCTCTCGCCCATCTCCCAGAACATGAACAGGCAATCCTCAAAGAACAACTCCATATCCCCGATGTCAAGGTTAACTACCTCACGTTGTTCCGCTATGCCACGAAAATGGATATCATCGTTCTCATTATTGCCTCAGTCGGTGCGACTGCTGGTGGTGCTGTGCTCCCACTATTCACGGTACGTACTTGAACTTTTTTTCTTTTTTTCTTTTTCTTTTTCTTTTTTTTTTGCTGCTAAGAGTTGAGTTAGGCGGGGAACATGGCTGGATGCAGTTGTTCTAATTTGACTGAATTTATTTTGTCATAGATTCTTTTTGGAGCCATGGCTGGCACGTTCAAAGACATTACCCTACAAACCATCTCCGTAGACGAGTTCAATTCCGAGATTTCAAAATATGCTCTTTACTTCGTCTACCTTGGAATTGGCATGTTCGTCCTCATCTATATCGGCACAGTTGGCTTCATCTATGTTGGCGAACAGATCTCCCAGAAGATTAGAGAAAAGTATCTCGCCGCCATCTTGCGCCAGAACATCGCATACTTCGACAAACTGGGTGCTGGCGAAATCACCACCCGCATTACTGCTGATACCAATCTGATCCAGGACGGCATATCGGAGAAAGTCGGCCTGACAATGACTGCCCTCGCGACATTCGTGACCGCATTCATCATTGGCTTCATCAAGTTCTGGAAGTTAACGCTTATTTGCTCTTCGACAATTGTTGCTCTCACGGTTCTAATGGGCTCAGCTTCCACTTTCATCATCGGATATAGTAAAAAATCGTTGGACAGCTATGGTGAGGGCGGAACCGTGGCAGAGGAGGTGCTCAGCTCGATTCGAAACGCAACCGCATTCGGTACTCAGGAGAAGCTTGCACGGCAATACGACACTCATCTCGTTGAGGCCCAGAAATGGGGAGTAAAGCTGCAGGTCGTTATTGGATGCATGGTTGGAGGAATGATGGCCATCATTTTCCTGAACTATGGATTGGGCTTCTGGATGGGTTCGCGTTTCCTTGTCGGTGGAGAAGCCAGCCTTCAGGACATTATCACTATTCTTCTGGCCATTATTCTGGGCTCCTTCAGCTTGGGTAATGTGACCCCCTATGCCCAGACGTTTACTTCAGCAATTAGCGCAGGCGCGAAGATCTACAGCACCATTGACCGTGTATCCCCGATCGATCCCACCTCCGACGAAGGTGAGAGACTTGACAATGTCGAAGGTGTCGTCGAGTTCCGAAACATCAAACATATCTACCCGTCCCGACCAGAGGTGGTTGTCATGGAGGATGTCAGTTTGGTAGTTCCTGCTGGTAAAACAACTGCACTCGTTGGCCCATCTGGTTCCGGTAAAAGTACAGTTGTGGGCCTAATGGAGCGATTCTACAACCCCGTTAACGGCGCCGTTTACCTCGATGGTCATGATCTGAAAACCCTCAATCCACGTTGGCTCCGCCAACAGATATCCCTCGTCAGCCAGGAGCCAACGCTTTTCGGCACCACAATCTACATGAACATCAAGCAGGGCCTGATCGGTTCCAGCTTTGAGAAGGAACCCGAAGAAAAAATTAGAGAACGTATCGAGAATGCCGCTAGAATGGCCAACGCACACGATTTCATCACGGGGCTCCCTGAAGGCTATGAGACTCACGTTGGAGAACGAGGTTTCCTACTCTCTGGTGGCCAGAAACAACGTATCGCGATTGCTCGTGCAGTGGTTAGCGACCCGAAGATTCTTCTCTTGGACGAGGCCACTTCTGCCTTAGACACCAAGTCAGAAGGCGTTGTCCAAGCTGCATTGGATGCAGCGGCTGTCGGAAGAACCACAATCGTCATTGCCCATCGTTTATCTACAATCAAGAATGCCCACAACATTGTTGTTCTGGTGGAGGGACGAATTGTCGAACAAGGAACCCATGACGAACTGGTCGACCGTGATGGAGCTTATCTCAGACTAGTCGAGGCACAGCGAATTAATGAACAGCGGGAGACCGTAGACCTAGAACAGGAAGAAGACGAGGATGAGATGATAAAATCCAAGGAGTATACTTTTAATCGTCAGGTTTCTGGACCCGCTCAGAGCGTGTCTTCTGGCAAGTATCGTGGATCTGGCGCAGATGACGAGGAGCTGCAGCGGGCCGACACAAAGAAATCGCTCTCGAGTTTAGCCCTGTCCAAGCGACCTGCGGAACCCGAGCAGAAGTATAGCCTCCTAACCCTGATCCGGTTTATCCTCTCTTTCAACATCCCCGAAGGCATGTTGATGTTCACCGGATTCCTCGTATCCATCATCTGTGGTGGTGGACAGCCCACGATGGCGATCTTTTTCGCCAAAGCAATTGCCACGCTTTCCCTACCCGAACAGTTTTACGATAAACTGAGAAGCGATGCGAATTTCTGGTCACTCATGTTCCTAATGCTTGGACTGGTGACATTAGTGTCATACTCTGTTCAAGGAAGCATTTTTGCTGTTTGTTCTGAGCGGCTAATCCACCGAGCACGACATGAGGCCTTCCGTGCAATGCTTCGACAAGATATTGTCTTTTTCGATCGCGAGGAGAACAGCACCGGTGCTCTGACCTCTTTCCTATCCACCGAAACCAAGCATCTCTCTGGAGTCAGTGGAGTGACCCTTGGCACCATCCTCCTTGTCACCACTACTCTCACTGCATCATGTATCGTAGCGCTAGTAATAGGCTGGAAACTTGCTCTGGTCTGCATCGCAACCATTCCTGTTCTTCTAGGCTGCGGATACTACCGATTTTACATCCTGGCTGTCTTCCAAACTCGATCCCAAAAGGTCTACCAGAAATCTGCCAGCTACGCGTGCGAGGCAACATCGGCAATTCGAACAGTCGCATCCTTGACTAGAGAAGCGGATGTCTGCGGTAGCTACCACAACCAATTGGCAGCCCAAGCTAAGAAGAGTCTGGTTTCCGTTCTCAAATCATCATTGCTGTATGCTGCCTCGCAGTCCATGATGATGTTCTGCATTGCCCTTGGATTCTGGTACGGCGGTACATTGCTAGGCAGCAAGGAGTACAGCATGTTCCAATTCTTCGTTGTTTTCATGGAGATTACATTTGGCGCGCAGTCTGCGGGAACTGTCTTCTCTTTCGCGCCCGACATGGGCAAGGCCAAGTCCGCCGCTGCGGAATTCAAGAGACTCTTCGATAGAAAGCCAGTTATCGACACTTGGTCGAAGGAAGGTGATGTGGTGGATTCAGTTGAGGGCACCATTGAGTTCCGCGACGTGCATTTCAGGTATCCCACCCGGCCTGAACAACCTGTTCTTCGCGGCCTAAACCTGACCGTTAAACCTGGCCAGTACGTCGCCTTGGTGGGAGCTAGCGGTTGCGGGAAGAGTACTACGATTGCCCTTCTTGAGCGCTTTTATGATCCGCTGGCTGGCGGTGTATATGTCGATGGCAAGGATATCACGAGGTTGAATGTCAACTCCTATCGAAGTTTCTTGTCTCTCGTCAGCCAGGAACCCACTCTCTACCAGGGCACGATCCGCGATAATATCCTGCTCGGCGTCGATGCTGAGGATATGCCCGATGAAGAAATCACGCGGGCTTGCAGAGCTGCCAATATCTATGATTTCATCATGTCTCTTCCGTAAGTTCCTCCCTTTTACCAAATCAACAAAAAAGAGAAAAAAAGAAAAAAAAAAAAGAAATCCGCCATCAAACATTTCACCCCTCACCCTAACCCATACACACCACTCACTTACTGACCCAAAAATCAGTGACGGCTTTTCCACCGTCGTGGGCAGCAAAGGCAGCATGTTATCCGGCGGTCAAAAGCAGCGCATCGCCATCGCCCGCGCCCTCATCCGCGATCCCAAAATCCTGCTCCTCGACGAAGCCACATCAGCCCTCGACTCGGAGTCCGAAAAGGTCGTGCAGGCAGCGTTGGACGCGGCAGCAAAGGGCCGCACGACGATCGCTGTCGCCCATCGTCTCAGCACCATCCAGAAAGCCGATGTCATCTATGTCATTGATCAGGGACGGGTTGTGGAGAGCGGCACGCATAATGAGTTGTTGGTGAATAAGGGGAGGTATTTCGAGTTGGTGAGTTTGCAGAGTTTGGGGAAGACTCAGTAATTTCCTCTTTTGTTTTCTTGTTTCTTCCTTCCTTTTTTTCTTTTCTTTTCTTTTCTTTTCTTTTTTTTCCCCCAAAGTGGTTTATTTAGATTTTTCTTCGGATCTGAGCTCCTATGAGAAAGATAGGGGGGTGGGAGAGAAGGGAGAGGACAGGAGAAGAGTATTTATTTTCATTTCACCATTTACCTGTGTTTCTATTATCTTTTTTCATTTATCACACCTCCTTCCTGCTCTGGTGGTACTAAAACTTATTCCCGATGATTCTCTGTGTGCCCATTCATATATATGACTACCAATTATAGGGATTCCTTGTTGTGTATGTTATTACTATCCCCTTCTCCCCTCCTCATATTTTCCCCACTCTACTCCTGCATCTGCGCCCCTGGATGATGTCCCGCGTTTTGGGTTTGCTCCCAGCTTGTCCTCCTTCTATCTCATCCTACCAGACAAAACCTCGCTGCCACATATTTTCCCTGCTTTGGTTAGCGATATATATGTAATATTCCCTTGTGTTTTGTTTTATTTGGTTTCCTCTCATGTTATTATTTTCTTTTTTCTTCTTTTTATATTGTTTAACAGAAATTTTCTTTTTTGTTAAACTGGTCCTTTAACTGGATAACTCTACATGTAATTGTGTATATAGAAATAGACAAAAAAAAAGTTTTGTCTTACATACATACTTTTTCTCTTGCCTTTGTTTTATCTCACTTGAATAAAATAATCAAAAAATTTCTAGAAATATTACTCAACTTCCTCCACTGAAAGCCATTGGGCTCTACGGTCAGAACTTCATAACTAGTTAACTAGTTAGCTACCGATTCCCTAATGATCTGTAAACATGTCCTGCTGGGATGGACCGGCGCGGATACATTAAAAAGAAATTTTAACTGGAGCGGTAAAAACGCTCTCCGCCCAAGTTCTGGCTTGCTGGTTCGTTAGGTATCACTGAGGTGCTTGAGGATGAGATAGTAAAATGCACGGAGGGGCTTTCTTTCTTTCTTTCTGTCTTTCTTTTCTTTTCGTTTTTTAGCTACTTTCAGCCTGAATCATATCCCCGCCCTGAGCGCAAACGAGGTTATGTCTCCAGCTGATCAACTCAGCTACTGGGAAGCGTACCTATATATAAATCTACCGAGATTTCCTTAGGATGGCACGTAGCTACAGTAAGAACTTACTTAGTCAAAAGTAAGCAGACTAAGATGCTGGTGGGGGGTCTCCTGTATTGTCTCTGACTGGAATAGGAGAATAAAAGGAATAATAATAATAATAATAATCTGAAAGTTCACTGTGTGAAGCTGAGATGAAGAATCAGCTAGTTTCACCATGTCAAAATGTTAGATATAGTGACGCAATGCTCAGGTTGCTACCTCATGAAGATCTGTATGGGGTTGTGGCTTTACGTTATGTTCGAGTGGCATTAGACCCGCCCTTGCCTGTCGCCTTAGCAGCTCGGCCATCCTAGTTACTGATAATTGGTCGTCAGTACTCCGTAGGTAGTTATAGAACACTAAACACGGGCTAAAGCCCTCGTCGTTGGTCTAATCAGCAAGTCATCCTTAGAAAGGATTAGTCTTCAAAGGCAATTCGTGTGTTTAAATGAGTTGTCGTGCCGATAAAAGAGATGCAGGGCAAGATGGTAAGATTTAACAGGCCGCAATATTTACGTTTGTTATAATGCAATTTACCCATTCCGGAGCTTTCCAAAAAGCTTTACTTCTCAACATCCGCTGTATAAATTCAGCCGTCTAGAGGCTGGTTTGGAAAGTTGGGCGAAATTGATTCTAAATTCTTGAGAGGCGGTGAATTTAGCTGTCCACCCGGCGGCCTAAGTTCGATCCGCAAAGAGATCAAAACCGGTATAATGAAGAGAATGGAAGTGGAATTCTACCATAAGCGTTGTTGAAGAGCTGTAACTACATCTTTAGAATGAACATCAAGATGGCGTTTAGGTAGCTACGTTAAACGCGCTACGCGGCTGTGGAATGCTCGCTTTCACCTGCTTAAACCACCAGCATCATCCCGCGGGTGGGCCTTCACTCACACTATTCAACAAAATAACTAATAAATCAACTTGAGTGCAGCTATCCAGGCTACCGCGGCTTTTAAATGGCCGGCTCCCCTTTTTAACCAAGAATCTAAACCTATAAAATCCAGTAACGCATGGCTTCCAGATCATCGTTGCTACGATTTTCCCTAGCATTCCTTCGAGCTCAGATAGATACTAAGTCGAGTCTTGCAAGAGTAGACAGCCCAAAAATGAATGAGTAGCCGCGGATTGCACCTGGAGGCCCGTTTTAACCAACTCATGCAGACTGGGGACTGTGGCTGTTGGCGAAACCTGGCTAAGCCCCTTCCGAAGCTGCATTTTGCTTCTCAGCCTCGTTGCTGTGCCTCATTCCCGAGAGGGTTCTCCCGAACGACACAACCCACCAGCTTCCGCATCTATTAAAACGTCCCGAAGTTTCAGGAACTTCTTGTTTTCCTTTCCTTTTCTTTTAAGTATTGCTCCCTGTGACGCTATATATTCTACAGCCCGCGTCCATTATGTCTCATCCACACAACACACCTGAATATCGGCTTGCTCGTACCGATTCGAAAAACCCAGCAACCACATGCCGGGGCTTGAGGGCTGATGGACAGAAGTGTCGTCGGACTGTAGTTTCAGCCAAATTATCACCTCCTCCCTCGCCGTCAAAAGGAGTGATTGTAGGGAAGAGTGAAATTGGTAGCATCACCACTGCTGCATTTTGCTGGCAGCACAAAGACCAGGAGGTCCATATCAACTCACCCTCCACGGAACCACCTAAACCCGCTTCGAAGTTGAAATTGCGATCTAGTATTGAAACTCTGGTGGAGAGGGTTCAATTGCTGGATGTTGATGATCAACGCCGCCCTGCTTCAGCGGGGAACGCTTTTGACACCGCGTCTGCCCGTAGAAAGCAGCAAGCACCCATTCGCGCAGAGCTACCTCTTGGCGGGCATACCATCCAGCGCCGTGGAACAAGGAGGCACTCAATGGATACTCCAGGGGTGCATGTCTGCCAACCTGCCGACAATGCACCGCTTAGCTCCGCACAGTCAAGAACTCATTTACTTAAATATAAATTGAAATCGAGCAGCAAATCCAGCGTTGGAGGAAAAATCGTTCGTTTTATTATGGGTATGGGCGACGATGAAGAAATCGTCGTTTCGAGAGTGCGACATCGTCGCACGGCTTCAAATAACGAATCAGGAACTTCCAATATATCTTCTCGACCACCAGCCGTCCGGCCTCCATTTCAATCCGCAGATACTATTCATGGAAGGCATTCACGCCCATCCCGTGCATCAAATTTTCACGGATCTACACAACTTTCAGTGTCTCAACCATCAACTCCTGAGCGCCGACCTAGAACTAGCGCGCGATTTCCATCTCCTTCGCCAGCAAGATTAAGGCAGCCATCACTGCAGAGCAGCCCCGCTTCTACTATATCAGAGACGGATGCCCTTCTACGCTGGATACCCAGCTATCTCTCACCGATGACTCATTCCACTCTTCTAAAGCATCTATCGGAGCCAATATCTGACTCAGACGAGCCGGGATATATATACATGTGCTGGGTAACTTCACACACTCAGGCCACCTCCCCACCAGCAGCGGAGATCGCCTCATCTCTCCTACCCACATCACCTGGCAATGGCATTAGGAGAAGAAACACAGGCGAAATCATGCGCTCCGCCGGCGTTGCGCCAAATAAAGTACAGGGGTCGCAAGAAACCAAAGCTACAGACACAATTACTCTGAAAATTGGCCGCGCAGCCAACGTCCACCGCCGAATGAATCAGTGGAAGGAACAATGCGGTCATAATCTTACTCTAATGCGGTATTATCCGTACGTGCCTTCGTCACCATCTGTGCACCTGGGTGCACCACTCCCCCCTCGGAAGGTGCCGCATGTGCATAAAGTAGAGCGATTGGTGCATTTGGAGCTTGCAGATAGGAGGGTCAAGTTGCAAGAGCCGTGCGAGCGCTGTGGAAAGAAACATAAGGAATGGTTTGAGATAAAGGCTGATAGGGAGCAGTTGAGAATGGTTGACGCGTGCGTGAAGAGATGGGTAGAGTGGAGTGAGCATGAGGCGAGGAAAAGTGGGCGGACTGTAGGTTGATTATTCTTGAGAAGTGCGGGATTGGATAACCATTGTTCTTGTTACTTTATTTTTCCTGATATTCCATTTATTTGCTGACTTAGACACTGATGCACGTTTATTTCCCTAGGGGATAGAAATCAAGTAACCACTGACGGAATAAAATTTGGGGTAGAACCCTTAACTCGATGAGTTTATTTACCCTTAAGCCTTTAGCTGTTTGAATTTACTTACTACATGGTAGCCTCCTTGGCCATCTATTCATTCCGCCAGTCAACCGTAATATGGTTGAGTATAAAAAATATCCCTTCTGGGGCATTGTCGTGAGGGGTACCACAAATATCATTATATTGACTACTATATTGCCCATCACCCCAATTTTGAGAGAAAAGGGAAAGGGGCCTGGAAGATGTGACGAGAAGATTTGCCTTGCAAGTACGATTTGCTGTGAGAATCAGAGATTCCTGGGACAATAGCAGGTTTCCTACTTACGCCTACTAGGGAAGTATCCGGAATATTGCTTGAAATTCCCTAGCTGAAGACATCGCAAAACATTTCTATACGACTTACATCCCTTTTTTAAGGGCCTTGGATTCCTAGCAGCGGCCGATAACTTATATAAACACTATAATTATACAGCACGTCGACCTGAGTGCTGATTTAGAACTTCACTCCTAACTTCCAACCCACGCGGCAAGCACGACTCCAGATGAAGCAGACCAAGGAGGCGATATAACAAGCCGCAGTCCAAATGACGACACCCCAATAGCGTCCACCGGTCACTCGAACAAGACTCCCCGCAATCGGGATACCCGTGAGTGTGCCAAATGAGACAATTGTATAGCAGGTTGCGAAGTACCTTCCATAGTCATTTATGTGGCAGAGCTGCCCGACGCATACTGGAGTCAATGATATGTTGGAACCAGAGGCGAAGCCAAAAATCAGCGCATACGTGATTGAAAGTGCCTTGATAACGGTTACGGAGGAGGAGTAGGAATCGCCTGTGGTAAGGATTGATGCAGGGAGCCACAGGGTTAGAGTCATTGCTGTGCAAAGAACAAGTGCAGCAATCATGCTGTTGAAGCGACCTAGCTTGTCGGCGATGTACCCAGGCACTGACCGCTCGATGCAGGAACCCGCGTTCATTATTGCTATGAGCTGATATGACATTCCCTGTGACATGGCGCCTGTGGATAGGCCAAAGGAAGTAAGATAGGTTATTGGAACGAAAAGCGCCCATTCCATGAAATATATCCCCAACGTAAGCGATAGGTACGACTGGTCTCGGAAGATGCTTAGGTTGGGCATAACCGTTTGTCCGGGCTTGGGAGGTAATCGCGAGCGAACGAGGATTACCGCGACTGCGCAACAGAAGATGACAACGAACCCGATGATCCTGGTAGCCCAAGCAAACCCAACCTTGTAGAATAGCTTCTGCAAAGCTAGCGGGAATATGATGCCACCCAGTGAACCCCCAGCTGCCGCGATGCCCGTGGCAGTTGCTCGCTTTTCGAGGAAAAAGTGGCTTACTGCTGCCAGCACCGGAGTGACCATTAAAGACACACCCAAGCCACCAAGCACGCCAAAGCAAAGCATAAAATGCCAGAACTCAGTACATGATCCGAGAAGTAGCATGCTAGTCCCCATGCAGACGCTGCCGGCAAGCATAAGCATTCTGGGTCCCCGAGCGTCGAACACGGGTCCGATTTGAATGCCACCGAAGAAACCGAGGAAGATGAAGACGCTGAAAATCCAGCCAATTGTGGCCTCATCGTATTCTTTGAGTTGATGCTCACCAATGTACGAATGGAAGGTGCCAACTGTGTTCCTATAATAGAAATTAATCAGTGAAAATTGCTTTTCCACTTTGTTTTCGGAAAGTCGACTCACATCATCCCAAGGGAGACCGCAGTTCCGAAGCAAGATCCGACAACAACCAACCATGCCCTGAGGCCCCCTTCAGGGTAGGACATTTCATCGCTTTCTGAGCCTCTGACAGATTGAGATTCAGCATGGTCGGGATTCTTATTCCCTTCATTCACATTTGACTATAGCCCAGGAGGAGCCGGGGGATTCAACTTTTCTTTAACTGAGTCATTGATCGACCCTCCTAGCGGGATTTTTGAAGGTTCCTCTACTGTTTCCTCAGGCCTCTTGTGCACTGAGGCATCATAACCCGCAGCTTCCGATGAAGCGCAAGTTGAAATGGCACGATCCGAAGAATTGGAAGGAGGACCAGCAAAATCAGCTGGTGGGAGAACGAACGCCATCGCCAGCTAATCTGGACAAGAATCAATTGCGCGCCTTGCTTATCGGGGGCACCTCTCTCTATATTATCTCGAACGTAGGCGAGGAGCGAATGCTACCAATATCGATTATTCCCTTTTCCGTCGGTGGGAGATAATTGGCTGAACGTCTTTGGCGTCGCGCCGCAAAAAATGGCATCTGATGAGGTTTTGCGAACAGAGCATTCCCGTCCAAGACTGTAGAGTGCAATATTCGATTCATGGCTGAGGTTGCGGAGGGCTAAAATCATATTTGCCATATTTGGTCCTAGGTGAAATTTCTCGAAACTACCTACTACGTACACCTCTGGGAGTTAGCGGTTCGGCCGACACATAGTTCTACACCATAACTATGTGTCATGGAAAGAGGTCCTTCTTCTTTTGACAAGGGTGGGGGACAGACGCTTAAATAGTGCATTGTATGTAGTGTATGTACTAGATTTCTGGGCGAGCTGCTCCTTGTCTACTCCATATATACGCTGTACATGTACAAACGAGATATTGGTTTCCTTAAACCGACCTTCTCTCAGTTTTATATACGAGAGATTCCAGCCTGACCAAGTTTATTATGTTGTAGATAGTGTTACTGGTGACTTTCTATATACATAGTGTCTTTGCCTGGGAGTCAGGTAACTCTTGCAAGATTCTTTTGATGATATTTTTGAAGCAGGAATGAAACTTACATTTTTGTTTCAAAAATAGGAATTGGAATATATATTTGTTGGATATTATCAACTGCAGAGTGTATTTAATAATAGCAAAGAGCTTTGAATACCTGGACGTGAGTGACGGATTTCTGCGAACAACTTGAGGAAATTAAATATTTAATCTAGCTATCGTACTCATATTATCGACCACCAAGCCGTGTCAGTGCTTTGAATTGGAATGCATTTCAGGAGATGGAAGAATTGGTGTGATTATGGCCAGCGAGTTAAAACACCAAGCCTTGACGTTGACGGCATTGGCATGGACGCCGAAATAGCCAGCCCGAGCTCAGGTTCTCCTCGTATTTGAATGCGGGGAAAGCTGGTTTGGCAAAGCTAAGTTATATAAATAATTAAATACGTCCTCCACAATACTCACTAACAGCAAAGCGACCTCTCATTTCTGCTTTCCTATTCAACTATTCTGGATAAACGCAACCTGCCATCTCTCCTACATATAATAACCTCCTGAATTTAGGAGGATCTCACACACCAACTAGACAATTTTTCTCAACTTCATATACACATCATACCAATCCGTTTTCAAAAAGATAATAAGGAGAGTGGAACAAAGAAACAAAAAGATGGAAGGACGCTGCCAATGCGGTCTAATCCGCTTTACCACTCCTTGCCCCCGCCCTCTGAAAATCTACATCTGCCACTGTACTCAATGCCGCCACCAATCCGCCTCCTCCTACGGCCTAACGGCCATCTTCCCCAGTTTCGATATCCCAGAACCGGAACCTAGTGTCTCCCACACAATCACCAACTACGACCCAACATCCTCATCAGCCATTGGTATCCACAGACGGCAGACGTTTTCCAACAAGATTATGGACTGTCTGTTTTGCAAGCAGTGTGGGGTACGCTTGATGCATCGGGTGCGCGGGGAGGAACGGTTGAGTGTTAAGGCCGGATGCCTTGAGGGCTTGAACAAGGAAATGATGGCGGGTGCGATACACATCTGGTGCAAGGAGGCAGTTGTTGAGATTCCTGAGGGAGCGGAAAGATGGGATGAGGAACCTAGTCAGGGGTCGTTCAATTGAGGCATTGGATTTATGCAAGACACATGTATATCAGTGTTGGGGTGAGAGTTATAAGGTAATTGATGAGAGATTGAGTGCATCTATATTGTTTAGTTTGTCTCATCTCTTTTCGTAATGAAGACTGCTCAAATCGGAGAATTCAATTTGAGCAAATGCTATTCAGATAACTATGCTTGATATATTTCTTCTGTAATACAGCCAGCCGCTACTGTTCATAACCAACATATACAGCGTAGTCAGAAGCACAGGATAGGCGATTCAGGATCTCTACCTTAACCCAGTCTTTACTCAAAGAGGCCTTTCTATCATTATGCCTTTTCTATTTTCATGTTCTGGGACCTACCCCATCCCTTGTATGATTTCCCCTTCATATTATGGGTGACACAGAGTGAATCCATGAATGATGCAAGGAGAGTATGGAAATGTGACATATGCATGGCTTTACTTGGCACTACATGAATATAAGCATGTACATACATATGTTCATTTTCAAATAATATGACAGGAGTATTTATTTACAAAAGATTTTGATAGAATGAGTTATGTGATAACAAATAGTAACAGTAAAAATGAGAACTAAGCTATGCATGAGTCTCCATCTGCAAGTCACTATATAACATTGTCCTTGATTTCTTTTTCTTTTCTTTTCTTTTTTTTTCAATGAATACAGTACTTTTTAATTGAGATCTTAACCAGACAGAGAAAAATTTGAAGTACAAAGTTTACCTCTTAAGATGTAGAAATTATATTAATGAACTCTTCTCTGTTCATCTGAAGTTTATTTACTCAACTTGTTTCTTTGAAAAGAACATTTCTCATTTACCTGGTTTTCTATGTATATACAAACTATACAAACTTACATGCCATGCCTATGTTGAGCTCTTTCTTTGTCCCCATAACATATTGTATTTGTCTCATTTAGTTGTGATTAACTACTCTGATGCTCTCCAGGAGAGAGACAGGGCCTGAGTGGTAGACGGATAGATACACACCACAAGCATTGCCAGCCAACCGTCAAAATTAGCTTTTAATGACCCGCGGCTGAGAATGAGGCCCCACCAACCCTAACCTTATTCCTACCCCAGATTTCCTTCCAATTCAGCCTCCTAAAGTTCTTGATCGCAGCCCAGGAATGGCCATCCATAATCCAACTGGATGATCGAATATTATCCCTTCCCCGGTTTAGGTTCACACCTAATCGCTACTCCAAAAAGCCTAACGTAATGCACACTATCCACGGCTCCTTGACCGCCGCCCATTAGCAAAGAACAACATCTAGGGCAACAAGCAGCCAAAATGCCCGTCCAAGCAGCCATGGATGCAATTCCGGAGTTTCCCGTGAAGGGCGATGCAACAGCCGTGGCTGTCAACAGCACGAACACAACTACCACCAACACGACCCTCCCCGAAACCAACAAAAGCGACTCCCACAGCTCCACCTTAAACTTCAACATCAAGCAACCTTCTCGCAACCTTAACCGCCCTCCTCACCCCCCTCCAAACAGCCATGGACAAGCATCTCCCAGAATCCTCCAAATCATACCTCTCATCCTTTATAGACACCTACTCAGCTCGCCTCTCCGCTCACCCCCACATAACAACCTTCGTCACAATCCAACTATTATTCGCGGCCCTACCGCTACTTCTCTTCACCCTCTTCGCGATAGGGACGATACTCTTCTCGCTAGTCCTGACGTTCCTGGGCGCTGTAGCACTAAGTGCGCTAGTTATCGGCGGTGCGTTACTGGTTCTTGTACCCGTCACGGTTTCGGGGACTGTTGTGGCAGGGATGATGTGGATTGGATGTTGGATGGGTTGGTATGGGGTGGTATGGACTGCGCTGGCTTTTGGGAGGCTCGTTGGGAATAATAACTCCGACCAGCGGAATGGGAGAGCTAGGGAGAATGATGAAGATGGGGTTGTGACGGGGAAGTGGGAGGGAAAGTGGGAGGAGTGGATGAGGAAGGAGAAAGAGGGAGAAGAGAGAAGGGATTTACGTGGAATGGAAAATGAAAAGGCAGGCTGGTCGAAGTTGGATGGTTGTCATAATGTCATCGATGATGGGTCACGGGTTGCCGGTGTTTCCTCCGGTTTATCAATGTAAATAATTCACTGAGCAACCACTAGAAATGGAAAACATGGGAAATTATATGTCTACGCGTAAGTTTGCGGTATGATATCATTAAGTATTATTCTGCATTTAGCTAGGCTCATTTTATGATGCATGTAATGGTTTTTTTTCTTTTTTCTTTTTTCTTTTTCTTTCGAACTTCCGCAAATATTAACTTCCAAGTACTGTTGCAAAAACAATCTGGCCGAATCAAATATCGATGAACAAGTTGCAAAAATGAACAGGACATCATGCTGTAATGCCGTACATGTGTACTCCGTACCAATATCCAAGTTATAAAAACCTCCAACGATAGATAAAGCAAAGGGAACGATGTAACCAGTAACTGAGAAAATGGGGGGGGGGGGGTGGGGCGGACCGGCTTGCAAACACTGTAACTATGACGTTGTTAGACCCGGACAAATAACTGTTATATTATTAGGGACATCAGTAGCATTTAACAGCACCAGTATACAGATAAATGGATGCCCAAAAAAAAAAAAAAAAAAAAAAAAAAAGGGAACTGAACCAACTCAAACTGAGACAAATGCTTGACATAAAAGCACACCTTACAACTTGAAGTGACTATTAGGCGGCTAAGTCTGTGTCAAAGACAAAAATGATTTTATTTTATTTTATTTTATTTTATTTATTTTATTTATTTTTATTTATTTTATTTATTTTATTTATTTTATTTATTTTATTTATTTTATTTATTTTATTTATTTTATTTATTTTATTTTTATTTTTATTTTAATTTTTTCTCGTTGCAATCAAAGCAAAAGGAACAAGGCAGTCAGTAAGATTCTAAGCAGGATTTGCATTTCAATCTTGGAGATGAGTAACCGGCACCAAAACAATAATTGGAACGAGTAAAATTCGTCTTCCATCCGAAATGATAGAGAGGCCCGGAGAGAGCAAAGGTGGAGGGCTCGAGAAGTATATGTTACCCGCTACCCTCATTCTCGCTGTCACTAAGCTCTTTGCCATGGGGGTTGAAAATCTGCAGTCCAAGCTCCTCATTTCGATCAAGAGTTTCCGACACGTACAGGGAAAGTTGTCGGGCGAACTCGTTTCCATCCTCAGCCCGACCGGCTAGCATGGAAACCACCTCCGTAATGACGTGTTGACAACAATCCTTTTGTTGGCGAACCACATCGATATGCTTATCTTTCAGTAGGAGTTCTGCCCGGCAGTCCGCAAGTTCATTGGCAGATTTGGTATGCTCGGCACGCCACGTCTCTTGAAGGTAAGAGAGGTGATACTCAGCAATATTTTGTCGTGTTTTAGCGAGGTAGATATCTTCGGAGAGCTCCTGTTCCCTTGCTAGCTGTTTGAGGGTTGAGATCTGGATTTTATCATGAGCCGCAGTCAAGCTAGCTTCTAGTTCCGATTTGGTAGCATTTAGCTTTTCTACCTCCTGCTCGAGTTGTGCACATCGGCTCTGAAATTGTTCTGTACATTGGGCGAGATTGTGGAAGTTTTGGAAATATGTAAGGTTGCTGGCTTCGTATTCTTCAATCTGCTTAAGCAAAAGGTTGTTTTCCTGGCAACGGTATTCGAGCTCTTCTCTTTGTTTCCCAAGCTGTAATTTAGACTCTTCTATTACCTTCTCCATCTCTTCGAGCTGAACTTGTTGGTGATTTGCGAGGGCTTCCAAAGCCTTAGCTCTCGGTTCAACAGCAGTGTATGACGCCTGAAATCGATCCCGCTCCCGTTTGAGTTCATCGATCTTGTCGTCTCGGCGTCTAGTAACAGTAAGAAACCTTTCGTTCCAAAAGGATTTCTGGTTCTCAAAGGAATCTCTTTCTTCTCTGGCGTCCTCCAGTTCTTTCTTGATTTCCTTGATCTTGTCATCTTGGGCCCTTGTCACAGTACCAAACCTTTCGCTCCAAAATATGTTATGTTCCTCAAAGATATTTCTTTCTCCTCTAGTGTCCTCCAGCTTTTTTTTGAGTTCATTGACTTTGTCGTCTCGGTCTCTGCTCACAGTAACAAACCTTTCATTCCAAAATGTTTTTTGTTGCTCAAAGGCATCCCTTATTTTTTTAGCATCCTCCAACTCTTTCTTGAGCTTATTTTTCTCATCGACAACAGCTCTCATTTTCTCTTTATACTCGTCTTCTAATGCTGCGATGTGAATTGCATGCCGTTGCTGCTCATATTGAAGACGAAAGTCAGGTTCATCAAAGGGCGTCATTCTTTCTTCCTCTATGTCGCCGTCCTGGAGAATAGGAGTGTTGCTACTGGGCACGACTATAGGGCTAGGTGGAGCCTCAACGGGAGGAGCGAGAGCACCTGTAATAGAGCCCTCTTCCGCAAAGTTAGAGCAGGTATCATTTACCTGAGTGGAAAATCGGCTGCATGAACCGTTTGCATTTTCGAGAACGGCCGGTGATGCAGGCGGATGCAAGGGGCGCAGAGAAGCGCAAGGGGAGACTTCGAGAATCAATTCCGAATCTACTTTGCAGCTTGACGGTCTTCCGGCGCGCCAACTCCGGGGTGATAGGCGGGTTGTTCGAGCTTTTGCTTTGCCAACCGTCGGACTAACAGAGGCATGGCCGTGTCCCTTGAAGGATATCATTCGCGTGAATGACATCAACTAGCACTGTAAGTGCATGCGTAAAATAATATATGGGGAGAGGAGGACTAACCTTCATTCTAGTTGCGGCTGCGGAAAACTTTTCTAAAATAAACATACTGAGGTGACCAGTTAAGGATGAAAAATATAAATTAAAATAAAAATAAAAAATGGATGGACGGGGTGGGATATTTCCTAAATTGCGCACGGCGCTGATAATGAGGACAGGAGATGGTGTAAAACTTCGTGGTGGTGTGTACCGCAGGCGTGCTACTTGGTTTGGAGGCCTGAGAGCCACGGAATTTCTATGATAGGGCCGTTTGAAGGAAGCAAGGCCGTGAGATTTGATCAAGATATCAATAATATGGCGATGCTAGATATACTTGTAGTAGAAACACGTAGCAGATCTCAGGAATCCCAAAACTGGATGGAGAGTGTTATTGACGCATCAGAGCAGCTATACATCCATATATATGTTAGAAAAGAAGAAGTAGAAAAGTAAGTCATGTCAGAAGGAAAATGCCTTTGTATTAAACAACGTAGTTGTACAGGCACTCGTGAATGCGAAGGTTCTAATAGCAAATAGAGTTGGGAATCTTCCCCGTTGTCTGCTCTCGAGTGCATGTCAACAATGCTGGCCGGTAGATATTAACCATTTCTCCATTAACTGCCTGAGTTTAAACAAGCTCAAGACAGGTCCATGGTAAAATCCGCGAAACCTTATCGTGAACAAACAAACTTAAATGTAGAGACAAGCTAGTAAAACATAGATGCGAGTGTTTAATCGCATGAGGGTTTATGCGTCGTCAAGGATAACCGGAGAGTTCCCTTTACTGGCAACTACCGGGATGTGCCAAAGTCACGCATATAGTATGTATGCTGTAAACCGTTCGCAAATATGTAGGTTTGAGAGTTCTCAATCCAACTAAAAAGCATAAAGAGGACATTCTTAACTCCATGGGCATTGCTTGTCTACCGGGGTAAGGTCTGAAGCCCAAGGACAAGAAGAATTATGGAGCTGTAAGGAGAGAAAGACAGTTGATGTGTTGATACGCAGGTTAATGATAAGGTGGTGGTTGATGGTTTGCGTCGAGTTTAGTCCAAGAAGGGAAAAGGCTGGCGGTTCCAAGAAGCGCGTGGTACACGTGACCCCGCTGCTGCGACCACAGTGTCCTTAATGCGTTAGCGCCGCCCGAACTGGACAACAAGCACAACTCAGACGCCGCCCGAAGTAAACCATCGCCAAATCTCAACCTCAACCTCAACCTTCAACCTAATCTCCATATATTCGTCCTTTCTTTCTACTTCCTTTCTGTCTCCCTGCCCGCCATCTCCCTTTCTTTCTCTTCTTTTAATTCTCCTTTTTTGTGTTTTATTTTTTTTCTTTTCTGTTTTTGGTTTCATAACCCGCGTCTCTGCCTGGGCCTGGTTTTCTTTTTCCCACTCCTTTAATTCGTGGGTCAATCGAGGACAAAGCCGTCACAATGAGTGGCCGTGAGTATCCCTGACACCTGTACCGGAATATCCAACAATTGCAGTTCGTTCTGTTTCGGATTCTAATTTTCACTACAATAGTACGCTTCCTCGACTTGATCAAGCCCTTTACGCCCCTCCTCCCGGAGGTGGCAGCTCCCGAAACCAAGGTCCCCTTCAACCAGAAATTGATGTGGACAGGTGTATGTTGCTGTATCCTGCCATAGCGCGCGTAATTGCGTGGCTGTCCGCGTACTGATTTATTTGCGCATAGTTAACTCTACTTATATTCCTGGTGATGAGCCAAATGCCGCTCTATGGTATTGTTTCTTCAGATACCTCCGATCCGCTTTACTGGCTCCGCATGATGTTGGCCAGTAACCGTGGTACCCTTATGGAATTGGGTATCACTCCCATTATCTCCTCTGGCATGGTTTTCCAGGTACGCTTCATGTGGTAGAGAGACAGGCTGGTTCGGGGAAATCACAGCATTATACTTACATGTTTTCGCAGCTTCTTGCCGGAACTCACCTCATCGATGTCAACCTCGACCTTAAAACCGATCGCGAACTTTACCAAACCGCACAAAAACTTTTCGCAATCATCCTGTCTTTCGGACAGGCATGTGTCTACGTTCTTACCGGCCTCTACGGCCAGCCGAGCGACCTTGGTGCCGGTGTCTGTGTTCTATTGATCGTTCAGTTGGTTGTTGCTGGCCTTGTTGTCATCCTTTTGGATGAGCTTCTCCAGAAGGGCTATGGTCTTGGAAGCGGTATCTCTCTTTTCATCGCAACCAACATCTGCGAGTCGATTATCTGGAAGGCCTTCTCTCCTACCACCATCAATACTGGACGTGGCCCGGAATTCGAGGGAGCCGTCATCGCTCTCTTCCACCTGTTGCTCACCTGGCCAGACAAGCAGCGTGCTCTTCATGAGGCGTTCTACCGCCAGAATCTCCCCAATATCATGAACCTCCTCGCCACTCTCCTCGTTTTCGCAACCGTCATCTACCTCCAAGGTTTCCGCGTTGAGATCCCTGTCAAGTCTTCCCGCCAGCGTGGCATGCGTGGCTCCTATCCCGTTCGCCTCTTTTATACCTCCAATATGCCAATTATGCTTCAGTCCGCTCTCTGCTCCAACATTTTCCTGATCAGCCAGATGCTGTACTCCCGCTTCTCGGATAACCTTCTTGTTAAGCTTCTAGGAGTCTGGGAACCGCGTGAAGGTGGATCTGCTCAGCTCTATGCTGCCTCTGGAATTGCCTACTACATGTCTCCCCCTCTCAACTTCAAGGATGCTCTCCTGGATCCCATCCACACCGCTGTCTATATCAGTTTCATGTTGGTTGCCTGCGCTTTGTTCTCTAAGACCTGGATCGAGGTTTCCGGCTCTGCTCCCCGCGATGTTGCCAAGCAGCTCAAAGATCAGGGACTTGTGATGGCTGGACACCGTGAGCAGAGCATGTACAAGGAACTCAAGCGCGTTATCCCTACTGCAGCTGCCTTCGGTGGTGCCTGTATCGGAGCTCTTTCCGTGGCTAGTGATTTGCTTGGGGCTCTCGGAAGCGGCACTGGTATCTTGTTGGCTGTCACGTAAGTCCTTCAGTTATTGTTCGTCACCGTCACATATCGCGTTGTCACTAATAGTTGTATAGTATCATCTACGGATATTTCGAAATCGCAGCACGAGAAGGTGACTTCGGTGCTGGCCTGAAAGGTTTAGTGCCCGGAAACTGAACGAATCTCGTTTTATGACAATTCGGGAAGATATTTTCACAGTCTGTCTTAATATATTCCCATTATATTTTTCTCTATTTTCTTTTCTGTTCTGTGGTGGTTATAAATACTCTCTCTTGTGACGTATCACATAAGTTGAATCTTCGGGCGGAGTATCCAGAAAAGTCAAGTGACGGGAGCCAGGTAGTGTTCGGGGGAATCGGTTTCTTCTCCCCTAATGAGTTTAGGTCTACACCTGAGCAGAATACAATCCACAACAGCCTTTTTTCCACCAAACTTCTTGGATTCCGTTTTCTTTTGTTCTCATACCTCAACTTCACCTATTTCTAAATCCATTTTCACTGAAGGAACATGGACTGTATTTGGCTAGGAGGGAGAAAAGCGCAAAATTATTAGAGCGGCCTAGTTTTCTTGAAACAAGAAAAGGAAGATGAGAAATAACCAAAATGTATATATACATCAACCTGCCTGCTTTCTACCTATTTAGTTGTGTGTATAATGAATCGAGTTTGTTTTTCAGAATAAGTGCCTTTCTCCAAGCATGATTGGAGAAGAAAGCATCGCACTGTATTCTTCAAACCAACATCCCGCATCAAGGCAATAAACAAGCCTTATCTAGAAACAATACAACAATAAACAAAGAAATTTTCGCAAAAAAACTTCTCTCCTCTCCGCAAACCCCTCCTCAAACTCCCTTTTCTTTACCTCAAGTCCTATAATCCCCATTGATAGTCACATACTCATGACTAAAATCGCAGAACCAATACACGCCTTCTTCCCCACCAAGTCCTTTGTCCCCCTTCTCTCCCCCACCCAGATCAACCACAATCTCCAAATCCTCATCTTGCAAAATCCGCGCCGCCCTCTCTTCATCCACAGCCTCTGGCTCCCCATTAACAAGTAACTTCAACTCCTCACTTCCATCAACCGGTTTAAAGCTCACACTCGTCCGTTCAGGAACCACCGTCCCCTCCGCGATCCCCTGCGAATACCCAATGGCGCACAGGATCCGCCCCCAATTCGCATCCTTCCCGTACAGCGCCGTCTTGACCAGCGGCGACCGCGCGATCGTCGACGCAATCACCTTCGCATCCGCGTGCGAGGGAGAATTGCGCACGCGCACCGTGACGAATTTCGTCGCGCCTTCGCCGTCGCGCACGACGAGTTGTGCGAGCGACTGCGCGAAGTTGGTTAGGATGGTTTGCATGGCGGTGTAATCTGGGGAGGAGGTGGTGGTGATTGTCTCGCCGCCCGCGGCGCCGTTGGCGAGTAAGGCGACGGTGTCGTTGGTGCTTGTGTCGCCGTCTATAGAGATGGAGTTGAAGGAGCGGGAGACGGCGTGGGTTAGAAGGGGGTTTAGGACCGAGGGGCTGATGGGGACGTCGGTGCAGAGGATGCCGAGGAGGGTGGCCATGTTCGGGTGGATCATGCCGGCGCCTTTGGTCATGCCTGCTAAGTGGTAGGCGCGGTTGGGCGAGGAGGGAAGGGTGAAGGTGCGCGATAGGAGCTTGGGGAAGGTGTCTGTTGTGCAGATTGCGCGGGCGGCCGTGAGCCAGGCTGAGTGGTTTGAAGCCAGGTTGGAATGCGCAGTTGGGATAGTGTCAAGGATTTTCTTGATAGGAAGTCTGGAGTTCTATATGTGAGCATGCTGTGGAACGTCGTTGTAATTGTCAACACCAAGGGGATATAGGATTGGACTTACCGTTGGCCAATAACTCCAGTGCTCATGACGAGAGTGCTGGTATTCTGGGGGTCAGCTGATGGAGTCCCGGTACATTCATCAACTTTGGCGCTCATCATTTTGGCATCTTCCAGCCCTCCCTTTCCTGTGACGGCATTGGCACAGCCAGAATTAACCACCACTCCCCGGATACCTGTGCCCTGTCTTGTTTCAAGTACCTGCTTGCTCACTTGAACAGGAGCCGCCTGGAATTTGTTCGCTGTAAAGACAGCAGCAGCTGAGCATGGTGTTTCGGAGCATATCAGGGCAACATCGGGGAACCGCGTATTTGACTCCTTCACACCCGCATGGGCACCAGCAACCAGGAACCCTTTAGGGTATGTGCCCGAACTAGGAATGAATTTTTGCTTCGAAGCTGGTATGGACATATCCTTTAGAATAGAGTAGTATCGGACCTGGCCAAGGCTGCTCTTGGGCAAGCGCACGAAGCCAGCCACGGCAGAAAAAGACTGCGTGCTTTTCATGATTCTGCTATTCTGCTCAGCGCCTGTTCAAAGGGAAGAAAAATAATAGGGTTCTCACTTAGCAAGTCACAGCAAAACCTTTCCCGGTATATAAAAAGGTTTCCTAAGAGCGCAAGAACTCAATATGTAGATTTTACTCGACCTATTGTAACTATAGCGAAGCAGAAATCTCAGAGTGAACGGTTGAGTATGGCAGGTAGAGAGGATTCCGACAAGCCAAACCGAGTCCGCAAGAGCTCTCCCGCATTTAACAACCACCAGAAGCACCGCAAGCGGACTCAATTGGCTTCCCTTGATATAATTCCCTTCCTATCGTGACTCACTATGTTGAAGTGGAATTTTTGCTTTAAATATCACGTGTTTTCGCGTTGCCAAGATCGGAGTTTGCATCAACAGCTTCCGCTGTTCTTATCCAGCTCAACGCGCTTGCTTTTGCTTGTTCATCTTCTGCTCATTGCCTCAGTAGTTATATAACATCTCTGGTTGTCTTTTTCACCTAAGCCCATGGCCTATGACTACAATGAAGCGCAAGCAACCGGATTCTTCAAAGGAGGAGCACTCAATTGACACCACACCGCGAAAGCGAAGGACGACCACAGACCCTCACGGCACCACCACAGGCATACCCCAAACACCCTCAAGAAAACCTAACTCCACGAGGAATGGGCCCAAAACAAAACCTACCCCCGATCCAAATACGCCAACCAACAATTCTTCAGTCCCAAAGACCCAGTCAAGATCGCTATTCGCAACCCCTACAAAGGCCACGGGGGAAAAAGCGACGGATGTTTCTCCGTCCGTAGCAAGAAATGCTAATCGCTCAGCGAAGAGGAAGAGCGCGCGCGTACTTCTAGAACACAATGACGAGGATGACTGGGATGGAGCAGATCAATTGGCGCAAGCCATCTGGGAACCCGACGACGATGATGCTGAGGCCGAGGGCGAGGATGATAAAGAGGAAGAGAAAACAAAGAAGCGACTAGCAACGAAAGTAAGCGGCGCTGCAAAGACTCAAGATACCCCAAAGCGCCGTGCTGGACGCCCTAAAGGCGCCAAAAACCGGCGATCTCCGACCCCCGAGGGAGATCTCCCACCCCACGAAAGATATTTCTTTCAAAATCGACCGGGACCTGTTCAAACTTCTAATAATACGCTTGCGAAACTATCGCTTTTGACGCATGAGGAGTATTTCGAGCAGATGAGCAAATTTGTGGATCCACACCAAAAGGAAAAAGAGTTTTTACTTGAATTGCATGAACATTCATTTCCGCAGTGGGCATTTGAACTGAGCGAGGGGTTTAATATATGTTTATACGGATATGGTTCAAAAAGGCGGCTCGTGAATCGATTTGCGGAATGGCTGTCCCAACAGCACAGTGATCCACCAACGATCGTAATTGTGAATGGCTACGTGTCTAGCACAACGATACGGTCTATTCTTTCGACTATCATCAACGCAATCCTTGGGCCTGATACCCCTTCGAAACTTGGTACGCAGCCGTCAGAGGTTTTGGAGCTACTTCAATCCATCCTAAATACCAATCCACCCCCAAGACCAATTATGGTCTTTATAAATTCCATAGATGCATCGCCCCTCCGGCGTCCTTCTCATCAGGCCCTTCTGGCACGGCTTGCCAGCATACCCCTGGTCAATATACTTGCCACAGCTGATACACCGAATTTCCCGTTGCTATGGGATGTAAGTCATCGAGATCAATTCAATTTTGTTTTCCACGACTGCACAACCTTCGCATCGTATGACGTGGAACTCAACGTCGTTGATGAGGTAAACAACCTTCTCGGCCGTCAAGTACGTCGAATTGGTGGAAAGGACGGAGTCAACTTTGTCCTGAAAAGTCTTCCAGAAAATACTCGCAAACTATATCGCTTGTTGGTGACGGAGATCCTCACACTACTAAGCGAGCAGCATGTTTCCGAAGACGAGGATAATGGTGACGGAGACGGAAAGAAAGCCCGTGGAGTCCACGCGGGCGAAGAAATAGCCATAGAATGGCGAACGTTATTTCACAAAGCTGCCGAAGAATTCATCTCCTCGTCAGAAATGATGTTCCGTACGCAGCTGAAGGAGTTCTATGACCATCAAATGATCGTGTCACGTACTGATGCGAGCGGAGTGGAAATGCTTGGAATCCCTCTCTCCAGAGAAGAGATGGAAGGAGTTTTGGAAGATTTAATTATTGATTGAAATATTATAGCACATCATATGTTTTCCCCATTTTTCTATATTTGCGTTCCATTCCAGATGATTATATTCACAAGCATATAATACCCTATCTATATCTAGAGCCCAGCTTAAATATACAGATAAAATGAATACAATTAACGAAGACCAGAGCACCCAGGCGGCTGCCTATCTCCATTGGATGGAGAGATCCACTACATTAAAAAGAGCATCTCGCAATACGTGGTGTTGTCTTTAGCTCCTAAAATTGCGCAAATGCAGCCAACATCATCATCGTTCCAAAGCTGACTTTGAAGGGGACCTTTTCTGTCACAAACCGCTGAACATCCGCGGATTTGACATGTTTCTGCAACCAGCGTGTGGGGACGATATTGTAGCCCTTGGAGGCTGCCCACTGATCGATTCCAAGACCGCATGTTAGCGAGTAGACATTATAGGAGAATCAATTCATTGGCCCTCCAAATAAAGACAAAACCATGTGGATGAAACCAAAATAAATTAAAACAATATTTTAATAAACATACCTCCACCCCCAAAATCATAACCCCCAGCGCAAATACGAGCGCCCTCGAAAATATCCTCAACCCAAGCCCGGCCACCAACCCCAGCACGCTTCCCAAACTAATCTGCCTCGCAGTTGTCTCGCTAATTCCGCTCCGACTGCGGATCCCGCTTGCTGTTTCGGACACAGGGCTGCTGCCGTATTGCGAATGGCTAGTAGTGGTGAAGGGCCCGGCAAAGTCGCAAAGGATGGGTTGTCGTCTTGGGAGAGCAGTGTAGAGGGAGAGGCCGAGGGGAACGGCGAAGAGGAACGGTCTGGCGGGGGTGAGGAAGCGGGCGAGGAAAGGAGCGGCCATCTTTTTTCCTGTGTGGTTGTGTTTCACGGGTTGATTTGGTAGGTTTTATTTGATTTGTAAGGGGTGTTCTGTTTGGCAATTGGGTTTAATGGACAACGTTATTCCTTTCCTAAGAGGGGTGAATAATATGTGCTGGTGTACGGAGTATGGGATGTTAAATGCAGGTCCCACGCTTGCCAAGCTCGGAGCGTTGTTGGGCGTCTTGTCTTTGCGTTCCAAGGAAACCAGGGGAAGGCGGCGCTGATGTCATGGCCGAGCGCGGAGGTGCATTTAGGCTTTTTTAAACTCACGCTAAATCTTAGAATCACGGCAGCCTTACTCAATAGAGTTTAGTGAATTCCCACCCCGTTTCCACTGGTTCGCCACCTTTCTGTAGTTGTATTTATGACTTTATCTGGCTCACAATTGTTAATTAGATATTACTCTTATCAGGCCATATTTGAGGGGAATTACTCATCATGGCAAGTCGGCATTTCATTGTAAGAGACAGCGCTTTGTTCTCAAATTTCAAATATTTACGCAGTGAGTGACTCTTCCGCTATTCATATTTTATTATTAACTAGCATTTTAGTCTTGCATTGCAGGTTTTGATCTACAATCCTCCTGTTAATCAGATTTTCATCCCCGCGTTATCCGCATGAGCAGAGAAAAATGATATCAAGTACGTCCACTAAACCATCTTTTTTGTTTTATCCTTAAGTAGTCTCCATGTGGCTTGCATCTAGTATCATTTAATCTATATTCGTTGACAATGCGTCTACAACACATCATAGATGGTAACGCATAACCTCAGTCGAACGCTCGGCTACAAAACTCCTTCACTTACTTCTCTTCATTTAACTAAGGAAATTACCCCTCAACTCTCTCAAACCTGTGCCATGGCTTGAATCTTCACACATATGCCCTAATGCTGTGAGCCTACCACTATAGAAAGGAGCTGGTGATAGACGCAATACTTGTGCGGAGTGCGAATGACATGGACGGCGACCGTCCCGTCCATCAGGAACATATAGCAGCGGGCCAGTGAAAACTTGCTTTCAACTTTAGCCGCCGACCTGACTTGGGGTATACTGAGCAATGGCTGAGATCTGGCGGACTTACGATCCACCTTCGATCGTGGTTTGTTCAGGAATGCCGTTCCAGCCACTTAATAGGGAGTTTTTCTATATGGCGCGGTGATGATGGCGGAGAGAGGCTGATTTAATGGGATGCAAGGGTGGGATCAGGGAAAATGACTTTCTGAGTGCTGGGAAGAAATACATACCCTGTCTAGAACATTCGATCATATGGCTTATTCTGTCGTGTTAATTGTGGTGGACTCTGTGCGGGAGGATTCACGGAAGCCACCGTAATTATGGTATTCAATCTAGTTGGATATGGTGGTTTATTTGAGTCCGCTTGTGTAGGTCAAGTATTCCCAGAGGTAGTCGTGAGACAGGACTTAATGTTGAAAGGCCTAGATCGCCATTAAAGGATAACATTGAGCCGCAACACCATGCTCAGAAGTGCCCCGGTTCCGCAATACAACCGAGGGATAAAATTGGCCAGTTGTGTTGAAACGCTGATCTTCAAGCTGCATTGATGCCGGAGATTGAATTGAATAAGGAGATGGAACAGAATAGCGCAAAAGGAATTGGCATTATGGTGGATTCAGGGCGAGATTCACTTCGATTCATATATGTAACGGAGACATCAGACTGCAGACATCCGAAACCGCTTGCTACATGTCTTCTAGATCGGAAAATTGTTCAGCGGAGCAATTTGATGTTCCGCCCTATCTCCCAACACATGTTCTATCGAACAAAGCAATGGTCATGAGTGTCTCTCGCCAACTCGGCATGCAAGAAGCGATTGGCATATTGTAGTATGCATGCTGTAGACAAAATGGTCAATGAACGCTCGGAAGGATCTATTATTTTGTCTCCCTAAAGCTGCAATTAGGTACTGAGTGCACATTTTACCAAATTTCGGCGTCGTGAGTCATATCCTGCTGAAAACACCTTGGGGATTCACATTGCTCTACTTCTTATATACAGTGACAGGATGTACTCTATATAGATGTAGGCGCCGAGACCATTTGAGAGAGAGCTTAGATTTGATTTACCGGCCTAGAATAGAACGTTTGATTGATCGATCACCAGTGACACAGCCCCTAAATCTAACTAAACTGGAGCCAATCAACAAGTTGTTGCGGGAAATACCGCCAAAGAGAGCCCAGTTTAGTACCCTCCACAGGCCATACATCTCTAGAATCCCGACATTATCGGCCGAAACCGACGTCATTCTGTCAATATGGTGTGTCGGCGGGTGTTCAGAAAAAGGTACTGTACATATACATGGACTAGCCTGTTGAATCTCTGTCTTTTTGGTTCTATTCTCTTTCTTAAAGGGCTTGTTGGGAAATCAACCTGGCTCAGAGAGCATTTGAAATGAAAGATATGTTCAATTAATTCCAGCGGAAGGGGATCTGCAGAGATTGAGGCCGGACGGGCATTGCAAATCCCGCGTAGGGAGTGGTGGGTATTCGTTTCCCGGAGTGTGGGGGAATGGCAAACCGCAAAAGAGAATTTGAAAAATAGATTAGGTTATTGCTTTCTTCAGGCACATGTTGAAGCTGTCAAATAACTATATTCTTTGCCGATTAGCTTGCGCCGGAGATAGCCGGACCCCGCTCAAGCAGCTAACTTGGTGGTTTGTCGTTTAGCCAGTTAATTGATTTTCTGCTTTTTTTCCGCCGAATATTTATCTCAATGTTATCAGCCCACTTCCGCTGCGAGCAATTTGGTTGGAGGAAAGATTTAGGAATCTTTGATCAGAACATGTCACGGTATCATGCAATAAAGAGTAAAAATTACGCTGTACAGCACATTCGGCTTCCAGAACATATCCCGCATGCGATAACTCCTAGTCGTTTCCGCCCCTTCGGCACCCGCGCGCCTTTCCCATTACATGGGCGCTGGCTGACTCACAAACTCGGCGCCGCTCACCGAGCCTAGTCATTCATTCGTCTTTCTGCCCCGAATATCTTTTTGCTCTTATATTTCCTCAGACCTTCTGATTCCTCAGCGGCATTCCTTCTAAGACCCAAGTATTCGCTTTATATTCTTCAAGACCCCCAGCAGAGTTTCTGCGAGTTCCATATTCAACCAACATACAATCGCATCGCACATATCTCCCTACATTTACCCCTCGCCTGAAGTGAAAAAAATTTCTGCCCCTCACCCCACTTCAAATATCATACATAACCTTTCTTTGCGCAACATAAATTTTCCCATTCCAATGGCACCAGAAACCTCTACCGGCAACGATGCCGCTGCTGCTGCTTCATCCTCGCCCGTCGACTTCACAGTCAAGGCTGGCCTGGCTCAGATGTTGAAGGGTGGTGTGATTATGGACGTCGTCAATGCGGAGCAGGTAAATTTTGAACCCGACCCCACGTTGCACCCCCGCGTTGTTTTTTTTTTTTTTTTTTTTTCTTTGCCGACGATATCCATCTGGCCCCATTCGCATGGCTGTTATCGATTACGAGGAGCCATCCCAATCCTCAACAAGAGTAATCAGACAGCTCGGATTGCTGACAAAATTCTCTTTTTGAACCATGTTAATAGGCCCGGATCGCCGAGGAAGCAGGCGCATGCGCCGTCATGGCGCTGGAGCGGGTGCCAGCAGATATCCGTGCCCAGGGTGGTGTGGCGCGCATGTCTGACCCAACGATGATTAAAGAGATCATGGAGGCTGTTACGATTCCAGTTATGGCCAAGGCGCGGATAGGGCATTTCGTCGAGTGCCAGGTATGCCAATTTCTCCACAACATATAATAAATCAACATATAAAATTTATCCTAACAAACCCACTTTAATCTAGATCCTCGAAGCCATCGGTGTCGATTACATCGATGAATCCGAAGTCCTCACCCCAGCCGACCACCTCTACCATGTAACCAAGCACAACTTCAAAGTTCCCTTCGTCTGCGGCTGCCGGAACCTGGGCGAGGCCCTTCGCCGCATCTCCGAAGGTGCTGCCATGATCCGCACAAAGGGTGAGGCGGGCACAGGCGACGTCGTCGAGGCCGTCTCCCACATGCGTACCGTGAACAGCCAGATCGCCAAGGCGAGCTCGATCCTGCGAGCCTACCCCGACGACGCTGTTGCGGCGGAAGCGGAGCTGCGCGCCTTCGCCCGCGAGTTGGAATGCTCCTATGAGCTGCTGCTGGAGACCGCGAAGAATGGTCGGTTGCCCGTTGTGAACTTTGCGGCCGGAGGAATTGCGACGCCGGCGGATGCGGCGTTGATGATGCAGCTGGGCTGTGATGGTGTATTTGTTGGATCAGGAATTTTCAAGTCTGGTGACCCAAAGAAGCGGGCCAAGGCGATTGTGCAGGCTGTGACACACTATAAGGATGCGAAGGTTCTGGGCCAGTTGAGCGAGGGGCTTGGTGAGGCGATGGTTGGCATTAGTGTGCGGGACATGGGAGAGACACAAAAACTGGCGACGAGAGGATGGTAAAGAAGGCAGAAGCAGAAAATAAAAGAAGGATTGGCTATGTGACCAGATGAGTTTGTTATGATTGATACCAATGATGAATGCATTGGCGAGGTGCGCATGCTTGATATTTCAACCATATGCCTTGCGTACGCAGGTGGGCTTAGACGTTGCACTCCCTCCATATCCGGTGGCTCCGTGTGTTCTGTAAATATATACTTAAATCAATATTCAAGATCATTTCACAAATATAACCGGAAGAAATAAATAATTTAACTAAGTAATAATCAGGGGAAAATATCCATTTGATATGCAAATATGCATTTGCGTTGCCATTTTTCCTTCATGACCCAGATTCAATTACCTAAACTATGCAAATTGACTACCAATCCAAGCCGTCGCTAACTAGATCAACCACCTTAGCTGGCATATGCAAAGCCCTTCCCCCTACACGCTACCCAGTAATCCTTCACAACACGACTAGTCCCCCTCGACCCCCTCAGCGAGAGCATCGATGATAAGAATCTTTCTCGCTCTGCCTTCTCCGGTACGCGTCCCCCTCCTCCCGCCCCATCTGGCGAAAGAGCACCATCCATTTCCGCCAATGCAGCCCCAAAATGCACACGCGCCGCGCCCTGATAGTGGAATATGAATTTTTTAACCACCTCAGACAGGTGGTCAAGGTCGGAGCGCGCGCAGTGACCCGATACCTGGTACATGAGTATATTACCCAGCGAAGATATGCAGGTGTCGAAAAAGCGTGGCGCATGTTGTGGAATTGCGCCGTTAGCTGCCGCTGTAGTGGCGTGTCTTATGGTAGAGCTACCGGGGCCCGGCTGGAGCTCAGGTGGCAGATCTGTGAGGGAGAATAGGGTGGACCAGAATGCAGAAGCAGAGCGGAGTGGAAGAGGGTCGGGACGTTTCAGCACTGCCAGGGTGAATGTGAGGATGGTGAGGATTGCAGCGCTGTGCTGTGGTATCGGTGAGTGGACGAGGTTGAAAAAAGCTGCTTTGTGTTTTGGGAGCATCAGGTTGAGGAAATCGATGCAGCTGTGTGCGACTTCTGGGTCATATTGATCCGGTTGGGTGTTCATGAAGCTCATGAGTTCGTAAACATGGACGATTAGTTCCGCGGCTTCATTTTGGACTACTAAGGGTTGCGCAGAGTGGGAGGCTAAGAAAGCAGAGGCGGTTCCCATGATTGTGGGGAAGCGAGGAGAGGTAACGTTGGCAGCCTTAATGAAACGGATAGTGACTTGAGGTGGTAGGACATATGGCCCCGGCGTGTGTTCTGTATATCCGGCCTTCAGAACGTCGCATGTAGCTTCGATTATATCACCATCGGTGGGGAATGTGCCTATTAAGATGTCCAGAATCTGAATCAGGTATGCTTGTGGCGCTCCCCCGAGTTCACCCCTTGCCCAGAAATTATTTGTGCTTTCACTCGGCCCCTCGGCATCTAGATCGATTACGGCGTCATCAGGAGCCCTAAACCCCTTCCCGATACTTGCCGTGCAACGCATTACTTTGATCCCTTTTTCAAGCGCTTCATCATACTGGTTTGATTGAGCTTCTAGCCTGGCTTGTTCCGCTAGCTGATGGAGGGGCGCTAGCAGTTTTACCAGGGATGTTGCCTGGGCTGTATTTGGAGTCGCCGCTTGCACAACTGCTGCAATGCCTTCGGATACTCGCTCAAGGGTAGTAACATTAACAGAGGAATTCGAGCGAAGTTGGTCCAGCTTATTGATAAAATCATCAACATACATTGGGAGAGCCTGGCGAGAGTTCTGGCAGAGAAATGAAATGGATTTTGACGCAGCTTGGTCGCATGACGCAGCATCGAGGGAATTGAACAGGAAATTAAGAACTCGCGGGAGAAGATCGTGGTTCCGTTCAAAGTATGCTGTGTACCTCGCAATCATGTCAGATAGGGTCTGGCGAGGCTTCATAGAAATGGAAATGCGGTTGAAACAAATGCCATTGAATATTTCGGAATGGAAAATCGTATGAAGTAGCTTGTCCACATTCGGACTCTCCACAACAGAGTCAGCCAAGAAACCAAGACAGAATACTGCTACTTCAAACCCTTCCCATATTTGGCTGTTCATCGAACTAGTTGCTCTCTCAACAAGCTTTTCGATCAACTCAAACCCTAGAAGAGGATAAGTAGCGAGTAGGAAGTCCGCAAAGTCACGTCTGAATCCATTGAAATTCCTCACATCATCGTCATCCCACTCCTTTAGGACTGATGGATCAGGATACCGGAGCTTGTCATAACAGTCCGCGATGACTTGCACAAACTCCCCTTTGACACGAGTCGAGTAAATATTCATTTCACCCTGCATGATATAATCGCTAATATCATCCGCCGCCTCAGTCCAATATTCCAAAAGAAGCGAACTCGCTTTATCGTCAACTTCTACAAACCCTGGCCCGCGGAAAAGGGTATGTAACAAAAACAGGATCCTTTGCTTCTGTTCGTTTAATTCGCCAGTGAACAGTTGTATGTGCTCCGTCGCTGCATAGCGCAGTAATAAATCCAAGAATCGCATGGAGTCTTCATCATAATCCGCGTTTAAAAGAGCCAATGCATACTTTTCCCCGAAGTTTCCTGAGAGGAATTGCAGTATTGCAGTCAGGTGTTCAACTCCTAGTAACTTCGCATGGCTATTAAGGATTTCTGCAAGAAGTTCCATTGCCATCTCTGCAAGTTCGGGTACTGCTAAGAACTGAACAGAATAGTTCAAAGGTACGGCGACCATCTTCGTAAGATTGCCAGGAGAAATGCGGTCTCCTCGGATTGCGATGAGCCATGCCTAGAGTAATATTGTAGCGGCCGCAGAGAAGGGTAACGCGGGGCTAAGATGCTTACATTTAAAGATTTCATTGCTTCGATAGCTAATTTATTTAATTGATCTGAGAGGGACGGCTGATTTCCATCTCTTTTAAAAGTGGATACTTGTTCCAAAACGAACTGGACAAGATAAAGAGCATCCCTGAGATTGGGACCTAAACGCCCTCGGAGATCCCTGTTTGCAGTGTTAGGATAGGGATTATTTATCAGAATCCATAGGAAGGGATACTGCTGCGAACTCACTCATTCAGAGCATACCGCGATGACTCCTCAGCCAGGATGGTAGAAAAAGACAAAAGTGGGAGCATCCGTTCATAACTGAGCGAAGGGAGAGCTAGCTTTTCGAAATTTCCCTGCTCACATTGATCTTCTGACAGGTATTTCCCACTAGCCATGGACATGGCAATATGTCGTATACAATGAGTCCAGGGAGCTTCAGGCTTAAAAAAGAAGGTAGTCAATGTTGACATAAATTTCCTCATAGATACAGCCCCTTCGTTTCTGGAGACCATTAAGATGAAGAGGTTAGTCAGATGTTCTAAAAGATCTTTGGCTTTCTCTTCTCCAAGATGGTCCCTAGCATGATGTCAGCTAACGACCTTAAAAAAACAAAATAATGGTGACTTGAATTCTTACCAGTCCTGATGGATTTTAACGGTCAAGGTGAGGGCACCGAAGAATCTTGCATTAGCATCATCACTGGTCAAAAGACCATCTGCAATAGCCCACCCCGCTTCTGACTTCTGCAGCGCCTGCAATCTCTCCTGGATAGATTTGGCGATTGCAGCATTTCCAGGAGCATTGAGGACGTGAATAAGCTAGACAAACGTCAACCATAACTGACCATGTTATTAGAATACAGACTAATAACCGTACCTGAAGTGACTCATCAATGAGGCCTTGGCTCTCCTGTTCAGCTGAATGAATTCCCGCCATCATCCCTCTCTTAGACCTATGTCACACCGCACAGAATCGGGGGTTTGGTATGTTTCTGGCTACGTGTACTGATATGATGTCCATATACGACCTCAAACTAGAGTGTAAAACAGAATAACAGGGTGAGATCAGAAGGACAGAGTCACATGAAGAATAGGAATAAAAACCTAATTAGCAATGGGCAGGATGGGTGAAGAGTTCAATATGCCATGAAGCTCTAGTCACAGGAGCAGCAACAGAGAAGAAAATGACACTTCGCTGGCAAACGAGAAACCCAAGAACATGAGTGGCCCTATACTATCACAGATTGATAGATCTCATTTCCAGGCTAATCAGTAACATAAATGACGTTGAATGTGCCAAGAGAGCGGGATGATAGGGGTGTTGTAGTTCTGATGTTTGCCACGTGAGTACGCAAGCCCTCAGTGTAAAATTCCCTGACGAAATAAACTGTTAGCTCATAAGTACAGCCAGGCAAATTGATGCATAGACGATGTAGTCAAATTCATACAATTAAACGAGTTTCTCTGTATATCTGTGAAATGGACAAAGAAAACGATTGTGCGATGTGGGCGGAATACTTTTTAACTTAGGAGACAACCGCCGCCCAATATTGCTTATCTAAACAACATCACGTGATTGGTTTGAAATTCCAATGTCACAGGAAATCTCGGAGAAGAGAATGGATAGAATGATGATAGATAATACAGAGTACATTTCTTTTGGTTATTCTTGCAATTGACAGGTATCTCGCGCTTAGCAGCTGCTGATGACTGATCTGCTCGCGCCGGAATCATTCGTTGTTACATCGCAGGCACAGTCAACTTTTTCCGCCTACCACGATTGGTACTCCCGCATAGCAACGGTTTGATATATCCGGCCGCCCACCCACAACCTCATCCCCGCCAAACCCCCCGGTGCTGCCTTATAAGCGCTACAATATAAATGCTTCTTCTCCGTCATTCTTGCCGCCTTGCTTCCACAACTACAAGCTCTATACGGCCTCTACTACCATCACTAAGCCGCTTGATTAAACCGACAACGAGATTATTTACTTCATCTACTGCACTTCGTTCTGGAGACATGGGCCCTGTCGATACTTCGCAGCGCCTTGCCCGCTTGAGGGAGTTGATGCAGGAGAGGAAGGTTGATGTCTACAGTATGTAATGATACAAGTTAACCCTCTTCAAGATCCCATTGTCTGATGCTTTACTTTTATTCAGTTGTTCCTTCTGAGGATAGCCACCAGTCCGAATACATTGCCCCTTGCGATGGCCGCCGCGGTTAGCTCTACCTTGTTCCCTTACGATCTAAATCCCATCATCTACGCCAGCCAGGACGGGCCAGCTCATGACTATTATTAAATACAGAATTCATTTCGGGCTTTACTGGCTCTGCGGGATGTGCCATCGTTTCGATGAGCAAAGCAGCGCTATCTACCGACGGACGTTACTTCAACCAGGCAGCAAAGCAGCTAGATAATAATTGGATGCTTCTGAAGAGGGGCTTCGAGAATATGCCTACTTGGCAGGAATGGTATGGACAGAGAAATACAGCATGTCATGTGTGAGCGTGTATTGAAAATGGATATATAGGACTGCGGAACAAGCTGAGGGCGGCAAGGTCGTTGGAGTCGACCCATCACTCATCACAGCCTGTGAGCTCATTATCTTCTCCACGTTTGTGAATATATTTTTGTCCATGAATATAACTAACATCATCTAGCCGAGGCGCGCAGCCTTTCAGAGACAATCGAAAAAAGCGGTGGGTCCTTGCAAGGCGTGCAGGAGAATCTAATTGACCTTGTTTGGGGCAAGAAGCGCCCAGCCAGACCAAGCGAAAAAGTTGCTCTCCATCCTATCGAATTTGCAGGGAAGTCATTTGAGGAGAAGATCAGTGACCTACGAAAGGAGCTCCAGAAGAAGAAAAGCGCGGGATTTGTCATCTGTGTGTATTTGACCCTTCCTGCCAACAAAGTACCTGAATTTCTGACTCTTTTTTAGCGATGCTTGACGAAATCGCCTGGTTGTTCAACCTTCGAGGAAATGAGTACGGATATCCGCCTGCCATTTGTCAATTTGACTGCTGACTGACACTAATTATCATTCGCAGCATCCCGTACAACCCAGTGTTTTTTGCTTATGCCATAATTACACCGACGACTGCTGATTTGTACATTGATGACGAGAAGTTACCTGCCGAGGTGAAGAAATATCTGGGTGATCAAGTTTCTGTGAAGCCATACGGTTCTATTTTCGAAGATGCCAAAGCCTTGAGCCAATCTGCTCAAAAGAAAAGCGATGGTGACGCTTCAACCAGCCCATCTGAGAAGTTCCTTATTTCGACGAAGGCATCATGGTCGCTCAGTCTTGCTCTAGGAGGTGAGAAGAATGTGGAAGAAGTCCGCAGTCCGATCACTGATGCCAAGGCAATCAAAAATGAAGCTGAGCTGGAAGGAATGAGAGCTTGCCACATTCGCGACGGCGCAGCACTCACAGAATATTTCGCCTGGCTCGAAAACGAATTGGTCAACAAGAAGACAGTTCTTAACGAGGTAGATGGTTCCGACAAGCTCGAACAAATCCGATCAAAGCATAAGCATTTCGTCGGACTTTCCTTTGACACCATCTCGTCTACTGGTCCAAATGCCGCAGTCATTCATTACAAGGCCGAACGAGATACTTGCTCTATTATCGATCCGAAAGCCGTGTATCTATGTGACTCAGGTGCCCAATATTTGGATGGCACTACCGATACAACCCGCACTCTCCATTTCGGCGAACCGACAGAGATGGAGAGAAAGGCCTACACGCTTGTTCTCAAGGGCCTGATTAGCATTGATACTGCTGTATTCCCTAAAGGAACAACTGGATTCGCTCTAGATGCTTTTGCACGACAACATCTGTGGAAAGAAGGCCTAGACTATCTACATGGTACCGGTCATGGCGTAGGGTCATATCTGGTATTACGCCCTACATTTGTCTGATCTTTCCTCCTCAAGTGCTAACATGTTCCAAGAATGTCCACGAAGGTCCGATCGGACTAGGCACTCGAGTTCAGTATGCTGAGGTTGCCATTACCCCAGGAAACGTGATATCTGACGGTATGTTCTAAGCGATGGTTGGGTATTATTGCCTTGAAGCCTGCTAATAGTCCTGTAGAGCCTGGCTTCTATGAAGATGGAGTCTTCGGCATTCGCATCGAAAGTATGTTTCCCCACATCTACCAATAAGCGTAGTATTTCCAACTAACGCCTGTCATAGACATTATCATTGCCAAGGAGGTGAAAACAACGCATGGCTTTGGAGAGAAACCCTGGTTAGGCTTTGAGCATGTTACTATGACACCATTGTGCCAAAAATTGATCAACCCAAGCCTGCTCACTGACGGAGAGAAGAAATGGGTGAACGACTACCACAGTAAAGTTTGGGAGAAGACTAGCAGCTATTTCGAGAACGATGAGCTGACGAGAAACTGGCTTAAGAGGGAGACTCAACCTATCTGAATGAATTGACAAATTCATGGATGGAATGTTAGATAGGCTTGATTCTTATTCGGAGTACCACCACGTGTGGAGGGGTATTGGCGCATGGCAATGTGTCAATGTTTCCCATATTTGTATAAATTCAATATTCCTATAGTATTTATGGTGGCTATCGGTATTGTTGATGTACCATTTAGTATGATCGTTGTGAGTTTGTGATAGATTTACGCGCGCACGGCGTATACATTAGAGAATCCATACAATGCTGCTGACGTCGTATTTACATGTATTGTATTCGTTCGTATGTTTTACAGATAAGCCAGGTCCAATAATGACCAGAAAAGGTACCTTACATATTTAAATGCTAATTCATAGTTACCTGTAAAATCGCATTTGAATCTTCATATTAAGTCGCGAATGGCGAGGGACCTAGTGGTGCAAGAACGCTTATTTCCAGCGAACGATTAGTTAAATAACCATGTATCGTGACTTCATCCCATCCCTACCCTCACATGACATCGCTCCAACGACTCGATTGTCAGTCCAAATATATCATATATCCTTCCTCAACCCCCAAATAAAGCCTCAGAATTGGGTCGCAAAACCTCCCCGAACACCATGAGCCCCCTTTCTCCAACCCAACCCCAACAGCCCAGTCAATCCTAAACCGACACACCTCTGCAAGCTGGCATGAGCAGAACAGGCCTTCCCAACGGCGGCCCGTCGTCGGGCCGTTCCGAACGAGACTACGGGCCCTACAGAGGGGACAATGCCTCACTGAGTACCGTGTCGAGCTCAGGGTACGTTTCCTCCCGGGAGCGCCGCGCTGGCGGCTACGGCGGGTTCTATGAAGGCGGTTCCCCGGCCGCGTCGTCGACCTCATTACAGAGTTCTGAACAACCTTTCCCCTCGTCCTCCCGCTCGCGACCCTATGATACTGAAAGACCCTTGTGGGGTAGTGGCGGCGGTAGAGATGAAGTAAGGTATGGAGATGGTGGGAGGAATCGGGATGGCAATAGGTCCGATGCTACCTCTGGAAGGAGTGGGCCGCTACCGATTGACGGTATGTTTCGTTGTACTTCTGGTGGGACTAGGATGGTGTCTACGGTTTATGATTGTTTCTGGACCCGGTAATACTGTGCGTGATGCGTGAGCTGACTTGAGTTTGGAAATAGATGTCCTCCGGACGATACAGCAGGATTGGGACTTTATGGCCACCGACGACTGCATACCGGTTCAGGTTGGCTTACAGTTGATGGACTCAAGTACCCTGGGCAAGGCGGATCGAGAACCAGATTTTATACGGACACATAAGCAGATACAAAAATCTTTGAAATCGATTGTCAATGGTTTGTTGGGTCTAATTTTCGCACCCCAATAGATGCTTCACCAGTGCGACTACTAATGAACTATTGTTGTAGAACACCACCAGGGTTTCAACAGCTCTATTGGAACATACCACACAATCCAGTCGAGTATCCAAAGTTCTCAAAATCGACTTCGAATGCTTAAGGGGACCCTGATCGAAGCTAAAGCGGGTTTACTTACAACGAAGCCGGAGTTGAAGGGTCTTGCGACGGCTTCCCAGAATTACGATGATATACTACAATTGTTCGGCCAGATTGAGAATATTCAATCATTACCGGAAAAACTAGAGGCGCGCATATCGGACAAGAGGTTCATTGCGGCAGTAGAAATCCTCAAGGATGCACTACGGCTTGTGAATAAGTCGGAATTTGACGGAATCGGAGGTCTTCGAGATCTCCGAACGTACTTCAGCAACCAGGAATTATCATTAACGGATATCCTGATCGAAGAGTTACATGATCACTTGTACCTCAAATCTCCGTATTGTCAAGACCGCTGGAAATTGACAACCGGCGACGAAGGCAAGGACGGCCCAAGGCAGATCGGTTTAAGTAGTGGGACAAATTGGGAGAAACCAGTTTACCATTTCTTAGCCCATCTAGACATGACAACTCCCGTTGCGGAAGACGCATCACGTAATCCGGAGGCTGATACGTTCCATTACATCCGTGTGGTCATCGAGGCGTTGAACAAGATGGGCAATCTTGAACTTGCTGTCGATCGGATCGAGCAGAGGCTCCCGGTCGAGCTCTTTGCAGTTGTCGATAAGACAAGTTCAGAGGTCGCCACCCGTTATCCTGAACACAGGAGAAATCCACAGTCACGAGACACTACGGTCCATGGCATGCCTAACGAACTGGGTGGAGACAGGGGACACGTTCTGTCTGAGTTTATGTGGAACCTCTATGCGAAATTCGAGGCTATCGCCGAAGGCCACCGCATCGTGCATGATGTCGTTGCTGGTATTGTAGAGCGGGAGAACATTCGGAAAGCTGGATCACTTACAAGTGGTTTCAAGGAATTGTGGAAACTTTATCAAAGCGAGGTGAGTTAAATTATATTTATTTCTCGATTTTTTTAATGGTAGCAGGATATAACTTACAATTACTAGATTCGGTCCCTATTACACGATTACCTAGCCACAGATGGAGAAGTCAGCTATCGGGCTCCGGCGAATATCTCTGATGATAAATACACACCCAACTCCCACAAAAGAGATAAGACAAAGGTTTGTAGCTGGATGATCCTATGATGGCTTGAACATACTAACAGATAATGCAGAAAATGTTCACACTCTCCGAAGTGGACGATAAATCATCAGAAATGAAGGCAGAACAGGACGAGTTAGAGGAGATCCTAAGGTCGTCAGTGCCCGGCCTCGTGTCGAAATCGCGACAGAAGACATCTACCACCGACTCGTCCAGGTCAAGACAAGAAAGCTCTGGAACCGGACATAAGCTCCTGATCGAACCCAGTGTTTTCAATATGAGCCTACTTTTGCCGCCGTCGCTCTCTTTCATTCAACGATTGAAGGATATTGTCCCTCTCACTTCAGATATTGTCATGAGCACCCTTACCTCATTCCTCGACGACTTCATGATCAATGTCTTCCAACCACAGCTGGATGAAGCTGTAACAGACCTCTGCGCGCTGACTTTTATTGCAGTGGATGCATTTACTGAAGATCCGCAGTGGACAAGGGTTTCACCACGACCCGTTTTTAAAGTATGTACCTTGACCCTCAGATTATTCCTCAGGGAGGTGATTCTAATTTATTTGCAGGGAACAATTGCTTTCATGGAGCTCGTCAAATCATTTAGCAAAATGCTAAACAGTATTCCGCATGATCAGGCATTCACGCAGCTGGTGATAAACCAGATCGTAACCTATTATGATAAATGTTGTGGCATGTACAAAGGTACGGATCCGCTTACATTTCCTCGAATTCTTTGAGCAATGCTAAAAGATATGTCTAGCACTGGTTTCGCGGGTGTCTCCTCGGCCCACTGGAGGGGTACAGCCGAAAGCTGCTGCTGCGTACGCTGAATCCGGCGAAATTCGAGAGGCTGCCAAAGAGCTGTGGGAATGTGGCAACGGCAAACGACAGGAGTTGATCGCCAAAGTACTTACATTTTTCCCTGGCGTGAAGTTTCTGGCGGATTATTTTACTGATGCAAACTCGTTAGGAAATCGATCTTCTCATAAAATACACAAACGAAACGCCTCTTGAGCCGTACGACATCGTTTCAGACCCCAAAACCGTTTTCTCGCTCTCGCTCCTCTACAACAGCATGGTATGTACAAGTGCTATGTATCCTCCAAGGGAGAACGCTCCTAACAGAATACAAACAGCAATGGCTTGTCAGCAGCCTCTCTCGACTTCGCCACATAACCAACCACGAAACAGATTCTAACCGGCGTCAATCCACAGGCCGAATGCCTAACACACGGCGCTGGACGCTCCTCTCCTCCATGAATCGCAACCGCGACAGCTCCAGCAACCCGATCCACCTCCCCATGACCGAAGACTCTGTTCTTGGCTTCGATACCACACTAGAATCACTTCAAAACCTCGCCTTAACAGCCTTGCTAACCCTACACATTGACCTCCGCTGCGGCGCTATCCACATGGTCACTCGCAGCCTCGCCAGCAACAACACTTCCCCTTCCGCGCGCTCAACCACCCCGCCAGCCTCCGCTTCAAACACTACAGAGTGGCCGCACGTCCTACCCACACCGCCCTCCTCCGCCTCGCCAGCAATTATAGAGCTGAACAACGACCTGATCTCCTTCGACGCCAACACAGCCACCTACCTCGGCCCGAAGGAATGCCGCTTCATAACCTCCGGCCTCGCCCAGCTGATAGACCGCGCCTTCGTCTCCGCGACACGCTTCATCGGCGCGATGAACCACAACGGCGCCCTCCGCCTCCAACTCGACGTGCTAGTCCTGCAGCAGAATCTGAAAAACATCATCGTGCATCCTCCCCCTTCTCCTCCCACTGCGCTACCACCGCCATCCTCATCCTCCTCCACCTCCACCTCCAAAGACACAGAACCAGGACCCCACCAACAACCCCACCAACAAGAAGAATCAGAACCAGAAGAAGAAGAAATAATCGCGCTCCCCCGCTCCGCCAAATTCCTCGACTGGTTCCTCGACGGCCCTGACAAAGCGCTCGAGCACGCGCACGCTGAGCGCGAAGAGTTCCGGCAACACGGGAGCGAGAAGGCGCTGCAGGCGGGTAATGGGGAGCCGTTTACGTACGAGGAGCTGAAGGTGCTTGTGGAGCTGTGCTTTTCGGCGATTCTGAGGGTCCCTGAGGGGAGGGAGAGTGGTAGTTTTGGTAGTACTAGTCGTGAGGACGTTTTGGCGGCGAAGAGGGCGTGTGGGGATGCGTTGTTGAGGTTGAGTGAGGTTATGTGGGATTCGTAGGGCGGAGGGCGGAGGGCATACGGTGGGATGGTAGGAAGAGGCGGAGGGGGAAGGAGAAATGGAGGGATGTTTGTTGAGTTTGTTGTGTATGTATGTACATGTACGTATGTGCGCATAATATCTATATGTGGGCGATTTCTTTCCCTTGTTTTTGATTTCTTTTCCCCCTTCCATTTTGAATCTGGGAGATCCCTGCTCCTCCGTTTGATCTAACGGTGGTAAATCATTCTATACAGCAACATAGAGATATTGTATAACCGTATCGATGGCTATAATCCCTCCCCTACATCAATTCTCTTCCGCCATCAGCCTTTCCTACACATACCCTCTCTTGTTTCATCTTTCTTGTCCGTAACCACAGCACGGCTCCACACACAGCTTGAAAATAAATATATATCATAACCTATTTGCTAAAACTATTTAACTAAAGAAAAATAAAGCTAAAGCTGAAGATAGAGAAGCTTAAAACATAAATGACAAAATATCACGCCCCCTACTCAGTTAGGTTAAATCAAATGAATTAATTGAATTAATCGAAGGAATCAAAGTAAATAGTCAATGAAATGAGGATAAAATAGATATAAATATAAAATAATAACAAATTCAAAGTCGAAGTCAATAATCATCCATGCCAGCCAGCCGTTACAAATTGCAAATGTGCGATAAGAAAAAACCAAACCAAACAAAAATAAAAATGAGTAAAAATGAGTAAAAAACGGGGAAAAAACGGGTCGCAGTAAGAATAAATATCGAATAGAAAAGAAAATAGAACAAAGAACCCAGGCAAATCAGGAACAAGAAGGGAGAGGTGATTATAGAAGGGGGAGAAAGGGCAAAAGAAAACAGACGGTCGGTAGAAAAATAAAAAAGAATCCACGTATAACCACCACACTTGGAAAACAAGGGAAAGAGAGCCACGAAACATAGAAACAATGAAAGAAGAAGAGGAACAAGACGAAGAGAAAAACAAATCCCAACAACCCCATATAACTATATCAAAAAATCCACATTTTTATCAACTCCCCCCACAACTCTTATCCTACCCCCTCTTACTCCTGCCCCTGCCCAACACCGACCTGTCCGACCTGTCCGACCGGTCCAACCTGCTGCGGCTCCCCACCCCCTTCAACATCCAAGAGCCCCAAATCCTTCTCATCCATCTCATAATCCTCAAACTCCAGCCCGGCCTCTCTACACCTCTGAATCCATTTCCTCGCCACCTCCCCGCGCCGATTAACTTCGCCCTTCAACTTGGTGTTCTGCGCACTAATCTCCGCCAGCGCGTGGTTGGTGGTCATGTTGGCCGTATCCCAGCGCGCAGCCATGTCCTTGGCTTCGTCTTGGAGTTTGCTGATGTAGTGGATTGCCCGCTGGAGGATGGAGCCCTTGGCCTTTTCGCAGCCAGGGACCATCTTGGCAATTTCGTTGATGCCTTCATTAATTGCTTCGCGGCGGCGGCGTTCGACTACAATTGGGATTTTTCATGTTAGCACGTGATAACAGATATATTTGGGACAAGGTGTGGACGTTATCTCACCTTCTTTATGGTTATTCTTGCGAATAGTATGCCATTCCGCAGACCCGACCGTTGGCTTCGGGTTAATGTTCTGCGCTTCGCGCGCCGCATAGACGGCCGCAGCGGTCGAATGGCCATGTACGTTGGTCATAGGGACCTGATTAACATCTTCGGTGAACGTGAGACCGTGGGCCATTGCGGCATTGTTCTCGAAGCTTGGGTCTGGCGGAGGGTATTTGGATTGTGGGCTGTGCGCGGCCAAAGCAGCCTTGGCCGTCATGGCGTTGTCGTCAGGCACTCCATTCTGATTTCCCACATGCTGTAATAGCTGTTGATCGATTTGGCTGAGCTCAGTCGTGTTTGTGGGCAGACCATGGGTTTCGTATCCTGTCGGACGCACAATGTTAGGTAAAAAGCTATACCCATTGTCTGAATACGGCTTAGGTGGTAGAACGAACCATGGAGATTTCCATTGGAGTTTTGCCCATGCGCAGAGCGTGTCATACGCTGTCCGTCGCCGGCGTCCATCATTTCACGCTTGCGCTTGTTGGAGCCTGTTGATCCGTCTGCAGGGTTCATTTGCTGATCGGACATAGTTTCCTGGGGGCAAATTGTTTGCGATGTATCTAGATCAATTCCCAGGTTAGTGTCAGCAGCATTGTCGCACTAAATGGGAAACCACGCTATGGCAAAAGTGCAAGAAACAGTTCCAGTTTGGGGGGAAGAGTAGCTCTTGTGGGGTCACGCGAGAGGATTAAAAAAGAAGTCGAACGTCTGCAACAATAATAGCCAATGATTGGAGGTTATAAGTGTTTGTGATATGACTTGGATGGCAAATGGAGGGGGATGGTCCGAATCAACTCGAGCTAGACAAGGTCTCATAAATTCTCTACACGCCCCACCGAAGGCAGTGCTGCAGAAGACGCGTTCTTTTTCTGAGACCAAGGAAGCACAACAGGGTCAGGAGAGGAAATAGTGGCCGGAGCGTTCATTCACACAATGACCGCGGTGTGTCACCAACAATGGAAAAATAGTTATAGCAGCGTAGTGACGAATGAAAAAATTCCTGGAAGAAAACGAAAATGCGACAAGTTGGTACGGGACGGGATTTTTCTAGCAGCGATATCCAGGCGTAATATAATGTGCAACCCCGTTCAACGAGGTGGAGAGAGACAAGAAAAGCCACGAAATATGAAACCGGAGATGAAAAGAGGGAGGGGGCGGGGAGGGAAAAACCCACCACAACGCGATGGCAAATCTTCTCTAGACGGGTAACTTAAAAACCGGTAAAACTCGTAGTCCTCGAGGATTTGGATCCTATAAGATTCTACAGGAGAAAACAGTCGTGTAAGCAAACTGGATATTGGCTTGTTAGACGCGTTGAGATGTTTTTCAGGCCATGCCGATCGCGAGTCGCGGATACAGCAGGGAGACAGGAAGAAAAACGCCCGGGAATCTCTCGCATGGACCAGGCCATCGCATCCAGAAATACCACTGCGCGATCAGGGTGGGAGATATATAAGGATCATGGGAAGGGGAAGATATAGATAAGATTGATGGATGGGGGGTATCGAGGGATGAGGCGGCTAGATGAGGGCACGATATGGGGGAATTTTGGGGGAGATTGGGATGGTGAAACTGGCAAGCAGAAAGCAGGGGAATAGCCAGCGGGAATTTGACGAGGCAGTTGAAGTTGAGGATGCTGATGATGCTGGCGATGCTGGTGATGCTGGTGATGGGGTCGACGATGGTCTTGATGCTGGGGCGCGTTTCTATTGACTTACTCGTTGGTGGTTTTTATCAGGTGACAAGAGGTCACCTGCTTTCTCTGGGGGATATAGATATTGGAAGCAGAATGAATATATTGCTCCGCAAATGGCGAAGGGGCAATGAATAAAAACGGGGTGTTTTCCAGTTTGCGGGAAACAGACGGCGGGCGGCGAACAATAAAAACAGCAATAATAGGGGCAGACAGCGGAATGGAGGGTGGTATATATGCTCTGGCACTGCTATACGGACTCGCTTTCGCTGCTTGGGTCTGGCGTGAGAGCGAACAAGAGGACTCACGTGGCGAGAGAAGAGGAGGAAGAGCCTCGCTTATTAAGGAAGCCCGTCTACGGCGGGCGGGGTGCACATGTGGCGCAACAATACAGCAGCAAGAACAACAGGCTTAATAATCACTCCAAGTGCACTGCGCGACTATCTATCTTCTACAAAATCAACATTTCCCCATACTGACCCTACCCGCCCTTTTTTATCCTTGAACATCAACCGTGGACATCAACCATCAGCAGCAAACTTCATCCCTAATTAATCCCTATCCCCTCCACACCCTCAATCTCCTCAGTCTCCTCAGTCTCCTCCCCCTCCGCAGATCATGTGCCCAAATCCCGTGGCCAGCCCCAGGCTTTCCTCCCCTCCGCCGTGGCTGGCTGACCAATCATCGCTCTCATCCTCCATTCCCGCCTCTGATTGGTTCTGCACCCCTCTCGGATCACGCGGCCTGTCTAGCTTCTTTCGGCCATGCGCTATCCTCCTTTTGGGCCAAATGCGTCACCCAGCGGCCCGTGCGCAGAAGGCTGTGCACGTGAGCACTGCTTGCCCTAATTAATTCCAAGACAACAGGATGGATGAGGGTTGAACCAACCCCCCCTCCTCTTACCACTAGTTATTATCTAGTTACATACCTGGGTACACCGCCAGGTTCTCCTTTTGGCAGTTGTAGATATTCCAGGTTCGATTTAATATCAAGTATGTGCTTGTTGTCTATCTGCTACCCCGTTAACAGAGAGGTGGGTGTGGGTGAGAATATATCTGCCAGTTCCTGCTGGAAGTCTTTTGATATACAGTCAACCTGAGTCTCCCCTCATGATTCTCTCTGCTTAAAGGGCTAAATGATGCTGCTGCTATGCATATCTCGACCCTCCTCCCGTCTCTCCTTCTACGGGAGGCTGACGACATTCAGCTATGGGAACTTATCCCGTGATGACCGATGGACGCTGCTCTCTCTGTCATACATAGAATTCCCCCCCAATTTTGGTTGTCGTTTACTTACTTACTCTTCACGTGCTGCCTGATGAGCCTGGCTGTACCCACTCCGCCTTCTGCGACATCGAGTAAAGAAGAGTGGAAAAGAGTTTATACATAGGGAAGAAGAAGAAAAAAAAGAAAGGAAAAGAGAAACAACTGCCCACCTCCCTCCTCAAATCCCGTGCATCTAACCCTAACATAACATAATTAGCTAACCTTAAAACAAAAGCCTCTTTAAGAACGTACCATAATAACCAATCAACACTCCCTTCCAACCCTGTACGTTGATGGCTTGTGACAGTCATCTGTATCTACAGACTGTATCCTAAACGCATAGGAACTAGGAGACGGCGAAAGCGTGAATAGGAGATTCATTCCACAAGCCCTGCTGTGCCCCTCTGCTTCCCCCACCCCTCCTGTGTCTATGTTGGTGAAGTGCAACATGTTGGCAGTTCGCGTTTGTCTGTGCCATGTACATGTACCTCTACTGTATAAACGTGCGCATAGACGGGGACAAAACGATAACGGCACGCAGTTTTTGATATCTCTATGCAAGCTGCTGGTGGTGGTTGGTTAAAAGAAAAAAAAGGAGAGAGGTTCAACTGTGTGAGTTGATGGCTGATATTTTCAGACGGGATAAAACATAGAATAACGCAAAGGGGGCGTAGGAAAGATATCTATTTAATTTTCTATGACTTACCCGAACTCGCGGAAACATTCACTTCAGCAATGAGAAAGGTACAGTAAAATACAATAACAACCGAATATCATCATATCATCTCTTATAAAACATTAAGGTATCGAGGCCTGACGACATCAAGTCACTTATGTGACGATGTAGATTAGGAGCAACCCATAGCTATCTGGGTCGTAACCAAAAAGTACTTTAAGGATTAAGCCTCATCACCCCCCGGCTCTCTCATCCGAAACACATACTTTGGCTCTGCCTCCGTATCAACGAAGCAAACCCCTTCCTCCGCACGACCTAGCATCTCCCACACAAGAATCTCCGCCTCCTCACCTCCTGATTCCCCTTTTGCTCTCCAGCTCTCACTTCCATCCTCCCTCCGCCCCCGCCTAATCCCAACAATACAACTACTCCCCGCATACCTTGCCACCCCATCCCCGTCCTTCCCAATCCTAAAGCCCCCCTCCTCAACCCCAACCCGATTCGCGAAGACGAGAATAACCATCCCAGCTTCACCCTGCCCCTCCCCTTCTCCCTCCCGCTCCCCCTTCCCCGCAGCTCGTACTAACGGCCAAAACCTCAAAAGCCAATACCTAAACGTCTCCATATCCGGCCGGCGCGCTAACGCCAACTTCTCCTCCTCCCCCCTTTCCCTTTCCCCTTCCCCTTCCCCTTCCCCTAGCTCTCCAGGCTTCAACAGCGTCAACCACGCCATGGGCAGCAGGACGAGCCGTGCGCCGCTGGCCAGAACGTGCGTGGCGAATTCGTAGACTGTCCAAGGCGCGAGGAATTTGTACGGGTTTATGTCCATGCAGATGCCGATGGCAGTGGGGATGGCGGTGGTGGTGGTTGCGTCTGTGTCCGGGGATGTGGTCGTGGACGGAAGCTGGAGATGCAAGAAGCCCTTCCCGTTCCGACCCTCGGCGGCCCATGGTTCGTCGGTGTAGTATAGGAAGCGCTTTTGGTAGTTGTAGAGGGTTGAGCCAGTGGGAGAGACGAGGAGGGCGGAGTTGAAGCGGGATGGGGCGGTGGTAGTGTTGTTGCTGTTTTTGTTGCTTTCCTCGTTGGTTGTGTTTTTTATACTTCCATCATCATTTGTCCTTTGAACGTCGGCTATAGGTTTATTTTCTTTCCCATCGCCATGGCTGGTGTGATGCCGGTCTGCTTTTGCCGGTTCATCAGAGTTTTTATTTCTCATGGCCGCATGAATATCACTTCTTAACGGCGGCAATGATAATGCTGATGTTGCCGGTGAAGTACTTTGGGCTTCTGCAAGCTCGGGGTAACCCACACAAACGACGCAACCGAGGCGGCGCGCGGCGGATCGAGCCCATTCCGCTGTTGGTCCAGATGTTGTGGGCTCAAGATACGGCCGGATGGCCTCTAGGGATGGGAAGTTGTAGCCTGCGATAAAAGTTAGCGGGTTATTCTATTCTCCCGTCGTGGTTAGACGAGTAACTATTCCAGGCTTTAATTATAAAGATAAAACAAGGTCGGAACTTTGAGGGGCCGTGATAATATTATCACTCTGCCTGCCTTCCATACCATGTAGAGGATAGACTTGTTATCATTAAGAGGGTGGTAATAACAATAAAAACAGGATGGGAGTCTCCAGTAAAGAATCAATCACCGGTAGGTACTGCCTCAGGCTCTCCAGCGCAGCCATGTCTGCATTTTCTCAAGCTTATCCATACGTACGTCCACCCTAAAATCCCCCCAAAAATATAATAAAAGATCTCAATTAAATAAAACTCGGAGAAAAAAGAAATATTAAATAAACCTCACCTACCGGTAAAAGCCATCTCCGGCAAAACCAATACGTCTAGCAACCCCGCTAGAGCGCCTGCGCTCACACCTGAGCCAGCAGGCATACTACTGCCACCATCTGGCTGAGCTCCACGCTTCAACCTCATCAACCTCATATCTAAATCATCCACCAGCGCATTCGCGCGGCGGATATTGCCCTCCACATCGCCCCGTCGCGGCGAGAGCTGGAGGGTGGCGATGCGCATCTGTGAGGATTTGTGGTGGTGTACGGATGGCTTATTGGTGCATAGCCTGTATAGAGAAAGGAAGAAAGACGAAAGGGAAGAAAGGGGGCCGAGAGGGAGAAAATGCAGTCAGTGCGGGTGATATATGTATGTTTGATGTCCATATCTACAAAGATCTTATCTAGTGATTGATCACGTGATATAGAGATAGCGACATACAAACCTCCTCCTCCTCCTGTTATCCCCTTGAAGAAAAACTAAACTGTTCACACTTATTATATCACTTCTATCGAACCACAAACGCCTCATGGATCCTCCGTCCACCTACCTTCCGAAACCCCCAGTCCCCTATGTCGAGGGCTGGGTATTCACCGCCCACTCACACATTCCTCCCCCGCCTACACGAGTAACCAAAGACTATTGCCGCAACTTTCAAACTGGTAGAGCAGAGAGAAGACAACTTCTCTCAGTTGAGCAGTGCTTGCGGCATCCTCCATTACCAGGAAGCATAGGATCATGCACCGTCGACTTGAAGATTCTAAATTTATTGAGGGTCGGGGATGGTTGCAATGCCCAAGTTTTCACTGTTAAGGTTCTCAAAACTAGACCTAATCCTCGATGCTTCCAATCAACTAGAAAATTGGTTGCTGAAATATACGACCCTCTTTATTTCAATGATGAAGAAGGATTTATTAATCCTTTTCTTTGTGTGGACAAACACTATACCCATGAAACCCACGCGTATGGTGTTCTGTCTAAGTTACAGGGAGAACAAGTACCCAGGTTCTACAGGTCATATTCATTATTGAATATTCCTGTTGAGCAGTCTGAAATCCGGACAGTTCGGCTTATTCTAGTGGACTATATACCAGGGATATGAATACATCAAGCCAATCCAGAAAATTTTTCTCGCCATTCTCGCCAAGAGGAGATCATCAAATCAGTGATCAACTTTGAAAGTCGAGTCTACAAGCAAAATATTTTACTCACAGATCTAAGCCCTAGAAATGTCATCATGGTAGAGAAGCCTGGTTTTGATCCAAAACAAAGTCTTCTGTTCCTTGACTTTGCTGATGCTCTTTTCGGTCGCAGAAGAGATGATCCAGTTGCTATCAGATCAAACTTGTTCCTTGGTCAGTACATTTCACCTCTTCTACGGTGGGATAAAACTATGGCTATGCAATTCAATGACTGGATTGATTGGGATTGGCAACCCTGGATCGAAGCCGAGTACACTTATACTGCTGCAGCAATCACACCGGAAATGCGGGACACCTACGGCCGATAACTTGTCGCTGTCATTTTCCACTTTGCACTTGCTTCGTTCTGCTCTCTGGCCACATCCTAACGCCTTTCAGTACGTCTCCCGCGGTAAGCGGTATCTTTTATCCTAGGTTTGAAGTGTCTTTTGTCAACTTCATCACTTTGTTTTGTCTCCTCATCGAATATTTGTTAGTTGTACTATCCGTACAGTACGATGTATGCTAATGTCCAATTCACTTCTTTACCTACTGCTCCCCATTGTTTAGTCTACAAGTATACCGGTGGCAGAAAGAATAGATTTCTTTTGAATTTTGTTTTGTGATCGGGATCAAATATTGCAATTCCAAAACGGTTGTTCAAAGAAGATGTCAAATCTATGCTTAATAAACCCCCCCCAGCTTTGAGCTCTAGGTATGTGTGGTTTTGCCAATACTCTCACGCAGAGGCACATTGTGTATCTTGAGTGTATGAGCCTTGAAAGGTATGATATCAGAGGAAATGAAAACTATTATTTCTTGTCTTTTCCAGATTCTGAATTAGTTACACTGATCTCTGTTACATTAATAGTATTATACTAATTGTGTTCTCACAGCCAGATGAGAGGATAATAAATTGAGAAACTATCAAATGCCTCTCTTGGGACTCCAATTGACCTCACTTATGACTGTGCAAGACAGTCACTCACACCTTCACACACCCTTGCTGGCCCCCTCAGCATTCACCCTCACATTGGCTCTGAGAATGATGGATACTTGAATTACCGTAATTTTTTTTTCTTTTTTTCTTTTTTTTTTTAACTATCGTCATCCCCGCCTGGCTTGTTGGTTCTCAATATTTTCTCATCATTCCATGTCTACTTCTCTGCGTGCTATCTCTTCATTTCTATTCAGTATTTCTCTGTCCGCGAATTCTCACATCTACATCTACTGGAGACAGTTGGCCTACTTCAATCCTCCTCGTAGGACCCCAAGGCGGATATATTGCATGATGACCATTGCGAGATCCCAAGCGCCGAAAGCGGCCAGGTCTCGCGCAGCACGCCGTCAAACTTCTCCAGGAAAGCCGAACTACAAGCCATATTGGATGCACATAAGGATGCAGGATGCACGCCAAAAGATGACTCTGGCAACTTCAAAAAGAAGAAGCAAACTGTCCGGCGGAAGCTGAAGCGGTAAGACCCCGAAATCTAGGTGAAATGGAACTCTGACCCTGCTTATCACACCAGCTTCTGCCTTGAACAACTTGATATCACTCCTGAAAAGTTCATCCAGGAGATATGGGCTGCCCATGTCAAGACATTTTTTGATTGGCTTAGGAGGAGGACTCACCAGAGACGCATCAAGGCAGTCGACTGTCAACTCTTATTGGCGGGTTCTTAAGTCTCTCTTTGTGGACAAACATGGTTTCAGCATTGATGAGGGTATGAGGGAGGACTGTGTCAATGTACATGTAAATGTACGTTCACCAGAATGCGGGCTGGCTGGATCTAACTAACATTCCCAGTATAAAAGTCATTTGATCAAGCTGTGGGGCTTTCGTTTACTGCCCAAGAGAAAGCCATCCGGCACTAAAGGTGATCTCTACCCCATCCTCCATGACCACTGGACGCGCTGTACGAAAGCCTATGCCGGTGAGAAACAGCGCCTTTATGTTGCTGCCGGTATTCCGTCGTTCATCTCCGGTGCCAGGTTGGTCTCACTATTTGACACCCGGGTAAAGAAGGTGGATGAAGAGGCAAAAGGGAAACCAACAGTAGTTGTGGTAGTCTGCAGGAGCTCAAAGAGCATTGCGGGCTCTCAAAATCGCCATTCAAAGGAGACGAATTCTCCTGACCTTCAGCCGAAGGTGGGATTCTGGATCAGGTATCGAGATGGCGGATCCAAAGCACCAAGGAAACGCAAGAGGGAGCCTTCAACTAGCAATGAGAGATCTCACGATTCAAAGGCTCAGCAAAGCCATCAATTCCCTCAAACGACACCTTACAAAGAGATCATATCTGACACTGAATATGAGGAATCAGAATGCCATCCTAGTGGCGATACGAACCCTGACCTAGGGTATATTGATGAAGGGAGCGACAGCGATGAGAGGGAATCAATCGTCAGTAACGAGCCAGAGGGAGATAACGACATCGAGTTATCTATGGGATCCGTGGAGGGCGGCAATGGTAGTGATATCGTTGCTGGAAATGACTTCGATGAAGTTGATCGCTTCGTTGAGGATGTGACGGACGACGAGTACGATGCGAGGAGACTGGACCCTTGCCTGGCAGCATATTGAATTTCATATTATCTGTAGCCCCGTGGCAGGACGACCAAATATCCTCCTAGCCAAGGTGACCGTGCTTCATACCAAAAGCGAAGACAAGAAGCCGCGAGTTGTAATTCCCACCCTTTTGGTGGTTTCTGCCTTCGAATACTGACCAGCACTGCAGGAAAACGTTCGTCATCAGTCATAACCCAGAACCAATACTTGACCTCCTGGGCCATTTCCTGTCCATGGCTATCAACGATGATAACTTCACAGCCGAGTTCAAGTAGCTTGAGGATATCTACTGGCAACCCATCCCGTCGCACCTCCAGGGTATGAACTTGAAGATCAAGATAAAGAAACTCGACCAGCCAGTCTTCCGCCAACCCGAACGCACGGCAGAGGGATATCAAACATCAGAGACAAAACCCCTCAAGGCATCTACATGGCAGGGCTACCGCCGGCACGTCGGCTTACTGAGCGGGCTGGAATATGCCTTGACTCAGTATGTCTGGCGACGCTCGCTTATCAGCGCTATTATCAGTATGTGGCTTGTTCCTTTGAAGCTATAACTCCCTCTCCACTTTTCTCTCAATGTTCAATTTTGATGCCTCAAGTGTGCTTTCTCTCTGCATTCTATTCATTTTATCTCTGCCTACTTTCTGAAGCAGCCGTACTCCCCATGCGCTTCAAATGTGGGTACAATAACTGTGACATCTCAGCGGGTGAGGGATGGAATTTTAGAAGAGAGAATTGGTTTGTATCATAGAACCACGATGCAATTTAGCATAAGATGAACATATCAGTAGCAAAAGAGGAGTCAGGAGAATGTACTGTATTCCATCACATCAATGAAAGAGAAATGACATACATTGGTGGATCACAAAGAGAAATGAGACCTGTATTTATGGAGCCCAGGGAGTATCCTGCTTCTCAACCAGAGTCAATATTTGAGTGACCTTTGATTACACCTAAGTGCATCAAGAGGTTATCTTCCTGTTTTTTTACTATAAATTTCCCTCCCTTACACCCTGGAAACGCATCATCTTTTCCATTTCAATATCAAACCATTTGCCTGTTCTAGCCACCCAAGCACCGGTCACAAGGCATAAGCAATCAAAGGACTAAAGATGTGTTTATTGCTCTACTCAGTGATGGGGCACTTTTTTTGTTTGAGAAGGAGGGAACAAATAGTATGGGAGCTGAGAGCGAGAATGAATAGAAGCAGTCTCACTGACACTGGCACTTCAGCCTGCCTTAGAGCTGGCATTTCTCAACAGTTGGGAATGTAGCTGATGCAAGTACCTTAACAAACCTGATATTCTTTTTCAGGCTGTTCATTACTCATGTTGATAGAGACCTTTTGCTCAGATCAACATTGATACCAAAAGCACAAGCGGTAACTCTAACACGTTGATGTGACGCAGGGGTTGACAGGAGAAATTATGGGTGCGAGTGCAGTTCTAGAAGAAAAGCCTCCGATAATTTGTTGAGTGAGAAGAAACTAAGATTGAATACAAAACTTCTGTTAACAGTAGACTGGGGTTTATGCTAGCGACTGTTGTTCCGCAGAGGAGGTAGTTGGCGGCGGCGCAATACCTGCCGAGTCAATATATCACTAACTTGGCTAGCTATCATCATACTCAACTACGAGCACCGATTCGGTATTGGATAATTGGGAGGAGTATTGGAGTTCCGACTGCGAGATGCCGGATCTGATCCACTGCGGAGCATATTCTCTTAAAATGAGTTGGCATCCATATATCGTAGACATTTCTTGTGAATCTGAATCTGTATGCTGTCCATCTCTCTTTGCCATCTAGAGCAGTAAAATCTCTCACTCACTGCTGTATGATCATGTGAGATTGAGAAAGCAACCTTGTATATCTCTTGACTGATTCTCTTTTTCCCGCTTCACAAGCTTGAATACACTTATCAATTCTTGTTTAACTGTCTTTTCTTTCATCATATCAGCTGAGAATGATATTTTGTATCTGTAGATTTTGTTTTATACAGATTTCACAAGAGCCTGCAGAAGTTCTGTATCATCCCAGTCAAAAAAGTAACTGAATATAAGAACTATGTGTGAGTACTGTACTACTGAAGATGATCAATAATACACTTCTAGTTTGCACTCTGCATTGAGCATCATGTATCTTTGATATTCCACGGATGTCTCTGTGAATAAATTGGTTTCATAATTCATCAAGAGAAAAAATGGACAGAAATAATGCTGCTTGTACCCTCTAGACTCATAAATAGAAACTGTGCAGATATCCCATGCTTACTGGCCTAAGTGAAGACAACATCAGAAAAAGAATATATGTACAGGACATGCATACATATCAACTTCAAACTTCAAACTCCAAACACAAATGCCAAAATCCATCGCAAAAGAAAAAAAAAGAAAAAAAAAAGAGAGAGAGGAAAAAGAACAAAAGGAATCCAACATGTTGATGAGGATATGGAAAAAATCATTCGACCGCGCTTGAGACAACAAATAAAAATAATATCACAACATAATCATCATCATATCATCACAAATCCCCCTCCCTCTTCTGCCGTTTATTTTTCCGCTTCTGCACCTTCCCATTCAGCAATCTGCCGCTCCTCGCACTAGTACCACGTGCCGGCGACGGCGACGACGCGATGGGCAGCGACGCAAAACCCTTCGCGCCCGTTTGGCGGATCCTCTGCTCTGTGCGAGATAAGGTACGGCCAAGCCCCAGTGGCGTCGTGGGTGCAAGCGCCACATCGTACCCGTTCACGAGGACGTGAGGGCCATTCATGCCCCTAGAGCTGTCTGGGCCGACGCTAGACCGGCTGAAACGTGGGGCAGAAGTGGGAGCCGGAGGCATGGACATGGACATGGACATGGTCATCGAGTTCCGAAGTTCTGGGACATCATGCCATAAATTCTTGCCGTTTGCGAGGGTATTGGCGGCCATGCGCGCGGCGGAAAAGAGGAGTTCGTCTTCGTTGATTGTGGAATCGGTCAGAGAGCGGGATGCTGGTGGCGGCGGTTGTGGTCGTGGCCGCTGTGAGCTTTTCAGGTTCGTACTCGGACGGTCTAGACTGAGGAGTTCCTCGACTGTTAATAGTCCCTCCGATATGCTTCGGCTAGCTCTATACTGCTCCTTGGCAGTTTCGTCCTCTTCGATGGAATCCGCTTTTCGTTTCGCGATATCTTGCTCTATCAGCTCCCTCTTGGCAGCGTCTTGGCGTGCTGCCTCGCGCTCCGCCGCCTCTCTCTTCGCAATTTCTAACTCTGCCGCCCGGAGTTCCTCCTCTTGTTGTCTAGCCATTTCACGCAGCGAAGCCTCCCTCTCAGCCGCTTTAATTTTCGCTTCCTCCAGTCGTCTAGCACGTAACATCTCTTCTTCCTTCCTAGCCTTCTCAAGCCGCTCGAGCCTGGCAGTCTCCTCCGCCGCAGCTCGTTTTCTATCACGCTCCCGCTCAATTTCACGTCGAGCAGCTTCTTTTTTTTCGGATTCAATCCGTTTTGCTTCCATCTCTTCTGCCTTTCTTTTCTTCTCTGCAGCCTCTCGTTCAGCCGCTTTCCGCTCGTCGATATCATCTTTGGATCCCTTGGGTTTATCAATTGAACTTGTAAATTCAAACTTCGGCGCTGGTGCTTTGAATGCTGTACAGAAGAGTAAGCATCGCAAACATTATGATTATCAACAATGGAGAGATCACAGCAAAAGCTAATCGTGGGCTTTTGAACCATAACTTACCTGGAGACTCCGCCGGCGATGGGAAAGGAGACGAGGATATATTTGATGTAGGGATTGGCTTATTTGTTACTTGGTCCTGCTTCGAAGCTGGTGCTGCCTGGGTTGTAGAAAATCTTGATGATATGCCACCAGCGTTGGTGGTTTGGTCACCAGCGGCAATTTTACTGGGCTGGCCAAAAAGTCCGGAGCTCGCGAACGGTGCTGGCGGCGTTCCTAAACGTCTATTAGCATCGAATAACCTAGAGCGGATGGGTTTATAAGTTACCTTTATCAAAGACGCCAGGCTGGTTGCCTGGTTGGGCACTCGGGAAAGGCCTAAATAAAGAGTCACGGGGTTGTACACCATTCGCAGCCCCGGGACTCTGGTTAGGAGCAGTCATCGCTTCCTTCGGTTGGGAAGAAGGTGCAAACGGGATTGATTGTGGAAATGTTTGGTTGGGGGTACTAGTTCCTAGTTGGGAAGAGCTCGGTTGACCGAACGAAATTGTACGGTTTGTCGGTTTGAATGGTGAGTTCGTGGGAGCCGAGGGCACAGTTCGAGATTGTTGATTATCTTTCTGGACGCCAAAGCTTGAACCAAAATTGGATCCCCGGGACGATCCGAGATTCGCGCCAAACGTGGAGGAGAAAGTGGGTGGAGTTGATTGAGGTGTGGCTTGTGAAGATGGAAATAGGCTTTTAGAAGGTTGTCCAAATCCTTCAGGCGGCTGTGCTGTTATAGATGTTGATGTTGTACTAGCTGGTTGCTGTTTAGCACCGAAAGGAGACTATAAACCAAAGACCCTGTCAGTCTCCAAGCCCAATAAACAACAGAAGATCGAAGAAAGACAAATATAACCGAAAATCCAGTATCGTGACATATGGAAGGGAAGTATTACCGATGTTGTAGTTGCCATAAATGGCGATTGACCTTGAGGGGTGAAAGGTGAAGCGGTAGGGGACAGCTGTCCCGCCTTGGATAAAGACGTTTGCTGCACAGCTGGACTACTAGGCGAGAAAGGCTTCCCTGCGGCCCCTTGAAACAACTTGTTCGCGGCGAGGCCTGGGTCCTCAACGCTAGGGAATGAAAAAGTAGGCTTGAAGGTTCCGATACCCGCCTTATCAGATTGCCCACTTTTTGTATCGCGCGTTTGGGCTTCGTTTTCATCGTCGCTCACAAATAACCCATCCCCCTCCACATTCTGTTTCGAATCCTGTTGAAATGCCGGGTCCGCTTGTAATAGAGACTGGTCGATCATCCCGTATCTGGCAGCTTGTAAGACATTCATGCCAAGAATAAGAGCGACCAGCGTCCTTCCACAACGCTTAGATTCGACGTGCTCGTACGAAAATGTTTGTTGTGAGGATGGTTGGAAGGCTATTAATTACCAATTAATTGATGGTTAAAAGTAAGTCAGAGTTTTATAGTCAAATAACGATCGGTGAAATCACGGAAGGGAACGGCTTGGCAGGGCGGCATAAAAGGGGGCTTGTTGGTTGGTAAAAACACGCACCGACAGAGTCAAGTGGAAAATGGCCCCAATTTAGATACATATGCCCATCAGAATTTGTAGCAAACTGGAGCCCTTGTTCCTCGCAAAATTCAATTGTTTGATCGTTGTCGTCAAATCCCAGTGCCCCAGTAAGCTCATCAACCGTCCATTCTTGGTTTTTATGTTGTTGTGAAAGAGGATGTCGACAATAGGCTTTCCATATTGATCGGATTGCCGTTTGTCGGACCTGGTTGAAGTAGATTTCCGCAATACACGCCAAGAGATAGGGGACGCTGTTAGACTGGATGAGACGGAAGAAACGCGCATAAAACCCCTGCGCAATGGCGTTTGTCCTTTTCGCATCCAAGGTACCTTGATACTCCCAAGTATTCCCGGCTGCAGCGAATAGCTCAAGTGCAACCTGAACACGAGGAGACTGTAGCAATTCCCGAGGCCATTTTTGTACTCGAGCTTCGAGGTCGGGCCGCTGGTCGTGGATGGAGAACACGATGTAATAGGCTCGGAATTCGTCCTCGTTTGGAAACTTGATCAAATCTCGGTTGTCGTCGTAGTAGTATAGGAGAGATAATAAGGTATTATTCAGTTGTTCCCGTTCCTGGTGATGATCAAAGGGTTCCGAGTTCTCAGGGCTGGACAGGAGATGGAGAGAAACGATGTGGAACCGTGCAATTCGTTCAAGGCACTTCACTGCAATTGCGACGTCCTGTGCTTGAGTAAGTTGTTGAATAGATAAATCATTGCGAATTGACCGTGTGCGATCCCAGAGAAATTTGTGAGTAAGAGCTAAAGTTTCATCATCCACTACAACATGTCGCAGAAGGTAGTTCATCGTTTGGAGAAGGGTCTTCGGAGTTCTGATATCTGAAGGTAGCTGCTCGTCATAGCCAGCAGCAGATCTTCTGAATCTTTTCAGCATTTTGGCCTCGACTGTATGGGATACCATGGACTCCGGGTCGGTAGACTGAAGCGAATAAGTCAGTGTCTGGCTAAAATCTTGATGGTAGAAGACGAATAAAATAAAAACCTTTTCACTCTTATCGACCATCTTTTGGACAATACGTTCCACTCGTTCGAATTCAGGACACATCTCTGTACAAGTGCCTGTCGGGGTAATCGCACTTGTCAATAACATAGGTTGATTTGGATCAGCCATTTGCCCGGTTTTTATGGCTTCTGTTCGTTGCCTAGCACGATCAAGTTTCAACTATAAATCCGATAGTCGGTTAGTCGTGGACACCCCTCAATTAGAGAAACCGCATCGTTTCGAGACAAAATAGGAAGGAAGAAAACACCTGCTCATAGCGGCTATTATAGTCTTGCGGCATTCCGGATTTTGCGCTTCCGCCTGAAAGTTTGCCATTTCGTCGCCGCGGATCCCTGGAGTGGTCATTGAAAGACACATCCGTACCCGCAACCGCGCCAAAGGGAGAAGAAGGTCGCGATGATTGTCCACTTGAAGTTGCCGAACGCGAACCAAAAACCGGGGCCTTTACACCATTTTCTTGACTGCTCTTAGGTCGGGAGCCATTTTCGAGGTTCCCCCTTCCAACCCCTAAACCAATATAACTTAGCACTGAGCGCGAATTATTCAGCTTGTTGTAATCATTACCTCGAAATGGTCCTGGGGATGACCTGCTCGAGACACCATTTGGGCGTACAGTAGTACCAACTGAGATATCGCCCCGCCTCCCGCGGCCGCCTCGAGGCCCGCCGCGACTGGCGGCACGAGTTTTGGCACCTCGAGTACTATCATCAGTGCCAGGTGCGGGCCGCGATCCTGCAGTACTACCCCTCCATACGCGACCACGGGCAGATGACGGTCCAGAAGCCCCTCGTTTGAAACCAGCAGGGCCTGTCAGCGTCGGGGCCTTTGACGTAGCTGACATCCTGTTTGCCCTCGAGAAGGCAGAAATATCTGTTGTGTCATACGTTTAGATCATGCCATGAAAATAAAGAAAGAGGTATATAGGTAGGAGAGGGAATCGGTCCGTCGACGTTTTACACGGCGAATCAAAATCTCAGGTTGAATCGGTATATGAAATGAATCGTCCCGCGAATTGCCGGATCTCAAAACTCGGACTGAGATTTGGGTTTAAATATATGACGAAAGTAGACTGAACGATTTTAGACGTACGTATTCTTATCGGATAATTGTTGGCAAGGGTATTCCCAGGTAGGAACCGCTATTTGCACGAGTGCTGGTATCGAACCATTCCAGCCCCGATAAAAACCGCAACCTTCTCTTAACTCTGTTTTTCCAAGTAACCTCAAAACCTATATTTTCGGTGGTGGGAACCCTTAATACGACGGGCGATAGATAAGCGCTCAGCGGGAGACACTTGCCGCAGCGGGAACGGAGGGAGAAAAGCGGTGCAGGCTCCGTGGCAAGACCTCTCAACTACAAACATCGCAAAGAAAACAGAAGACTAGTTAGCTTATGAATCTATGGGAGCAAACACTATGATCAGAGCAATCGAACTTCCCCCGGGGGATCGGGCGCCGAAGGGAGGTGAAGATACAGGGCAGGGAGCGAGAGCAAGGGTAGGAGTCAAACGCGAGCGCCACAAAGGCGGCAATCCAGAGTAAGATACGTTAATACCTGTGGTGTGTAAAGGGTATGTCTAGTCAGTCGCTCAGAGGTGGTTTGCTGCAGGCACTCGATGATAAACCAAAAGAAGGCGGAGAGGGATAGTTCGAGGACTTTCAAGTTTCACGAGCCAAGGCAGACAGCGCGGGTGCTTGTAGATGACCCCGTTGCGGATTTGTAATTCAAGTTCCTTCCTTATAGCTAAGCGGTAATTAATAAGCTTGTTTGTTTGTTCTAGACTGGACAGCAGCCTCGACGAAGGCCCGTGAATGAAGACGCTATTGCGAGTCTTGAGATGAGTCGAGGCGTGAATACAAAATACGTGAAGCTTCCTGGCAGGCAACGCTAGGCTATTTTCGGAAATTATGGTTAACGCCACGTTTGGCGCTTGCGATTATAACGGCTAATTTCATTCTAGCAAAGTCATGTTTGCTTTAGGAGACCTTTTCTTTTACGTCTAGAGACAAGGAGAAATCTGAAAAGTGCCTGCAATTAATCATGTCATCTCATACTATCTAGTAGGAAGGAAAGATCAACAAGTAAAAGCGTTTAACGAAAGGACGAACTAGTTCCTTAAGGTGAACCCCTCAAACTGAGCTGCGAAAAAAGTTCCAGACTTTTATTTTAGCAAGGCGCTGTTAATCAAGCCCAAGCCCCTACCAAACTCATGGCAGCCGCACCAAAGAACACAAGCAAACAAGCATAAATTCGCCTTTTACCCCGTAGTATGCGCCAGCTCTCATCGCTCAAGAAATCTTCAGCCAGCAACTCAACCAGTGAGGAGTAGACAAGCAGACCTGATGAGATGGCGTTCATGACGCCGACCATTATGAGGCCGACTTCTGAGTCTGGGTCGTAGAGGGTATGCGTTCCTAGGCCGATTGCTTGGCCGAGAGGTGTACTAACGAGGTATTAGCATGTGCGTTCCGACAGACAGTGGTACTTTTTGAGGTGAATGAGGTTTTTTTTCTTTTTCTTTTCTTTTCTTTTTTTTTTTTTTTTTTTGGGGGGGGGGGGGTGTTTATAACTTACGTGCAGCCATATAATAGGGCCATAATCCATGGCTGGTAAGTTTTATCCTTCCAGTCTATCACTGCGATGCGCGAGCCTAGAGCGAGGCCCTCGAACGTTTCTGTAAGTTATCCCCGTCTCGTTAGTTTCGCTTTAATCTTCCGGCTGAGGAAAGTCCGGCTTTGATTGTAAGGGAAATTGAAATGCTGGGGCAGGACATACGATGAAAAGCGATAGCAATCAACAAAACCACAAATGAACTCCCCGTGGACACCGCCAACGCCAACCCGATAAAAATACTATGGAACAAAATCCCCATTTCCAATAACATGCACTGCATCACAGCCTTCTTACGCTGCTGCTCCGGCGTCAACTTGATCGATGAAAGCTCATCATCGCTCTCCGACTGGGGTTCATCAACATCGGCCTTGGTCTCCGCTGCCGACACCGCCGCCGATACTCGTGGTCCTTGTCCTCGACCTGGTGACTGCACCCGCTCCATCTCCACCAAATCTGCGTTAATATGCGCCAACTCGCGACCAAGACTACTCGAATTGCCAACAAGCGGCCGCTCGCGGCGCAGTGAGGCATCCGTCGTAATACTGGGCCGCGACTTCAGTCGATCGGAGTCGGGTGTCTTAGATGTCTCAAAATCATCTCCGCCGCCTCTGCTTCCACCCTGACCGCCACCACAACTACCACCACAACAATCATGCCCCTTCTTCTCCTGTCCTCTCATATAAACACTCCTATTCCCCCTATCACTACAACAATGCCTCCCAGGACTAAATATCATCTCCACAACCGTCACCGATAACACGGCCGCCAGCGCAATCGCACCAGGCATGGGCTGGTAATCTACCGTCCAGAAACGAGGGAGACACGGATCATTTAGCGAGCCGAAGGCGGTGGGCAAGAGATGCACAAAGGCCGTTGCGAGCAGGACTCCCGTGCCGAAGTGGCGGACGAGAAAGAGGAACCAGGCCGGGATGCGGAGGAAGGTGAATTTGACGGCCACAAGGGGGAATGAGCAGGCGAGGGTGGATACGGAGAGGATGATCATGAGGGCGCCGACATGGAGGGGGGTGTTGTATTCGCGGTCGGAAGCCGGATTGTTGGAGCAGGTTCCGCGCCGTTGTAATCGGGTCGTGGGCAGTTTGTGGGATAGGTTTGATTTTAAGGTTGCTGCTGTGAGATTGGTTAGCTCCTTGTTTCATGCAGATATATACATAGATATTCGGAGGAATGAGAGAAGAGTTCTAGGTCAACCGAGGGTGGTTTTTTAGAATAAATCAAGGATACCTAAACATACCATAAGCTAACAACGAGCCTCCAGCGGCATAAGATATATATGCAAACAATACAAATAACGCGATTCGCCAGATCCAAACTCGACGCTGGCAAGATCGCTGGTCTGTCCCAATTGCGGGAGGCCAAGCACGGGTGGCAGAGCAGGTGTCTGGAGTCATCGAAATAGTTGTTAGCATGAATATTTCTTTCTATCCTCAACTTATTCCCGAGAACAGCTTGTGCGTAATATAAATTATAAGCAAATACCTTCTTTGTTCAAAAAATGACAACCTGCATCTGCGCCCTTGCTGGCCAGAGGCGGACGGTAATTCTCAGGCGGTCTCTGAAGAAGACCATCCGAAGTCTGAGCAGAATCGCAGGACAGATGGGAATCCCGATTCCGGTATGCCCTGGAATTGACAATACCGTTGAGGTCCTCGCATGTAGTCAGGTCGGCTGTCAACAATGGTGGGCTTTGGTTCCAGTCTGGATGGTCGGGGCATTGATCGGTTCGGGACGGGCAGTTCATGATAGGCGGGTTTGAAGACAAGGTCCCTTTTTTTTTTTTTTTTTTTTTTTTTTCTCCTTTTTTTCCCGCCTATAGGGGTTTTGGGTTCGCTTGATTTATCAGAAATCCAATATCCGATGTATGTACTCCGTAGAGATATATCGAGATAGATATGCAACAAAATACGTTCAGGGATATGGCAAGAGATATAGGCACAACGTCGGGGTCAGAAAGTGAGAAAAAGAGTTCGGGATGACGAATCCGCTGAGTTTTCGATCCCCGCAGAAGCAAGCGTTCTATGGGCCGGCCTGTGGAATACCGCCAAGATACAAGTGCTGTTATTGACTTGTAAGGTGTTATTAACGTCAACGGTCAAGGAATACTAGCCTAGCCCTTTGAAGCCCGGTTTTAGGCGAGATCGCACCGTACACTGCGTTACAGGCGGGACGGCTTGGGCTAGACGAAAACTGGCATTGAATTCGGCGCTAGCAATTGTCTGATGGGAATTTTAATAATGTCGTAATATTTTGCGCAAGGTGAGAGGGGTACGACGAGATTTACTGTAACAGTGAAAGATGGGCGAAAGATGGATGAAAAATAAATCATTCCTCTAAGAGATAAATATAGTCTGGAAATGAGGAAACCTTGTCATTGTTTGAGATGTACTCTTCCTCAAAATTGGCCACATGCAGTGGCGCATTCATTATTATTTTAAATTAATATATCTCATTCCTCCTCCCTTTCTCAAGGTTCCAAGTTCCCAGGGTTGGTGTTGTGCCTTGAAGAGTCTAGGCGTGGCCAATCGCCAAGACCAGCCAACCGGGCCGGTTTGCTCCATGCGGATCTTGGTTGAGCGGCGGGTAAATGGAGATTACAGCACCGTGATTGGCTAGATATGGTCTTGGCAGAGTAGTCTAAATTCTCAGATGAAGAAGCAGCGACGCCTTATAAGGCTTATAATAAGGAGAGTATGTATCCTACAACCGATCGATAAGATATAATAAGATCGAGTTTGTCGCCGTTTCTGCCAAATAATTCCTGATCTTATAGAAAGCCTAGTTACTATCTTGCAAATAGAGATGTTTAGCAGACCAAATTTATAATTCATCAGTTCGGTTCGGCTTGGTTCTGGGCCCTCTTATAGGAATTATTACTGGATGTTCATTTTGACACTAGATAATGGAAAAACTTTCATCTCCAGCCAACCAAACAGCAAAATACGCTGCGTAACTGTAATAAGCCAACTGATAAATCCTGTTGGGTTTCAACGAGAGTTAAGGAACTAAGAAACACTAACGTAACTTGGTTAGATCTTCTGTCCCACAAACCACGAACCCCTCTTCAGACTATTATTAATATCTTATCAATCTCCACCACGAAGTTTCCACTGGTAGAGACTAGAAAATGAGCCCACCGAACCGAACCGAGCCGATATTTCTCCTAAACCTCCCAATGCATCCGAGGATAGCACATTGAATAGAGTGGCACATTTGTTAAATTATGTTACGTGCAGCTAGCTCCCTTGCTCCGGAAGAGGAACGGATATTGTAACCTACCTAGTTTCCACCGGGAATCCTCAGGGAAAGTGGCCAGATAGTTTCTTTCTAAGGTTTTGTCTTCAAACATTATATAACAGCATCGATCTGTCCATCTGTAGCGGACTCACCTCGTACTTCTACAATAACGTTACTGGAAAGTTATCAATGCAACAAAAATGCGTACAAACCACTTTAACATCCTTGCAAGTAGACATCATCCCACGGCTGTCCTAGACTGAATCAATCACAATGGGAAGATGAGGCAAGAATGTTTGTTGTCAGAGCGAATGCAATTCAATGAACCATTTATTCCGCGCAAGACTTGGGAAGTCCATGCAAGAGGATGAGAGAGTAGATAGAGCTGGAAAGACAATTCGAATACTCGGTGGACATTGCCTCTCTCTGCTGAAATCTTGTATCTAGACTAACTTTGTTTGAGTACCACGAATTGACCTTCCATTAGAGCGCAGAAACATAAGGAGACCCTGGTGCCGGACGGCGTGCATGCTAACCCTCAGAAATGGCGGGGAAAGCTATCGAATGATGGCGGATCGTCGCGGCATGTTTCAGCTAGGTCACCGTGGGTGATTCATAGAAACGTCATTTGAAGGATAAATGAGTGAGCAACGCCGCGATTGGGACTCCACAATAATTCGCTCCCGAATTGGCCTGCGTATGACATCAATGCAGCAGACGTGTCTATCTACTCATAGCTCCGCATTTTTCACCATGCCGTGCCCCCTAATTTGTGTAACTTGTATCTTTTGTATGGGCTCACCATATACATAGTAAAAAAATTAATATCTTCAACCCAACATCAGATATGAGAGATATCAGTGTATATTTTTGAGCAGAGAAATAGAGTAGTATCAAAGAATTTAAGTATATTAAACCTTTTTACTTTTAAATTATAGCTAATATAAAATAAGCAGAATAATTTACTTCTATTTAAAAAAAATTTATATAATCACATTCTTTGTATTAGAATATAACTTGTATCTTTTTAATATTGTACATCTGATGTTGTGTTGCAGATATAGTATATTCTAAAAACATGAATTGACAGGTACCTTTTATATGAGATACGCATACAAAAGGTACCTATTGTGGTCATAGTGGGGGAAGCGTCGGCCCTTGACCACCTGGTTCCCTTTTTTCCTTTTGACAGAATGATCCGATCCTTAACAAACAACCCTGGTTTGAAGCATTTGGAGTTTGCGATGTCCGTTGGGGAAATTTTAGGTAGGAATGTTCAGAAAGAACCACGTCAAGTTATCAACACAATGTTTTTAATCGCCTATGACGCTAAGTTTGAAGGCTACCGCTTGCCGCGTCTAATGTCACCGCTTTCCATTCTCGGAATACTGCCGCTTTGGAGCGAACACACCCTCAAACTTTTTTGTTTCTTCTCTTCTCTTTTTTTTCTTCTTCTCCCCCCTTTTCCGCCCCCTCCCCAAAGAGGGGCGAATTGCGAATTTAGGGCTCATTAATACCACTTCAACATCGCATCAAGATGAAGTACATTTTGGTTTCGGGAGGTATGTTTTGTACCTTGTGATTCCGTGTGTTTTTCGCCGGAGTGTCTGACGAAACCTCTCGCGTGCAGGTGTCATCTCTGGGGTTGGCAAGGGCATTATTGCCTCCAGCACTGGGCTACTCCTGAAGACTCGTGGTCTAAAAGTGACCAGCATTAAGATAGACCCATATATGAATGTTGATGCTGGGACTATGAGTCCTACAGAGTTGGTTCACCCTTCCAATTTGAACTCCTGGTTTCCCTCCCACCCGTAAAAGACCCAATAGAGGGACAACTAGAACTGACTGGGAACATAGGCATGGGGAAGTATACGTTTTAGATGATGGTGGGGAGGTTGATTTGGACCTGGGAAACTACGAGCGCTACCTGAATATTTCCCTGAGTCACGAGCATAATATAACCACTGGCAAGATCTACCTACACGTTATTGAGCGTGAACGCCGTGGCGACTATCTTGGCAAAACGGTACAAATTGTACCACATCTGACAGACGCAATCCAAGACTGGATTGAACGTGTGGCTAAAATTCCCGTTGATGAATCCGGGCAAGAGCCAGACGTTTGTATTGTCGAGGTTAGACCCCCCCTTAGGGACCCGGATATCTGGCCCCATTTTTCAAATTCTGAACTTTCTCTTTATCACAGCTCGGAGGCACAATCGGAGACGTGGAATCTGGTGTCTTTTTTGAAGCCATGCGCCAGCTACAGCGACGAGCCGGAAAGGGCAATTTTCTACAAATCCATGTTTCTTATGTCCCCGTAATTCCACCTGGTAGCGGCGAGCAGAAGACGAAACCAACCCAGCGGGCGATCAGCGATGTCCGGAGCGCAGGTCTTAGTCCAGACTTGGTATATCCTACATTTTGCTCCACCCTTCACATTTCCTGCCCTATTAGCTGATTGTTTTGAACCTTCTAGATTGCTTGTCGTTGCGAGAGACCTCTCGAAGATCAAACAATTGTCAAAATCGCCGGCGCCTGTCAGGTTGATCGTGACCAGGTTCTCACAGTACACAACGTCTCAACAACCTACCACGTTCCCGTTCTTCTTGAGAACCAGGGTGTCCTCTCGACCATTAACCGCGTCCTTCAGCTTGATACTGTCACTATACCTAAAAATCTTGTACAGCAGGGCAATGCTACATGGACTGCGTGGAAATCACTGGCGACAGCTCATGATCATACGCAGGAGACTGTGTCTATTGCTCTTGTTGGCAAATATACAGCCCTTCACGACTCCTACATGAGTGTAAGCAAGTCGCTGGAACATGCGGCTATGCATTGTAAACGGAAAATTGACCTTATCTGGGTTGATGCCTCTCACTTGGAAGAGACGACTCAAGAGATCTCCCCCGCAGAATTCCATAAAGCATGGCATGCTGTCTGCATGGCAGACGGAATTCTCGTCCCTGGAGGTTTCGGCTACCGGGGAACGGAAGGAATGATCAAAGCTGCCAAGTGGGCCCGTACCAACAACGTCCCCTACCTAGGCATTTGCCTAGGAATGCAGCTTGCTGTCATCGAATATGCACGCAACGTCTGCGGTATAGATGCTCATAGTGAGGAATTTGACGAGCACCATTCAACCCCGGCAATTGTCTACATGCCTGAAATCAACAAGGAGAAGATGGGCGGGACGATGCGATTGGGCAAACGACCCACCATCTTCCAGCCTGACACGGAATGGTCTCGTCTGCGCAAGCTATACGGAGACGCACCTGCCATCTGGGAGCGGCATCGTCATCGCTACGAAGTCAATCCAGAGATGGTGGAGCAGCTGGAGAAGGCCGGGTTGGCATTTGTAGGCAGGGACGAGAAAGGTGAGCGGATGGAAATCATCGAGCTCAAAGACCACAAGTGGTATGTTGGCGTGCAGTTTCACCCAGAGTATCTTTCTCGAGTGCTTGCGCCCAGCAAGACGTTCCTTGGCTTCTTTGCTGCCGCCTCAGGCTGCCTTGAAGAGATCACCGACTCGTTCAAGGACCGCCATGACCTTAGCCGCCAGGAAATGGATCCTGCCTTGATTCCAGCGCGATAGGTGAATTCGGAAAGAGGAATGAATGGGTGGAAGCAGTAAAAAAAATGAAACATATGCTTTTGGGTTGCTTGGGGCGCAAGTTGGCGAGAGGCCATCTTATTGTTCTCTGTATTTGCTCGAATTGCAACTTGCAAAGCGTCATGAAGATCGAACTCGCCCATGTTAAGTGGATGCAATATTAAACATAGAAATATTTTCACACGTATATAACCCACCTAGGCCTGGGCATGTTGCGAATGAAATGGAATGTGGATTTGATTAATTTCTTCCCCCTAAACTCGTGACATGGTGATTATTCTTTTGACATTTTGATCAACATCACTCTCGCCAGGAATATACATGTATCGTATCTACCACCAAAAGACCCTTCATGAGTATTGAATGTCTGGTATTATTTTTATTTGAATAACTAAGCTAAGTGGGCCTGAAGGTGTCTTCGATCTGGTAGGCCATTATTTGTGTGTAGAAAAGGGGCATCAAATAGGGATAAGTTATATTATTGCATTTGGGGTTCAGGACCCAAAAAATAGGGTGGGGAAGGAAAAAAAGAAAAAAAAGAAAAAGAAAAACACAGTACAGGTAAAAAGGGCGATAAAGAGCTTTGGGGCTGTTTTAGGGACAATTCACGGGAACAGCTGGTGGACCGAAGATAAAAGAGAAACGACCAAGAGAAACGCTTTACGACTTCAGCTTTTGCGAAGGGTGGGGGAAGGGGGAGAAAGAGTAACTGCTGGTAACCGAAGGCTTGATGGAGGGTAAATTTCACGAAAGGACAAGTAGACCGGAATAAGAACAATAACAAAACCGAAAAGAGTAGCAAAAACCTAAGAAGAGAACTGGTCAAATTGGAACATGTGTTCCTTGCGTGTTGAACTTTTTGCTTGCTTTCCTGTGAGGCCATAGTTCAAACTGATGATATATCCGGCGCTGGAATATAAGTGTACCACAGCCACGGACGGTTAGATTAAAATCCGGTGATCTGGCTAGTGGTGGTTGGAGCGGTTGTCTTGGGAAACGAAACCGGGGGGTGGGGTGGTTGGGTTGTTGATTAAGGGAATTATGTACGAAAAGATGTGCCAAACAATAGGAAACTGTACCCATAACGCCAAAATAAAAGAAAAACCGGACCTTGTTTGCCATTTTTTGGCATCGTTTTTCTCGCTTGAAAGCTAAAGCAGATGGCCGCCCAAAATCTGTTCCGTATAAGACTACTAACCGACCCAGAAAGAGTGAGGACAAAAAAAAAGATCGCTAGCTCCAAAAGGATAATTCGAAGTTTCCCCCCTGGATGGCGACAGATCAGATCAATTCAAAGGAGAAGAGAGCTATTTTATATTCTTCCCTTGTTCCGCCATCAGGCGGGTCGGGACCATCCTCACATAATAATGATTTAGGAATCTGTGCGGAACGATGGGTGAAATATAGGGCTACCACCCATCTGTTGTTGCGAACGTGTTTCCTGGAGGTCACGGATAGGAAGAGAAGCATGGGATGAAGGCATCATGGGCGACATGAATTGTTGTGGAATCATCCCTGCATTGCTGCTTGCATATTCAACTTGGATAAAGCCTGGGTGTTGAAAAGATGCCACTGGTGCCACTGGCCAAGCACCATAATTTCCCGCGGCCTGATTTCCTGTAACGGAGCCTCTTGGATTCATATATTGACCATCGACTGGGGATTGAGGCAATCCTTGAAAATAGTTGACATTAGATAGAGTTGCCCTCGTATCAATTGAGGCGGGACTTCCCATAGGGGTGAATTCCTCGTAGTCGGGTTTGATTCCCAGAGGTGAGAGAGAATTCGGTGTTCCAGCTTCAAAAGGCCCTGATATCGACGACGAGAAGATGGTATTCCTGGTTTCTGCGAAGGTGGGAACAACACGGTTATGCATCGGTAGAGTTTGGGGTGGCATTTGTAAGTTATTTTGCGGCCTACTTGAACCCGCCACTTCTGATACATGTCCCCCGCGAGAATCATTGGTCTCGTCGATGTAGCCAGGTTGCTCGGAGTCCGATGCAGTTTCTGGCTCCTCCCTAACGCAGCGATTCGTCTTTTCTCGTTTAACAACATAAATCAATGTATCGGCGTCTGACAAATGGATGGCCCATTAGATCATAGAAATTGGAAAAGGGGAGAATGATGAAGCACTTCACGAACCAATTTCTCCCCGCTCATAACGCTCCTCCTCCTCCCTTACTCGGTATATTTCATCCAGAACAGATGCTTTTTCGGTGGGCCTACATTGTTTCTGTGCTTCCTCACCAGCCGCTTTGAGTTTCCTGGCTGTAATACCATGGGATTTCCTCAAATTTCGAAATATATGAATAAGGAGTTTCACCCGGGCTGTGTATTTATAAGCTTCTGGAGGTTTAGAGGAATAAACTGGTTGGGGATCAGGAAAGAGCGGCTTACGTATTTTCCTCAGATGGTCAGGTTCTTTATGAATCACGTCAGCAGGCCACCACTCTGGCTTAGTTTTCTCGGGATCTCTAGTCTCTCCGGGTGCTGCTTTTCCTCCGTTATACGGATGCTTTGCCTGCTTCCGGGGCTCAATGAGCTTGATATAAGCCTTTGCGACCTGGCGACAGTTAATCTGCTGAAAGGCTCTGAAGGCTTCTGCGTAATAAGCCATCATTCTTTCCTCATCACCGATAGGCAAACCAATCTTGTTCACAGGATGGTCTTCAAATTCGTCGTCGTCTTCCTCCTCAGAGGCTCCATTAACCGTATACGCCAATCGCTGGCGCTTCTGCGCAGGCATATCTCTGAGGGAAGACAGATATCGGGGTCGTCTGGCTTTTGAACTGGACGCCGGGTTTATATTTGACTGGCCTGCATTCCACCTTAACAATTGATTTTCACGAAAATCTATCAGGTATACAAACCTGGAAATATCGCCTGGGAGGCGCGCTGTATGAACCCGTTTTCAAAGTCCGGAAGAAATATTTCACTCTTGTGGTGGTGCATAGACGGAGATAATTCACACCGGACATTCCCAGACGGATCAAGATATGCCAGGGCATAATGTCGGTATGGAATGTGGATTGCTGAACGGGATTCAACTGTGAACACATCCTTAGTCATGTTAGCTCCTCGGTAATATTGTGGATGGAGGCAGCATAGCATATCTACATACGGGTGGGGACTCCCAAGATTGAGTTCCCTCCATCGATTCACCGTTGCCAGATTTCAGTTGAGAGTCTGAAGCGGTGGGCGCGGGTCTGACAACCATAGTGCTGAAGCAGGCCTTCCAATATTTTATTCGACAATCGGTTAGGGTTTAGGCACGTAGCACATATAACGTATGTACTGATTTCCCTTAGCTGTCCCAAGCCAAAGACGAGATATACGATGATCGGTCCCAAGGCGATCCGTAATAGACAGCACAGGGATCCCCAGAGTGATGAAGTGAGGGGCAAACAGGAAGAACAGAATTTACTAGAACCAAGAGATATGACGGATGAACAATGGATAATCGACACGACCTCCCAATACACCATGAAAAACCAAGTCGATTATTAGGAGCGTAATGTACTGACAGGATCCCCCAGTTCCGAGATATCTGGACGCAGAGTGAGTTCGTTCTTTCTTGGCTGAAAATGGGGAGTAGATGTCGACTCGATGTTAGGTAGAACGTTTCGTCAGGATAACGATGCTAGCGATATTTGGCATGCTATTGTAGAAAAGTGATGAAATCAGATGTTGGAGGACGGGGAATGAGGCAGATAAATACGTCGAGGGCATGTCCGTGCAGTAAGTTCATTGCCAGCTGGAGCGAGAGGTACATGAGGACCTTGATCTGCTAGCAAGACAGTGGCGGTCGTTCAAAACAAGTAGTGATGTCCAAGAAACACAAGCGACACGGCTCCACGGGGGGCTACTTCATCTTCCCCGGCTCTACTACCCCTCCAACTGCAGTGTGATCCGGCAGTTCCACTTGATTATTGTTGGAGGCTAAACTAACTTCTCATTGATAGAGTGGGATCCACCGACCAGTGCTCGAACTAAATGGGGGGCGATCAGGGTGTTCGGGGAGCAAGAATGATTCGTAGCACCCGCCAAGAGACCGACAATGAATGCAGAGGGACCGTGCGGGAGCTTCAAGAGTAGTCTCGAGAGTTGTCGCAGGTGTTGGAAGGGAACTGGTCCTTCCCTGGAAAATACGGAGGCTCCACGGTCATGGCGAGATTTAACACAAGAGTTTGGGGGAAACGCCACCGTCAGCGTGGCATCTCGTTCAATAAGAAAAAGGAGGGTACATTTAGCTGATTCTCGAATCAAAATTAAATGCCGTCCTTTTTCTTTCAAGCAGAGGTACATGTACAGTACATGGTTGTCCTCCGCCATTTGATCTCCTGTTTCCTATTTCCTCTAGGGACTTCAACGCTCCCAAAAGGTTGTAAACCCATCATTGAATAGTGATCCCGAAGGCCTAGTTCAATAGAGCGCGCTCTTCAAGTTGGGCTGCCCAATGTCTGTACAGAACTGAAGAACACGAGCCCAGTAAGCATCATTACATGGATCCGCAGAATCCGTCACGGATCCAGATCGAAGTTGCTCAAGCCTCAGGGCAAGGGATATCTAGATCCTGGTCCAACCGCTGTATCCGCCTCCAATTATGAAGGTTATTTCGGGGCCCCTTGTCGGGTTGTCCCGCCTCCAGAGTTCCACTTTGGCTGGGGCCTTGGAGAGATTTTGGCACATTATTGGGACATCCAGACAAAATCTGCAAGGTTCGATCGCGGGATCGGGGGTTGTGGGGCCGGTTTGGAGTCGAGACTAAAATCAGTTGAGTGCACAAATTAACCAAGACCAGGTTCTGTTCGCTCTGACCCCCTGAAAACTTGGCGACCTCAAAGGCTCCAAAGGGCAGCAACCTGGGAACGCAGCAATAATGATCGCAAACGGGGCAGCGCCAACAGGAAGCCCAGGTTACGGCCCGCTTGAAATTCCTCTGTTCGACCTCTGCGCATCTTCAGATGCATTTCGCAAACGCATCTCTCGTTTGCGTGCCGTAGTAAGTAAGGGGGATGCATCAAATTCACCCGATGGACAGCAGCCTTAAGTCCGGGTTATTGAGGCTTTCTCGTCCTGGCGTGCCTAGGCGGCGTGGGTCATCTCTGGTGACAGAATAGCTCAAGCCTGAATGCTTCCCCTGCCGAATATCAATCAGGCAGATACCGGTCTGACGCCGCTTCCCGACAATCCGGGTCAATGATAGTCTGTCATGGAGCGTTTGGAATCACACCTGGATAGCGTATGGGCTAGGTTGATTGAGAGAGCCGGCCGTCTCCGTGACACAACCAGCAGATGGAGGACATATTGGTATCTCGGGTGGCAAAGTAAACATTATTATTACTGTTCTCGCACGCTGCATGAGACTGTCTGATTCGGTGTTTAAAGTATGCCGGAAATCCTGCGATGTCCAACCCTGGCTGTTTTCAACAACTACATATTTGAGGCTGAGGTTGGGCGGGACTCGGGAGATTTCCTAATCTGGACACTTGGAGTAGTATTTTTCGCCAACATCCAGCCATTCCGCAACAACGTCAGCGGTTTATGTAGACCAACTGCGGAGTAGCGCTACTCATGCTATGGACAGAATATTATTCTTCTACGGAATTAGGGTATTAACGCATCTCAGACTATTATTATTGCTATCAGGGGAATGGAATGGTTTCTCTCCGCCAATCCGCGGGAATAACCATGACTCTCGTCACCAGCACGTCAAGAAGCGCCTCAGTCAAGCCTGGAAATCCGACCTATTCTTGAGGGCAAAGCAGACTCGAATCGGAGCCTAGCAAATGCAGATCTTGGAGCATTTTGGCTAAGACCTTGGAGTGAGTGACCTTCTGCATTCCCCAACATTTCCGTTCATTTCTCTTCTCGCCCCTTGAATCGACTGTGGCGTGCAGGGTAGGCACTTTGCACTTGTCCTAGTCTTCCTGGGATCGAGAAGCTTCCCAAGGTAGTTGACACCTTCGTTCCAAGAGTCAATTAACTATGAATGAAGCATCCCTAGGCTCGCCACAAGGATGCCAGTTGCGGGCTTGTGAAATGGCATGGACTCTTGATTCCCAGCCTGATGGTGGAGTTCAAACGAGATAGCAGCATTGCATCAGATGACATCTTATCTTGCATCGTGCAAACCCCCTGATCTTGCGGAGCCTAGGAGAGGAGTGCGGATCGAAGCCCTCGAAAGTGTGTAGGCCGGTTCACCCCCCTCTACAAGGCATCCGCGCGAACAACGCTTCACTTCCCAGGCCACTGCACCGCCTCGAATCGAATCCTATTAACTGTCAAGATTCCGGCTTATCGCTTACGTTATTTATATATCATTTGATCTTTTCTCCTATAAGGTAAATCAATATAATGTTGCAGACTGAATCGTCATGCGAGGAATTTGCCGCACCGAAATTGAAATGTGAGGCCGTCCAATGAACTAGAGTTGAAGCTCTGGTATACCGCGGGGCGACTCCACATGCAGAGTCTGACACAGGATTCGTGAGACAGATAGCTGCACCATATACGTTCGATGGTTCGCCCTTTAGGTGGGGTTAGTGCTGTTTTTCTTCGGAGATGCAATGGATGGAGTCGAAGAATTGTTGCCGTAGTCCACCTGCGTTCCGAGTAAGGTTGGCAGCAGGTCACCCGGATGGAGAGATAGTTTACATGCGAAGTTACTGGTGAAATAATGCTGTCTAAGGGGTTTTAAAACAACCATTGTCCAGACTTTCGTGTAGCTACTTCTTTTGCAGTGCAGATGGGATGGATTAAGGTTTCCAAAATGTGAAAACTTGGATATTAGACAGCGAGAAATTTCGGAAGGCTGTCCTACTCTATTTCCTAAGCATCCATCCCCGCAACATCTTGTCTGCCGACATCCAGGCTGAAGATCCATGAAGATCAATGGACCACCACCATGTGGTTCTAGTGCACTTACTGGCCAAAAGCACCGCAGCGGAATCCACAACCCCCTTTGAAGAACCCGATTTACTTAGGAGAATCATAAGCGGCTGGACATGGTTCTACTACGAGCTTGGAAAACATTTATTTAACAACAGCCAGCTCATTTGCGCCCGGCTTACTTTATCAAGAGGTATCTAGAGATATTGAAAAATGGAGGTATCAAACATGCGACCTACTGAACAACATTGCGCTTGTGAGGGTCTAGGTGCCCTCAGGAATATTTCTTTTTCCAAAATCTTACGTCCACACATTGATCGGCACGCCAGCAAGGATCGAGATGCATTCCTGGCCTGTGAAGATTATTAAATAATATTGTGGATGGTCTCTTCGCAGTCAGTAACTATGCCATGCAAACTTAATTCCACTCGCAGTGAGTGCGGGTAATTTAAGTCACAGAACTCGAAGCCCCGAGCCATCGCGGATGGCATACTCTGATAGGAGCTATGAACAGACTACTTATCACGAGTATGCTCAATATTAATATCTGTCGATTATTTCTACATGATTGTCTTCGGATTCAAGGTGAGGTTTGTGCGATTCCTTGTGGCAAGCATTTGTTCTATTATTCTCTACGAGTACCGTGCGATCATCCCCAAAATCTCAAGGCAACCTTCCAAGGTTTGAGGCATAGTTATGCAAATCGGCGCCAACCTAATCCTTATTTGCTCTTGAGGTAGTCTAATCGGAAGGTCTCTTGGATCGATCAGATGGCGATTTGCGGCGGTAATGCTAATAATGCTGATAATTCGATCAACAATCTTAAGTGGGTGTCAGAGAATGCAGGCAATATAATCTTGCTTAATGTCGAGTTGAAATATTCAAGTTCTACCATCAGTTGACAAAACCGGATAGCCGCTCAACACGGCAAATCAATAATAGATGTTGCTGGTTGGACCATTCTGTTTATTTCTTTTTTTATACTATAATTTTTTCTTCATACATTGCATTGCCAGTTCTTCTGAGCTACTGAGAACAGATAAGGTGCAGAAATAAGAGTTTGGGATTTTTACTGGCCAGGCTGTCGGCGTTTCTGGTCTCTCCTTCGCACATTTTATTAATTTCGGTTTGGGTCGGCATATTGTTGTTTTCTTTTGCATCAGTGGCAACGCGCTTTCAAGAAAAAAGAGCATTCTGGCTTGTTGACCTAAGGATATTTTATATTTCCAAGGACGGTGTGGAGTTGTTGGTGAAGGCGGAAAGAAACTTGTTCCCAATGGCCTTTGCCCGAGGTGCTCAGGGCACTGTTGATGTTGGACAACACATAACTAGACATCCACCAGGGGCGAGGATCCTGCTTCTACCAGTGCACCTTTGACGCCATGACGCAATTTAAAGTCCGGGACGCTTTACTCTAGCACATTGCTAGGTCTTGACAAACCCGCTTTGAAGAAGGAAGCGCATTCTCAACCCCTTCGCCATGTTAAACGAGCGGCCGAACTACATGCACCTTCGAGGCAGCGATTTTACGATGAAAGAACCCGAGCGGGCACCATTCGCGGTAGCGGGCTCATACCATTCTTGGTTCAAAGTGTTCAGGCCACCGCTACTTCCAAATATCTCCTCGCTATACTGAAGGTAGCGCAGTTTGTCCAGTCTCTCGCAAGATACACGTGGATATATTTAACACGCTCTCTCCGGAATGTTCTTCCGTATATAGATTCCACAGGAGATTTGTAGGAGCCACGGAGAGTAACTGCTCCAACAGGGTTGTATTTTTGCGAGCATCCCTCGAAACATACCTGACAAGGTGGAAGGCAGAGAGTATCGATCCGCGAGCCGCAACCTCGCTAGCATTTCTCCAACCATTATTCAACGTGACATGTTGTCACTGGGTTGACCGCTCGTAGGGCCAGAAATCACATAATCAGCAACAAGATTCCGGGGATTATTCCGAACAATTACTGACGTCGGCGTGCCATGTCTGCCGCCTTGCCGTCCTGGCAACTTGGTGCTGTACGATGGTAGGAAAACCCACAATTTGGTGGAACAAGGTGAAAATTATGCATTGTTATGGTTTCTCGTTGCTCTGTTTGGATGATGATCGTATTGGTGGGATACGATGCGCACGGATGGGGAGGTGGCCTTGCCAATTGAATCGATTAAACGCTGTGACAAAGCTGCATTCCACAAACGAGGGTTATTGAACTGCTAAATAAGAACTCGTATTGATATGAGAAGCGAGAAGCTCAATCTCACGGGATGCTCTTGGCGGCTGAGCTAACTTGAAGATCTTGAACGCAAGCCTTGGGAGTGTACGGAGTACTCACTCTTCTTCAACTCGAGGTTAGCAATAAATATCACGCATGGCTAACTCCCAAATACGCAGTACTGCACCAAGGTGTTGTCGAATTCTCCCTGGTGACAGCGTGTGAAAACCCAAAAATTGTGCTTGAAAACTCCATGCCTGCTTCTTCTTACGGGAGTTTTCAAACATTGTCCCGTTTTGATTCTCAGCCATGAATTTCTAAAATAACTAGGACAACGCCTTTCAACGCCTCTCAACGCCCCAGAACGTCCCCACCCAGCGAACTGAGATTTTAACACTTGTGCACGGTCACTTAGCCAACTGATGTCAAGCCTATTAAACATTGTGAAGAACGCTATACAGCAGCACCTCCAATCCTCCCGGCACTCCTTTAGACCTAGGCAGAAGAATAGCAAACTGAGAGCAGAAGATCCCTCCCGCTGGCCAAAGGAAGGGTTGACCCATCTTCCTAACCCATGACAAGCCACAGCAGCCAGCTGTTTGGCACAGAAAAATCCCTCCAGCCGGGTCCCTGTTCCTGATCCCGTCTAGATTAAGGGATCGCATATAATACCAACACTAACTCGCATGACAAGCGAAAACGGCCAGGGTGGTTACACCTATCTCGCTCATCTTGTTGGGCCTGGAATTCTTTTAGCAGGGGTCTTCTACAGGGAAGACGGGAGGATTCTGGGTCAGCGACAGTGCTTTGCGTGGTTCTAGTGTGACCGCCTATCTAGAGCCTATGAGCCATTTTTGTACTTTAACCAGAAGACCGGGTGCTAAGCGTAGCCTATCGCCAGCCATCGGGGAAATGTTGTAGGGCCGTCTCTGGGCGGATAACCCCTAACCACCCACATAGCGGACCGCCACTCACAGTGATAATCTACAACCCCTTCTTGAGACAGTGAGGTCGCTAAGCTACCGAACCGAGTCTCCAAGCTCAGGTCTCGGGCCCACCCCGGCCGCGGAACGCCTCATGATTTGCCGAAGAAGCTTGGGGATAAAACTCCGTGCCGCGCCTAGTGGTAAGGAATCACTCCCTTGACTGCATATCACTTGCAGCTGATGAATGGATGGATGCTGTGACGGAGCCAGCTTTCAGCTTACATGGTACTCTGTCGAATGGAATTCGACGAGAATTGGGTGGGAACAATAATGGAGAACGAACAGGCCGCTCGAATTCAAATTTTTTATGCACGCCATCAACACTTTAAGACACAAGCCGCGTCATCGCCTGATACATCCTCCATACTGTACGGAGGACATCTGACATCTAAAATCTGTTAGTAGAACGGAGTACTGTAGTTGAAAATGGGGGGATTCGTTTTAGGCGTGAATATGCCATACATTTAATCTATGTGCCCCAACCGCTTCGACTATCGAGCCGGAACGGAAGGGGGAAGCAAGCAAGAAGCTTCTGCGACATAGGGTTAAGGAGCGGGTTCTGGGGCCCCAAGCAATTTATTCTTCGGTCTGAATGTTCTCGGCCATTATCTACGCGGTACGGAGTACGGCGGGCAAAGTTGAGCAGGATCAATGTAATTTACATACGCTGTAGTAGAGGAATTCTGCGGACAGAACGACCTGAGATGGGATGGAGGGGAAACAGCAGGGGCAAAAAAAAGAAAAAAAAAAAAAAAAAAAGCAAAGTGCAGGAGAAAAGCAAAGCAAACAACCCCGTCAATAGTTTACCCCAGTGTAGAAATTGGCTCTTTAGATGTCTGCTTTTGTTCCTTTCCTTGCGCTTGGGCTTCTTCGAGCATACCGACAGCCCGGCCAATCCGGCTTCCCCGGCGCGCTAGGAATGGAAATCGATTCCAAAAGAAAAGAAAAAAGAAAATTGGCCGGGAAAGAAAAGCAGCCCATAGACGGTTGTGAATAGAAGAAAATACAGAGTACTACGCCCCAGAACCTCAACAAAAACCTCCAATCAAGATACGGGGGTTAGAAGAGAAAACAAAAATATTGAACATTGTGGCGGATTATATGTACATATACAAGATTTCTTCTTCGCCTTCCTCTCGCTCATTTTCCATCGCTATACAACCCCCATCCACCCGCACAGCGACTGGGGAGTGGGGACTCAAAAGGAGAACATAATCCAAGAAAAAGAAAAAAAAAATGCCGGAAATAGACGGACAACCCCTGTTCCCTTCCTTGTTTATGAAGTAAGCGTGGACGTCGTCGTCGTACTTGTGTTAGTATCATTGCTGGCACTGCCGCTAGATTCAAGGAGTCCAGCCTCCTTCACAAGCTCGTAAAACTGGCCGCCGCGCTGAATAAGCGCGGCTGGGGTATCGAATTCAGCAACAGTTCCATGATCCAAAACGACGATCCGATCGCTATCCAAGATAGTGTTGATACGGTGCGCGATGGTGATGATAGTGCGGTCGCGGAAAATGCTGCTCCGGAGCATCTGCTGCAGCAGTGCGTCTGTTTCTACGTCGACGGCGGCCTGTGGAAAAGAACAATGAGGAATCAAAATCACAAAGCTGGCTAGACAAAAAAAGAAAAAAATGGAAGAAAAAAAAGATAATCACAATGCGCTAACTAGCGTTTTTGCTGGGGTAAAGAAAATGGTGGCTTACAGTGGCTTCGTCGAGCACCAAGATGTTGCTTGGCGTTAGGAGGGCTCGGGCTAGTGAAATAAGCTGTCGCTGGCCTTGGCTAAGATTCGAACCTAAAAATGCAAACACATCAGTGCGAAAATTAAAACGATAAATATCTACCTGATTGGCTGTCTTGGAAGTGATTGTATGGAAACTGACCTCCTTCGTGGATTTGTGCATCAAGTTGTCCAGGCAAACTGGAAATGTGGTCCTTTAATCGTGCATGTCCTGATCGACAGTGGTCAGCGGGGAACTACGGATTGGGCAGCTAAGGCTGAAAGAGGGCTCACCAAGGACACTCCACAACTCGGTGTCATCATGGGCGTGGCGTGGGTCGAGGTTGTCTCGGACGGTACCTTCGAACAATGCCGCGTCCTGCGGGATGATTGCCAAGCGACCCCGCAAATCGAAGAGGCCAATAGAACTGATGTCCAAACCGTCGATACTGTCACAGAGGAAGTCAGCAAACAAAGGTCCCGGCAATTTGACCACCTTCATCTCGAAAAGCCTTTACCTTATACTTCCTGATGTCCCCTCAATGATACGGAACAGTGCCAAAGTCAGTGAACTTTTACCTGCTCCTGTCCGACCAACGACGCCGATCTTTTCGTGTGGCTTAATGTGAAGATTTATGTTTTTCAATACAAGGTCTAGGCCCTCACGATATCGTGTGCTGTAGTCCTTGAATTGTACACCACCTTGGGACGGCCAACTGATCTGGGGCCGCTTCTTGAAAATGACGTCAGGAGCTTCGCTGGGCAGGTTTGCATACTCCAGAACTCTCTCGACCGACACGATATTCGTTTCCACCTCGACCGTTTGTCGCACAATCCAATTAAGAGACTGGGTGATTTGGAGCGCGTATGACATCGATAGGCCAACCATTCCAGCAGATAATTTGCTCCCAGTCGCCACAGACAGAATCGGGAACGAGGCTGCTGCCAGGATAATCACGGAGCCAATGAACTCTAGGCGTACAGCGAGCCACCTGTTTGCACTGATGGAAGGGTAGTATGCTCGAAGGTTCGCATCCATCCGATACTCATTCTCCTTTGAGAACCTATCCTGTTGCCTATAAGCCCGAATGGTCGAGATACCGCCGAGAGTTTCTTGGAAGTGAGCGAAGATAGGGCTTTTGCTGACGCTATCCAATCTCTTAAGTTCGCGTGACGTTCTCAAGTAATACTTTTGGAATCCGAAATAAACTGCTCCGAGAGGAATAATCATAACGAGGAATAGTGGAGTCGAAACACTGATAACCATCATTGTAAATCCTGCTCTAGCAGCATTGACAAATAACTGTTTTCCCCAGATTAGTATTAAGTTTTTACCCGGAGAGATTGTCAGGATATCTTACCATATTGAATGTGCGGGAGAGAACTTCATCAACTCGATATATATCGCTATATTACACTTCGTTAGCAACGAACACAACTGAACTTGCATGACTAGGATAAAGAGAAGGACTAACCTTGAGAAGCGATTAAGAATTCTACCAGAAGGTGTAGTTTCAAAAAAGTTCATGGGAGACCTAAAAATAGCGTATGCCATTCTCTCGTGCAATTTACGCGATGCCTTGATAATGTAGTTAGCGAAATAGTCCACGACGATAGCTATAAGAGTACAAATGACTGAGAAGCATACCTCAATAGAGCAAAATATCCAAAGAATCAGGGTTTGCAGGACAACAAGAGCAGAAGATCCAAATCCAAACGCAAAATAAATGCCAATATATTTTCCAACCTGTGGATTCATTCCAGATTTTTTGTTTACATCCGACCATCGCTCTAGCCAGAAACTACCAGCAACCTGCGCCGTTTGTGCCAATAGAAGTGCCGTCAAATAACTAGCCACCGCGTAGAGATTGCTCGTCTTCGCATACTCGCCATAGACGCTCCATTTGACCTTTCCTTGCTGGGAGGTTTCCTTCGCCTGCTTGGATTTGAGAGCGCCTTCTTCGTCCACGAGTTTGCGTGGGCCTTGCCAGCTTGCCGTGCTAGCACGTCGTAGAGTTGCAGTGCTTGTGCGTCGCATGGCACCACCATTCTGAACAGGTGCAAGAGGTCCCAGTCGCTCCTGAGCCTCTTCTATTTCGGAGAGATCAGAGTCATCTACATCGTCAACGATTGCTAATGTCTCTGGGCTGTTCACGCTTTCTTCTTCCCTAGTGCTGTCGTTTGAACCAGAATCGTCGTCGGTAGTAGTGGAGCGGATAAGAGTGGCAGTTTCACCTTTCATGGCAAGGAGTTGCTCGTATGTTCCCTTTTCAATAATAGTCCCGTTGCGTAGTAATGCGATGAAGTCCGCTTCTTTTAGCACAGTGATCGCATTAGTTGCGAGGATCCTCGTTTTTCCAGCCAGTACACCATTCCGGCCAAGGACTCGGTTAATAATATGTCTCCCGACATGTTGATCCACTGCGGACAAGCAATCGTCCAAAAGGTATACGTCAGCACGGGCATACACGGCCCTTGCCAGCGTTAAACGGGCCTTTTGGCCGCCGGAAAGAGAAATACCACGTTCACCAACCTCTGTCTGGTCGCCATCCGGAAGGGTCTTGAAGTCGTCGAGCAGGGCGCAAGCTTCTACAGTAGTCTCGTAGAAATGAGGATCCCAGCGATGACCGAAGACGATGTTTTCCCTGACACTAGCATTCATAACCCAAGCTTGTTGTGCGACATACGCAGTGCGACCTCGGACAACCACTTCCCCATTAATCTTCCACAGGTCTCCTAACATAGCTTGAAGGAACGATGACTTTCCAGCGCCCACACGGCCGACTATACAACTCAGCTCCCCTTTCCTAGCACTGAATTCAATATTCTCCAGCGCGTTTCGACCTTCATGTTTGTTCCATGTAAAAGACGCATCTCGAATTCGTACGGACTCATCCCCGTCGTGAGAAACAGCCTCCTCAAATGTAACTGCATCTTTCTGCAATTCCTCACCAGTGAAATAAGTCGTAAGACGAGATACTGCGACTGAAGCTTCGATAATGGACGTGATGACCATTGGGAGAATAGACAGAGGAAATGTTAGGAGATTGAACAAGGTTAATGCCGGGAAGACTATCTCTGTAGTCAAGGGCCTATCGTTCGTCAAAACAAATACGGCGAAGGTGGAACAGGAGACCAGGAATGGAGTCGACGACCAGGTAAAATTTGCAATGGACTGTGTTGCGCCAATTTTTCTTAGTGTATTTAACTCCAGGTCATTGCGAACATGGTTTAGCTTGTTCATAAAGGCGTTATTCCACGCGTAAAGTTTGATAGTTTTCATGTTGTTTAGAATTTCCGTCATTAGCCTGGTTCGCTGATCTTTGTTCTTCATTTGCTTGATTTGAAGGTTTTTCATTATCTTTGCAATCAATCCGTTGAGTGGAACCATAAGTATCATCACTCCAACACCAGCAAGCATACTCAACCCAAGAAGCTGATATAGAGATATCATACAAAGGGTAATTTGGAACGGAGCGGACCAAAGCTGCATCCCAAACTGAGCCAGGTCAGAAAGTCGTTGCTGGTCAACGGCCATATGGTTTACGATGTCACCGGTTGTCTTTGAAGCGCGACCCTCGTTCGAGAGTTTCAAGGACTTTGTATAGATCATGGAAGTCAAAGACGACTTAACTCGCATACCAGTTTCAAATGCCCTCTGGAAATACTGGTGAAGGCAAGCTGTCTGGCTCACGGAAACGACGAACATGCCAAGAGCAATTGCGACACCCCGAACAACCGGCTGGGGCGTGTCAGAGCGATATGAGTCAATGAACGAGATAAGGAGACGCAGGAGCTGGGGCTGGACAAAAGCCAAAATGTCACTACCGCACTTGATCACGGCACCCCGGAAATATGGCGCACTAAACGCTCTAAAGAGGGCAAGCCATAACGACGGCTTCTTCTTTTTCAGCTCACAAGCCCACGTTTTCTCCAGCTCGTGACCGGTAACACCTGTGGTATCCCTGCGACGCAGATTCCACAAGTCATCTTGGGTGAGGAAGTTTTTGTAGCCGAACTTCATCAAAGGTGTCATCCAAGAGAAAGTCAAAACAGAGAAAATATCGGCATATTCGTACGGGCATTCGTCTTCGTCTCCAAGAGCGTCATACGCACTTTGTTTCTTCTCGATAAAGTATTCTAACACAAACTCGATTATGGCAAGGCCAAAGCCAACGGTAAACGAGATAAAATAAGGTAACTGATGTCGGTATAACTGCTGGGAGATAAGGGATCTGAGCTTAACGGCGTAGACGATGATCAAAAATAGCCAATAGAATAGAACGACCCCGTTCGGTTGCCGGCTCCTCCAATGCTCGTAGTATTGTACGGTATAAATAACGCCCAAAGATCCGAGAATAAGGATCGTCGTCCAGAATCTAAAGTCTCCAAACCAGATCTTGGGATAGGTCTCGACCTGAAGTGAGGCCTGGAGGGTGGTAACCAAGATAAGAGCCCATATAACCGACTATTAACCGTATTAGACCAACCAACACCAACAGCTTGTAAATAGGGTTCATGGATGAACTTACCAACTTTGCGTAGAAGTGCCAATTCTTCTGTACGGGCTGGGCGATTCGCTTATTGAGTAGGAACCATATGGCACCAGGGCCCATAACCAGACCCCATCCGGCCACCAGAGATACCCAGACATCTAGAAAACAAGGCGTGAAGTCGAATCTCGTGCCGCTTATCGGGCCCCATCCTTCGCTATCGCCGCAGAAAGGTTGCCGGCGGGCGAGGGCTGAAGGCAATGCGGAGCTGACATTGTTGAAAGTCGATGGAGCGGTTAGGACCACCTGGGGGAATCCATTCAAGGCCATCTTCTGGTCAATGAACCATGGACCGGAAAATGAGAGGAGTCAGCAGCAGCAGGAGGTGTTATAACACCCGGCGAGAAGGTGGGAAGGACAGAAACAAAGGGTTGTCGTGGGATTTGTTTCCTCGTGTCGGGGAATGATAACATTTATAAAAGCAACCAGAACTCGCGGGAGACGCTTGGACCCCACGGAAATGGGGCGCTGACTAAAGCAGAGGGCTGCCACGCCGCGGCTAGACTGCAAAGGGACTAGCGTCTGGCATCTTTATCCGAACTCTGTTGGCATACAAATAATGGAGAGTTGCATACCATACCTATATATACATCTGTAGACAGATTAGCACCAAAGTTATCAATCAGGTCAATTCTGCTGCTTTCAAAAGAATTCAAATAATAAGTACCAATCGTTTACCGTGACGGAGTATGTTGATGAATGTCGATGTAGCCTCGTGTTACGAGAAACCATGCTATGAAAATCTCTTCGCTGCAAGCCCAGCCAAAGATCCTCCAGGAAGCCTGCAGCCTAGCCTTGGATACTGTATTTGTCACCGCCGCTATTACTAATATTGACACAGCCAGGGTTGTTGTCTCCTACTACAGGAAGCAGAAAACTTGACCTCGCTAAGTGCGCCACTTGACCTCGTTATGTAAGCTGACCTCGCAAATGTGGCCCGTGCCACTACCTGACCTCACTCAATACATCTTTTCTTGTAATTTGAAACCACTCTTTCTTTCTTAATTATTTACCATCAATTCTACAATTAATTCAAAATCAATTTAAAATCAATTTAATACTGAAATTATTCTTGAATTTAATAATAAAGTAAGTATTTATATAATTTACACTGAATTGATTATTAACTGATTTTCAATCAATTATTAATTACTTAAATATACAGATTGAATTTATTTTATTACTATAATTAATTAATAATTAATTCAGAATCAATTCAAAATCAATTCAAAATCAATTTAATACTGAAATTATTCTTGAATTTAATAATAATACTGAATTGATTATCAACTGATTTTCAATCAATTATTAATTACTTAAATATATAGCTTAAATCTATTTTTATTATTATAATCAATTCAGAATTAATTTAAAATCAATTTAAAATCAATTTAAAATCAATTTAATACTGAAATTATTCTTGAATTTAATAATAATACTGAATTGATTATCAACTGATTTTCAATCAATTATTAATTACTTAAATATATAGATTAAATCTATTTTTATTACTATAATTATGTAAGGGGCCTACACTGAATAGATCAGTATAATATTGATAGGTCTTATATAACAAAGATAAAAATATTAAAGAAGAAAGAAAAGAGAAAGTGCAAGAATCAGTGATTGAGATGAATATTTATACATATATATGATGAAGCTTCAGAGCAGAAGAATATACATGTATTCATAGCAGCTGAGAATCAGCAATTGAGAATGACTGAGAATCAGAGTGTATGTGTTCATGACAGCTGAGAATCAGTGATTGAGAATGACTGAGAATCAGAGTGTATGTGAAATCTGTGAAGTGTAACAGAATAGTCTATATGATTGATCAGGCGCAGCCTGTCACATTAGTTCCCTCTTTTCAGAAGCAGTTCTCATCAGTTAAGAGTCACTGTTTCAGATAACACAGAACTCAGAGTTCAGATCAGTTAATTATAGTCAACTCATTTCATAAGATATTATCAGCTGCAGCTGTGTAATCTCTTATTGAAATTTTCTTCAATCTCTCACTCAAGTTCATTATCTTCTTCTATGATCTCTGGCAGTTGTCAGTCAGAAGTCAGTTAAGAAGAAAACAGATCAGTGATAGCACAGCAGAGCAAGCTTGTGTGAAATACATCATGAATTTCTGATAATGTGTCAAGATAGTAGTTATGACTATCTAGAACTTCTATTACTTTATATCTGATATGGCAGTAATCTAGCATATGAAATGAACATGTGATTTATATATTCTTAAGATTTAATCATATCAGATCTTCTATCTTATATTATTCAGTGAGATCTCAGTGAACATTGATTTGATTCTCTTAATCTTATTTCACAGTTGCTATGAAGGTCTCTGCTCAATTACAGACATCTTAGAGCTTTATTACTATATTGTCAGCAATCTGAATTGAACTGCAGAGATTCAGTGTGAACTGTGTAATCTCTAGAAGATTCAACACTTTCATGTAATATTCATGTATAAGAAAGAACAGACTTACATCTGTTAAAACAGTATTCTAACTGTTAATAGTGATCTCTGTATATAGAAGAAGATTATATCAATCATCTTATAAATAATTGCAGAACTTATAAATATAATTCTCTACAGTCTGAATTGTCTGTTCTGATGCATTATCAGTCTCAGAGTGATAGACAGTTGACAGATAGTATATAATCTTAAGAACTTGACAGATTCTAGTTCAGAGAGTGCTTATAAATTAACAGCTCTGATCTGATACTATGAATCTCAGTAATTTATACATCTGATAGAACAGGCTCTGTAGAAAGACTTCAGTGACTTGTTTGATATTTATCTTATTATAAGATTTCAATATTACATCTTTGCTTAATCAATTCATAATGATCAGAATGTTTCTACAACTCTTACTCTCAGATAAATTAATAGTGAAGTCAATTATCACATCTTATCAGATTCTATCAGAAATATTAAGTGATTTCAGTAGATCTTTTCTATGATTCTTTCATAAGATAATGAAAGAACAGTGATTGCAGTTTCAGACAAAGTATCTAATACTGTTTAATATCTCAGATTAATAGAATTCTTGAGAGATCATTTTATACAGTTATTCACAGTCTGAATAATCAGTTATACATGAATCATGCATCTCTTGCATTATCTGAGTATGTAAGAGTTCAGAGTGAGAGACTCAGTGTCATTTGCAGAATTGTAGAGCATTATTATTATCAATTGAACATTCTGAGATATCAGTTCTTACTTATAATTCCAGGGAAAATCAGAATGCTTCTTGTTATACTGCTTCAGTGAGTGCTTGAAGAAGTTCATTGATTTGAGCTGCTGTATATCATAGCTTATTTAATATAGATTCAGAAGAAGTTGAGATATCAGTAACAGTTCTAATCAGAGAAGCATGTATAGTGCTGTGAGCTGTTTCATCTTGATCAACTAGTATCTTTGAATTCAAGAGCTGATGCTCTCAGTTCATTCAGCAAGTATCTGTTACATTGAATAATATATCTTACTCTTATTGTAAGAGAGCATCTGTCATTGAGTTCTGACTGTCAGAACAGTAGTGTATTGTAAAATAAAAGCAGCTTAAGAACTCAGATTATTATATCTGTTATTCAGTAAGTTTACAGATAGTTGTGAAGTATTTAAGATTCTTATAATCTGTAATTATCTTAAACTCAGAGATACTTTGAAGTTCAGAGTCTCATTCTTCTAAACAGTATACAATTGTGAGAAGTTTCTTGTCATAGATCTCATAATTGCATTCAGCAGAACTCAGTTTCTTAGATATGAAGACATATAATCATAGAATATCTTCATTATCATATTATAATATCACTTCTTCTATCATGTAGTCAGAGAAATCAGCTTTAATAACTGTCTCATAATCAGAATCAAAGATTATCAGTAGAGAAGTATTAATAAATATCTTCTTTATCTGTGTAAATGCAGCTTCAGTGTCTACTGATCATTGAAATACTGAGTCTTTCTTAGTAAGATCTGTAAGTAATCTTATAATATCTGAGAAGTTTCATATAAATCACTGATAGAAGTTAGCAAATCTGATGAAGCTTTATACATCTTTCACAGTATACAGAGCTTCTCATTCAAGAATGATAGAGACTTTCTCAGAATTCATTTGAATCTTCTTACCAGCTTCTATAATAAAACTCAGATACTTGATACTCTTAACTTCAAAATCACACTTATCAATATCTATCAGTAGTTCTGCTTCTTATAACTGTTGTAATATCTTTTGTACATATTCTTGATATTCTTTTCTGAATTCATCAGTGAAGATGAGAATGTCATCTAGATAAGCAGATATAAACTTATCAAGAAAATCTCAGAGTGCTCAGTTGATATACTTCTGAAATGTACTGAGAGTGTTAATCAGTTTAAAAAGTGTGACTATTTATTCAAAGAGACTATAATATGTTTGAAATACTGTAAGTTATTTATCTTCTTCAGTGATATGAATCTTATGAAATGCAGTAATAATATCTAGTTTTATAAATTATTGAGCTTATCTGATCTGTGCTAGGGTTTCATTGATGAGAGATAAGAGATATCAATCTTTCTTTATCAATCTATTCAGATCTCAGTAGTTCACACAGAATCAGAGTTCTTCATCTGATTTCTTTGCAAAGAGAATAGAGGCTGCAGTGAAAGAGTTACTAATATATATAAATTCTTTATTCAACAGATCATTGAGTGTCTTTTGAAGAAGAAGAAGTTCATCTTGAGATATATTATAAAGAGGGTCTTATAACAGTTCAGAGTTCTTATCATTCTTTTTCTCTAACTTGATACTGTGATTCACTTCAGAATCTTGTAAGAGAGATATGTTTATAATATTATCTTATCAGAAGATATCTAGATATTCATAATATTATTAAGAGAGTTTCATATAAGAATCTATTATTGTAACACAGAATAACTTTTCTAAAGCCTTTTTGATATCAGTCAGACTGGCAGAATAGATTGATACATAGTCTTGCTATTAGTGACTCTGTCAGTGATTTTGATAATGACTTCTTTTTCAGAGTATTTTATACACATTGACAGAGATCTGTGTCAGGTTTATAATCTTGTGAATGTTATCTTCATGAACTCTATCATTGTTAGGAAATATCAAGCTTCTGTTTCAAGCATTTAATAAGATGCCTTGTTCAGATAGTCAGACAAGTTCTAATATAAGATTATAATCAAGATTATCAACTTCATATATATAGATATTTTCATGTTGATGTTCTTCTATATCTATGATCAGCTTTATCATGTAATAGATATAAATATCTTTTGAATCATTAAATTCTATGAGAAGTCAGAGTTTTAATAGAGAAATATACTGAAGATTATAATATCTTACAACTGAAGATTTTATCATTGTATAGTGACATAGATTACTGTCTATTATAATCTTCATATTATACATGTTATTAATCACAGTAGATACAAGAATCACATTCATTATTATCTTCTTTTTAAATTATTATCATCTGACCTCTTCAAGCTTCTGTTTATAAATTTAAATAGAAGTTAATCTTTTCTCTGTTTCACTGAGATATTCTCATAGTTATTCTCTGAATCTTTCTCTAATATAATATGATTGATGTGGACAGATGCTGATTCATTCTTTAAATAAGAAGACACTGCTCTTTCTCTCAAATATAAAGATATATAGATTAATCAGCAGTTGAAAGCAATATATTCTAATCAGTTACAGTTAATACACACTCTATGTTGATATTAATCAGTGACTTCTTTGAGAGTGATCTCAGAGACTCAGAAGTCTGTTCAGACAGCAGAGACTCTTGCTTATATATAGATATTTAAGTCTATTCAATTCATAGCATCTGCATTATTGTTATT